ACGTCATAGTTTCTCACACCAATCATCTCAGTTTGGATAAGTTTAATGGCAATAGAATATGAGATATTCACTTTGAAAAAATACATAGATTTTAACGTTTTCAAATGAAATGTTTCATATTTTATTACATGTTCGAATAATAATACCATAAAAATAATAAAAAATACCATTATTGATAAAACACAAAATTGAGTCAAGAACAACTCCCATATCTTTTTCTGATAACGAAAAAGTACTTCATCGCGTACAGTATAGTCGAAGACACACGCACTTTTTTCTCTAGTAAAACCTACTAGGTTACAGTTTCTTACATTAAAACCAAATTTGCTTACTTGACACTATGTCTGAATATTATCCAATTCCATCTATAAGGTATGTTAGTCCTCCATGCTTGTAATAGATAGGAAAATTTTCAAATCGTCAGCATGAATAAGTTCATTACAATTGAGAGTATCACAAGTCATTTATAAATAATGTGACATGCAGTGGACCAAGATTTGATCTCTGCGGCACCCCCGATGTGCAATCATGTTCACAGGAGTTGTTACCGTTATATACAATTCAAAAGATAAACCATTTTAAGAGGAGAAGATTGATATGCCGTACTACAGTGTTTTGAGAATTTTACAAAGATGATGATTTTGTATTCTGGGGTCAAAAGTACCACTGACGTATCCAAGGAAAAGTTCTGGGAGGGGGGCACTAACTGTCTCAGCGCTTCACCTGGTGTGTGAAACTTTATTGAACGTATTAAAAAAACCACTTATAAATAGGGAACACAATTTTGATAAATACATTGTTTTTCTTTTTAAAACCAACACTGCACTTTTTTTTGTATTTAGAGAAGGTTCTCGAAGTTGTCCATTTATTATTTCAGCCGCATTAAAATTTTGTTCGCGAAGTTGTGCTTCAGTTGTTATTGGACCAACCCCATAAACCATCCCTTTAAGTTCTCCCCAATACCAGAAATCCATCGGATTGAGGTCAGGAGATCTTGATGGCCATTTTCGAGGATCAGGAGCATTTCGACCGATCCAGCGATTTGGATAATGTTCATTCAAATACTGAATTACGCCTCTAAAAATGTGTGGTGGTGCCCCGTCATGAAGAAACCACAAATTATGTCTCCGTTGTAATGGCATGTTGTCTAAGGTCTATTCCAAAAGTTCTGGTAGGTTATTGGCTAGAAAGCTAAGATATCCTTCTCCTGACAACTTAGGGGGTAACTAGAAAGGGCCATTTACCTGATCGTCAAGAATACCCCCCAAATATTTATTTTAAAACGTTGTTAGAAATGACCTTCACGAATGGTATGAGAATTTTCTTGGGCCCACGTGTGAGTATGACGGAAATTTAATATACCGTCCCGCGTAAAAGTACATTCGTCCGTCGCTAGAATGTTTTTAAAAAAATCCGGGTTTTCAATGTGCAAAAACCACTGACAGAATGTTAGTCTGCGAGGATAGTCTTCTGGCAACAAGGCCTGCACTCGTTGTACATGGTAGGGATAAAGCAAATTTTCCCGTAGGATTCTATGGACTATGGTATGCGAGAGTCCTACCGAGTGCTGATATCTGCATTGATTTCCATGATATTTAAAATTTGTTCCTTTTGCTCTACAGTAACCTGTCTTTCCCTAGTGCGAATATTAGTGGTCTGAGCACTTCCTGTATCTCGAAGTCTTGCACAAATGTCCTTCTGTCTGGGTGTACCCGTTGGCGAAATCAGTCGCGATAAATTTGAGCTGCAAGATTTGAATTCTGACGAGCTTCACCGTAAACTAACAACATGTCGGCGAACTCTTGATTCGAGAACATTGTAAATAAACACGTCGACGTACGCGAACAATAACTAACCACTGTTACCATTTGCGATCGATTGACGGTTCGATAAGTGTGATGAATGACCGAGGCGCTGTTGTCATGTGTGTTTTAAATACTTAATTTAATGAAACTTACTTACTTACTGACTACAATTTTTGGCTTAACTTAGAAAAACTGAATGCCATTTATTTGTTAATTACCCAATTTAAAAACGTTTTAGATTAGATTATAAAAATTAGTTATATTGTGGTGATTGTGGTCGATATAAAGCACTTAAATTTGTAAACTATAAAGCCATTTAGACAAAAATCTATTGACTTTCGGACCATGGGTCACATGAACTTTTTGACTTGTTTTCAATAATGACTACCATAACGTTTACACCCGGTATAAATAAAAACGTATTAGGCGTGGGGTTCACTTGATATAAATAAATCAGCCTTCTACCGATCTTAGATGATACGCAGACGCTGAAAGTACCTATAAACGCTTTTAGAAAATAAGTAATGTCTGGCAGCTCTGGGATCTCTTTCTATACCCTCTGGGTAAGAATCAGTGGACAAGCAATATACGACACACGCTGCCATGTAATTAATATTCAAAAAAACATAATAAGTACTTCCTTGCTAAATGTTGGGTATATCTCGGAATGTAGAAAGATAACTCAATGGTCCCGTTGGCTTTGTCTTATAATAGTCCATACTGTTGGCATTGCACTATACAGTGTGAGTCTTCATAAAGTGCACATATCAAAATCAGGGAAACTACACTCTATTTCATCGACGGATAAATCATCAAAAAAACATGAATTTGATTTTTTATGAATATATGAATATTTTAAAATTTTTAGTAGCAGCTTCTAACCATATTGAAATAACTCGTTACAACTTTTAAACTAAATGTCCTATCATATTGGAATACATTTTGTAGTGATTGCTGGTAAAAGGACGTGCCTGAAAAGTGAAGAATTCCAGGAAAAGTAATGACATCCATTTAGAATAAAGAAAATTTTGATGAAAATCTGTTTTTTTTTTTCATTATTTTTACAATAATTTCAAATTTTCTATAAATATCGTCCCTTGTACCCTACCTTTTTTTATTTGTAAGTTATTCTACATGTTATCAGCTTTATAAAAGTAAAAATTGCACGTTTATTACTCAAATGTAACAGTTTCTATGAGTGTTTATAAAAAAGCCCATGCGCATCGTCTTGCTAGGCACCATTGTTTATCATGTAGATACCTTTTTTTGGTGATTCAATGTAGAGTCGCGCGGGCTGAAATACGAGTGGGGAGGCGGACCCAGTTGAAAAACAATTGATTGTTGGGCAGTTAGGCAGCTATTTGTGTTTCTCCTGCCGACTTTATCAGTTTCGTTTGCTACATATCACGCTTTCGCTTTTTGGTCGCGATGCCACGTATAAGTGATTTCCCTCCGGCACACATTGCCGATATCCATTCTTATTATGGAATGTACCGAGGGAGTGCTAGAGCTGCTTGCACAGCTTATCTAGCTGCATTTCCAAATCGACGCCCTGTTCGATCAGCCCGTAACTTCCAAGAAGTACATAGAAGACTGGCTAACACTGGGCTTGGTTTGCCTCGAGATCGCCGCGAACCAGGTGTTATTATTCATGTTGCTATCGAAGAAGCCATTTTGGATTATTTGTTTGCTGACCCGACTACTAGTACGAGACGTTTGGCGTTACGTCATGGCGTATCCCAGAAATCGGTTTGGCGCATCTTGAGGAAAGCAGGGTTGCATCCATACCATTATCAAAGCGTGCAGCACTTGCATGAAGATGTGGATTGGCGTCCAAGGTGCGTTATGTCTACATGGATTTTAATAAAAACAAGAGACAATCCTGAATTCCCGAAAACAATTCTGTGGGCAGATGAGTCTCAATTCACGAGAGACGGCATCGTGAACTGTCGTAATTTACATAAGTGGTGCCCAAAAGATGAAAATCCTAGGCTGAAAAGGGCTTCAACATTTCAAGTGAAATTTTCTGTAAATGTGTGGGCCGCACTGATTGACAACTTTTTGATTGGTCCAATAATACTCCCGAGGACATTAAACGGAGAGAGATTTCTGGAGCTTTTGCGGACTGAACAGCCCTTGCTGTTGGAAGAAGCGCCGCTGCAAACCCGTCGAAGAATGATGCTTCAAATGGATGGATGTCCTGCTCATTACTCGCTGATTGTCAGGTCTTTTCTTAATGAAAATTATCCAGGCCGCTGGATCGGTCGACAAGGACCTGTTGAGTGGCCGGCGCGTTCCCCAGATCTCACACCTCTCGACTATTTTTTATGGGGGACAATGAAACAAAGGGTCTACAGCAGTTCCATAAACATCGAAGCGGAACTTGAAGAAAGAGTTTTGCGTGTTGCAAACGAAATCAAAAATGATCCCGAGATGATTCGTAGGGCAACTCATCAAATTTCACTTCGCGCTACAATGTGTTTGCAGCAACGGGGTGGCCATTTTGATCATTTGATGCATTAAGCCAAAATGATTATCCTATTAGACAAGTCTATTTGATTTTATTTGTTAAAGATAATGAATGATTCATGTAGGTTAATACTTTTGTTTTATTCCTACTCTGGCGTTGAACTGAGTTCACTGCTTTTGGAAACGCTGATTTAAAAACTTGTATCTAAGTAATAAACTTGCAATTTTTCACCATTTGGAAGCTAATAACATGTAGAATAACTTAACATTTAAAAAAGGTAGGGTAAATAGGACAATTTTTATTGAAATTTAGCAATTGTTTTAAAAATCATTGAAAAAATAGTGAGTTTCAGCATATTCCTCTTTATTTTAAATTTATAGCATTTAATTTCGTGGAAATTTTCACTTTACTAGTACGGCCTATTATTTGCAATCACTACAAAATTTATTCCAATATGATAGGACATTCAGTTTAAAAGTTGGAACAATTTATTTAAATAGGGTTAGCAGCTGACTCTAAAAATTTTAAAATATTCATAAAAAATCAATTATTGTTTTTAATTTTTTTTTGATAATTTTTCCGTCAATAAAATAAGGTGTAGTTTCCTTGATTTTGCTATGTGCACTTTATGAAGACTCACACTGTATAAATAAGACTCTTTCTGATGCGCTCCTGTTTAGGATATGATAAAGTTGTTATTCTTTACTCTGATACGCGACCAATATAAACAAGTTAATTGATATGAAATCAAAGCGTACGATGAACAAACGCATAACCATAACGCGGTTATCAACAAGTTGAAGGCAAAGTTTAACGGTCACAAAACCTACCATTTCCGAACGAAGATTCCATCCGACAGGTCGTACGTACGGCAGTACCATCTGGGCAGTCGTCAGTGAACGTACTATCTAACAGTATCTACTAACCTCCAAAATGGCACTCAGTGAATTTTTCGGCAGGAAATACAAATTGTCTTCCAGTGAGAAATTTGACGAATACATGAAGGCTCTAGGTAATACAGTGAATCATTTTGTACAACCTTTGAACCTTAGTATATTTTTTATGAGTACTTAATCGAATATTCATGTAGATAGCAATTGTTTCAACGTGGTAAGCGGTACTTAAATTAATCGAATTTTCATTTTCTTTTTTAAATGTAGGTGTCATTGTACTCTTTATGTTTTTCGGTTTTTGTGGTGTATGGACTGAAAATATTAATATTGATGAACATTGTTTATACGTATAGGTTATACCGGTACAGTTATCTAGGATGACTCGGTATCCGGTATACTTTGATATGAATAAAGATAGAATTTGGTTTTGAAAACGTTATATGATGTATCTATTGAGAGTCGTGCCTATAGAAAAAGGTGTATTTTTTGAGTTAGTTCTTCAAAAAAGAGATGTGTACTATACTAAGTGACATATAAATCCGAACACCCAGTTTAAATGGTTTTATTTTAATAAAAGTTGGTGAATGTATTTATCTTACTGTAAATAACAAGTGAAAAAATTTTCAGCCTTATCAGTTGGACATTCCGGTTTTTATACTGTTTTTTTTTAATTCACTAACGCTCTAAAAATGAATATTTCAGCCGCAGTAAAGAATCAACGTTGGCGGATTTTGGTTCTTGACATCCTTTACGATCGGTTACGATGCCTAGAGTACGGAGACCTGTACGATTTCGTCAACTTAGTGAGTTTGATAGGGGCCGTATAGTGGGACTTCGGGAAGCTGGACTTTCTTTTCAGGCAATTGCAGTTAGAGTGCAAAGAAGTGTAGACACTGTGGTTAGGTGTTGTCAGGCATGGCTTCGAGAAGGCCGTACGCAAAGAGCAAGGGGCACTGGACGCCGCCGTAGAACAACAGACCGTGAAGATCGCCGTCTAAGATTATTGGCCTTAAGGGACCGTTTCTCCACTACCAGGTCCATTGCAAATGAATGGTTTGCAGAACACAGAAGACCTATTGGCATGCGAAGTGTTTACTGACGAATGAGAAGTTTTAGCTTGTTTTCATACCGGCCACACTGGGTCCTCCCTTTAACACGAGAACACCGACGTAATCGCCTTGAGTGGTGCAGACAACGGTCACTCTGGGATCAGGAATGGAACAGTATTGTCTTTAGTGACGAGTCTCGATTTTGTTTAGGCATGCACGATGGTCGTGCCAGGGTTAGAAGGCGACGTGGTGAAAGGAGGAATCCACAGTTTTTTGTTGAAAGACATGTTCATCACACTGTTGGAGTTATGGTTTGGGGTGCTATGGCTTATGGTTCCAGGTCACCTTTAATCTTCATCAGAAGTAACATGAACGCGCAGCGTTATATCCACGAAGTTCTAGATCCCCATCTTTTACCCTATCTTGACACCCTGGCAGATCCAACTTTCCAACAAGATAATGCCCGACCACATGTTGCAAGAGTCACAATAGACTTCTTTCAACATAATGATGTCACATTGTTACCATGGCCACCAAGATCTCCCGACTTATCCCCAATTGAGCACGTGTGGGATATGATTGCTCAATTTGCAACGTCCTCCTCAGACTCTAGAAGCACTTCGAGAGGAGTTGGTGGTTGCCTGGAATGAGATACCACAGGAGGACATTGACCACCTGATCAGAAGCATGCCTAGGCGCGTTGGAGAATGCGTAGCTCAACAGGGTTCATCCACACATTATTAAAGGTCAAAGGGCTTTAAAGCAGTGCAATCATTTTGAAATGTTTATCATTTACTTATTATGCTTCATTAAGTACCTATACAAAATTTTATTAAAATAAAACCATTTAAACTGGGTGTTCGGATTTATATGTCACTTAGTATATATAACTATTAATAGCCATAACAGTCTTCGAGAATTTGCATGGGAAGTAAAATTCGTAGAATAACACTTGGATGTAAACTATGGGATGTACATTCTAAAAAAATTTGATGTTGAGATTCCTAAATTTCGCACTCTAAACCCACGTACAGACCGGGATTACAACGCAAGCCAAGGCACATGTGGTTACAGATTTGGAGGTGTTCAAATCGGTGTGTACGGCGCGAGCCAACATAAGCCAACTGTTTTCCAATGTCGGCGTTCGATTGCGTTCGCTCCTTGATCGGTCATCAAAGGGAGGATTGATTTGGTCTAGTAGTCTTTTAGTATTTTGTCGTTTGATGAGAGGAGACTCGTCGCTCGGTATGTACGCGGCTTTAGAATAACTGTCTACAACTTGAAAAATTACAAAAATAGAGATTGAGTTCATTAAAGATCCATTCAAAATAATTACAAACCTCGCTGGAATATTCTCCGAAACTAAAGATATAGTAATGTAACAGAGTTTGAAGATGTTTTAATTTTGTTTAATATATCTATCTCGGCCGTCAATGCACTGATTTTCAAAAAGTTTATACTTATTATCTGTTCAGCGATTCCTGAGTTTTGCGATGACGGATAAATCCTACTAAAATCATTATTTATCGATGCCTGGCAGTTTTTTGTGGAGATTTCTCCACAGTATTGCCAAGATGAAATGAGATACCGTAACACCATCTACGTCACAGCTATATGTCTCCTCTCCGCACTACTTAGAAGCCTAATTTGAAAAGAATAGTGTCTCATAGATGGCGCTGTCGCCAATTATATTAGCATATAGCACATATTTGACTGGAGAGGAGAAACACAGCTATGATAGATTCTGCTCGATGAGACTAAGGTATCTCATTTCATTTCGCATAATTTGGTTGGCTATCTTGATACGTTAATTAATGCTATTACTCGTAATCATGTTGTTTGCCTTCACATCTTTGACTAAACATTGGTACTGATGTCCGAGAAACATAAAATACCTCAATCCTGGATGCCGGAAAATCTGATACTTTTCGGACTTCGTGAAAATCATTGAGTATGAAAATCGATTAGCATATCCTTCCTGAAAAAAGCCAGCCATATTATATAAGCTGACGCCCAAAAAGCGATCTGAAAGATACTAGGGCCATCTATGAGGCAGTGGAAGAGCACAAATACGAATTTATAAATCTACTTTGAACAGAGAGTGCTTGGTTTTGCTACTGTCTCATAGATGGAGCTAGGTTCTCCAAGAAAGGCTAGAGAAAACATTTATAAACCTCTTGAAAATAATATTATACCAAATTATCAATCAGGTTTCCGCGAAGATTACAGCACTGCAACAGCACTTTTAAATCTAATAGATGAAGTCATCAGAGCACGTAATTTCAAAGGCGTTTGATTGTATAGAGATAGACCATGATCTCTTATGTGCTAAGTTGAAATATCAAATCATACTTGAAGGATCGTAAGCAACAAGTGCCAATAAATAATAGCGTTTCTTCAGTCCCCAATCGATTTTAGGTCCGATCCTGTTTTTAATGTTTACATCAGATATTCATAAAGATATAACATATATATCATTCATATGTACAGATGTATGCTGATGATACACAAATTATACGTAACTGCAATCCTGACTTTTAGCGCACACCAATAATGATTTAGAATCTATAAATAACCGCAGAGAAGCACATAACTTGAAATTAAATGCAAATAAATGCTCAACACTAATATTTTGTTCGGAACATGACAAAAATAAAACTAAAAGAGATTTCATTATAAGTATGAATAACGTATAATTAGATTTTTGTAATTTATCTAAAGTTTAAGCCCTACTTATTGACGAACAACTTCGTTTAAGAGAGCGCTTAAATACTTGAATTCTAAGAACTTACATTCGAATTCGAACATTGTACAATAATAAATTTATTTTGAATTCTACATTAAAGGAACAGTTATGCGAGCCCTTGGTTCTTTCTATTCTCATATAGGCTTTTGTAGTTTATTTCCATTGTTTGGACATAGTCAATAGAAACAGAATTCAAATAGTTCAAAATAGTTGTTAGGTACCGAATTCATGGACTGAGAAAAAAAGATCAAGTTTCTCTGAAAGTTGAGAACTTAAGTTAGTTTAAAGTTTCCGTAAGTTTTAAATACTATTTGATAGTTTTTATACATAAATTAATGACTCAGTGGATATCTCTTCTATACCTAAAAAGCAAATTAATTTTTATATCCAATCCCCATAATCTAGATATAAGCGATTACTTATCTGTGGATGTGCTTTCCCGCTCAACAAGTCTTCTATATAAAAGCTTTATGTATGGCAATTTTTCAATTCAATGCACTCCCTTTGGAAGTTGAAAAATTACCAATATAAAGATTTAGGGTAGCACTTAAAAAATATTTTCTTGATATACGCATGTAAACGCATGAGATAAAAATAGATAGTGTATAATGTAAAAATATGTTAAATTTAAAATCACTAGTGCGCAACGGCTACTGAAGCAAGAATAGCTTTGAGCTAAATCTCGCTTTTTGTGATTTATAGTAATAAAGACAATTATTATTATTAGTTATAAAAAAATATTTTTTGCGGCTGCAAAAAATTAGTCAACTTCGTTTATTAGATTTCATTCAATAATCGATTTTTATGGTAAATGCAATTGAGAGAAGTTGGAGGTCAATCTAATAAAAAAGAAACGTCATTGCAACAACAACTACTCGAAATCATAAAATTATAAGAACAATAACCATGATAATGGCAAAGCACTTCAGGGAAAATAATAATAATTATTGTTGTATATATGTTCATGAGCCTAATCAGTGAATAACCATATGAAAAAGCGATAAAGCGTTGCAATTATGCATAAATAGGTACATATTGTTTTATTATAATTGTCAGTACGAAATGCAGCATATAGGCATAGAGTGATAAAACATTAACATTCATTAAAATGTTTTCGAATCAGCCAAGTTATGCAAACAAAAATACTATTGTACAGGGTGTCCCATAATAAGGTATCCGGTCTCTCGGGCCACAGAGGACACTTAGTTCCTTTAAAAAAATTCCTACTGGACGCTAGTGGAAATCGGTCAAGCTTTTCTGAAATAACCTTATATAATGACAGTGTATAATTCTACGGAATTTTGATGGCGATGATGTCATGCGCGCCCATAGAATTTTTTCTTGGAGAATATGTCGCTCTCGATGTCGCTCGACTCCAAGGTTGGAAACTATATATTTCCGTGTTACAGGAGTGGGCCTGGTAACCCGCAAAATGGGCAACGCCGTCTCCCCAGTGGTCGAACTGAAAAAGGAAGGCGACGAATATGTCCTATCCTCCACATCGACCTTCAAAAACGTCGTTTTGAAGTTCAAACCCGGAGTGGAGTTCGATCAGGAGACGCCAGACGGCAGGAAAGTCAAGGCCACGATCAACGTAGATGGAAACACGTTAAAGGAGGTCCAGAAGAATGCTGATGGAAGCACCACTACCATAGATAGGACGTTCACCAACGACGAAGTCAAAATGGTCGGTATTTTCACTTCTTATACTAATATAGGTGCGGAAATATGTGATTGCAAAAAAATTTAGGTATCGGATAGAGGTGCGCACCATAAAAAAACTGTCAAACACAATCGTTATGATCTTTAATTTCACAAAAAAATTTCAATTCATCGGCAAAAAATAGATGGAAGCTTGCTGACTGTGATGGTCATTAATATAGATTATAAATAACAAGCTATGAGGCAAGATCCCTGAGGTACCCCTGAAGTTGCAGTAAAAGAGAATGATGTGTGAACCCCATACTCAACCCTTTGAGTCATGATTCCATAAGTAAAACCAAATCGTTAGATAATCCTACTGCACTTAACTTTGACAAAAGTGGGAAATGATCAACTCAATCGCATGCTTTGTGAAAATCAGAATAAACCAAATTGCTTATCTATAACTTCGGAGATGAACTGTGTTATGCAAGCTAGATTGTGCTCCTAAGAGATGTATGCGAGTACACTGTGGAAAATACGACAATTTCAAAGAACTTAACATACACTTGAAATAGCAGGAACTTCAAGAATGGAGATTACAGAAAACATTCATAAACCTACTGAAAATAATATATCAAACTATCAATCAGGTTTTCGAAAAAATTATAGCACTACAACAGCACATTTAAATCCAGTAGATCAGATCAGAGCACGATCACGTGTTGGACTACTGAAAAGCGATTCGTTGTATAGCCCATGAAGTGCTTTAACGACTACTCCGTGAAATTCTTCAAAATTTAGTTGCAGGATGGTAAGCATAAATAATAGGCTTCAGTCTCCAATATCATATCAGGGGTTCCACAAGGCTCGATTTGAGGTCCTAATTATACATAACTGCAATCCAATTCATCTGCTGCTATGGCACATATCAATAAATAATGATTCAGAATCTATATATAATCGCTCTTAAGCACATAACTTGAAAGTAAATGCAAATGAATGCTCTTTTTTTGTTCAAAACAGGACAAAAATAAAATTAAAACAGATTTCAATATAAGTATGAACAACGTAAGACTAGATTTTTGTAATGTATCTAAAGTTTATGACGAAGTCGAAATGGTTGGTATTTTCACTTCTTATGCCAACATAGGTGCAGAAATATGTGATTACTAAAAATTTCATACTATTCCACACTACTTAACTCTTTCAGGGGCAAACTATTTTATAAAATTTATTCTCTATTTGGGCACAAAAAAAATTTTTTTTATTACTTGTTTTTCACATAAAATGCTATTTGAGGATATAAATAATACTCAAAGCTTTTCATATTTTTTATTTTTACATGTAATTTTTCATATATTTGGCAAAAAATAAGTGGTGCTATATATGTACCACCGCAATATTCCTATTTATTTCTGTGAAAGTCCTGGAAACAGGTTTTATTTTTATTTAAACAAAGAGGCACATTGCAAACGCTGCATACCCAGTCCGTTCTTACTTGTTTTTTTTTTAGTGCTACAGTAAGCACACCGACGTCGAGTACCGAGTTCAGGTTGATGAGATGAACCTTCAAATCGAATTTCTTCAGAAACATATGGTTTGTTTTTTTTTATGGCAACAGGTTCAAAGGTTGACAAAGAAGATCTTTTTCTATCTACCAGTTGTTGTACAACAAGACCTTGTATCATACTTCTTCGGAAATCTTTCATAGAAAGTGTGGGTAGCTGTAACTCCTTATATAATACAAATGCATTAACAACAGCAGCATCCAGGAAAAAAAAGAAAATGCGATGCCACCATTTATGGCTTTTTCGATCTATTTTGTAGGAAGTAAGATTTTGGTCGAACTTGTCGACAAAATTCATATTGGCATTGTAATCAGAAAGGGCTTTTGGACAAGGCACTTTGGTAATTGATCCAATCTTTTCTTTTCGGTTAACTTCAAGAGTATCACGTGGGTCATGGAAGTTAGACAGGAGAAAAACGGAACGCTTGTCCTTCCATTTAATAACAGACAAATCACTATTGCTTGTAAACCACTCGATATCACCTCTTTTCATGTTCTTATCTGATTTGAACTTCGGAATATTCCGCCTAGAAGAATTAACAGTACCACAGGCATGTATCTGCATATTTTTTAGATCTTCCATTAGCTCGACTCCGTTGAAAAAATTGTCAAAATAGACCAAGTGATTTTTATTTTCGAGACCCTCGCATAGCTGTTTCACAATTCTTGAGCCCAAGTTTTTCTCGACATCACCACTAGGTTTTCCTGTATAAATATCAAATTTTAGACAGTACCCATTTTTATCAGCCAGCATCCACACTTTGTATCCCCTTTTAGTAGGTTTTTTTGGCATATATTGTTTGAGAGAACTTCTCCCTTTGAATTTTATCATGGATTCATCTATGGCAACTTCACGACTTGGCAGCATACATTTTCCAAATGCCTCTGACATACGGTTCAATAATGGCCTTACTTTGTACAGCTTGTCGTAATTGGCTTCGCCTTTTTTTGCCATCAATGAATTGTCATTCAAGTGAATATTTCCAAGCAACCAACTAAATCGCTTTACCGACATTAGATTACTGACATAAGAGTCATGTAGATCTGGCGCGCGAGACCAATGGTCCCTATAACTTGGAAGGCGCTTTATGCCCATAAGTAAATTTAACCCCAAAAATGTTTTAATTTCACGAACATCAGTTGGTTTATGCTTGCTGAACTGTTGTTGAGCATACAGGTTCGTTTCAAAAACAATACTTTCTATCAAGGAGTCAGAAAAAAATAATTGAAATAATTTGTACGGTGTTGGATCTGTCATATTCGTTACACAATCTGCTAGACCAGAATGCGCAGTAAAATCTGGAGGTGGTGTAGGAGTTTTCACATTAGACCAAACTGGAGACTTTCTTCCAACTGATGAGGCAGATGAAGCTAGCTGCAGTTTTCCAGCGATAGTTGACAAAGGTATATCATCTTCTGAGTCACTATATGAACATATCAACACGTTGCTTCTAATAGTAGTTTCTGTATCACTTTCTTGGTCGTCTATGCTATTGGCTAACGATTCACAATCAGATGGAATTTCTTCACCGTTTATACGACTTTGTTCCATTTCTGAATAAATGTTTTCGAGTTCGGCGTATAATTCACCTTCCGTCATATCGACTAGTTTAAATGGCAAGTCAGACATGTTGTAAGTCTGAAAATAAAAAAAAAATAGGGTGTAAAATAAAAACGTAATGTGTGCGGTGGTACGCATTGAGTACCAGTAAATATAAAACGATAGAGGTTTTTTTTCAAATAAATATAGGATAAAATCATAACAAAACAACTTTAATAAGATAATTACATCGAAATCATACAATGTTACTTACTTTTTTAGTGTTTCTCCACTCACAGCTGGTATATATTCTTGACTAATGAATCATAACCTTAATTTGCTTTTGCATGCGGTATTCCGAACTCCCGCGCCATTGTCGGTGCATGCGCTCTTTTATAGACACGTGAACAACTTACTTTGAGCGGTGGTTCATGGAATGAACCGCTGCTCGCTCTGTAAATGAAATTTTTAGCAGTGGTGCTAAATATGTACCACCGCCTCATTAAAGCATGCTTTGAGGTGGTTTATTTTATATACCATCGCCCTTGAAAGAGTTAAATATTTTCTAGTAAAAACGTTCAAATTCTCTTGCAATACATGCTGCGTTATAAACTGTAAAAACAATTGAAGAGTGGTAATTCAAAAGCAACTAAGTGCCAAAAAGGTTTTGTTGAGAAATTAAAGAAAAACGTATCAGGTATCGATAGAGAGATAGACTGCAGGCGAATTTGAAATAATATATACAACTGCAGATTCTTGACTGGCACATAGACTGTTTGCTATACTATAGACCTTAAAATAACTGAAATTCGAAACTATCTAAACCTAAATGTGGCACTTGAACGCTTTTAAATTACCACTCTTCAATTGTATTACGTGCAAACTTTATACGTTTCCTATAGCTACAAAAATTAGAATAAAGAACTAAATGAATAGCTACTGTAATAATTAAAAGTAAACCACATAACCCAGTATGATAATAGTGACAAAGGTCAGTGGTAAACATTAAAATAATGAATATTGGCTGACGTGAGGCTATATCACACAAAAATACAATAATTTCACTAAAAGTTCATGCCGCAGGCATTTCTTATAATCAGAGCTTTTATTGAGTAGCTGTTTCCATTCGTCCGAAACTCTTCAGCGACTCTCACATGCTGTGATAACAATGATTTTATTTCCTTTATGCATGGTTTGAGATTGGGAGCTTAAATCCTATTTTATGGATTCAAATCCCGTACAAAACATCTAGTTGTCAAGAATTGACAGGTCCCGAATAATTGTATATAAGCCCTTAGTAGACTACCATCGCGCATGAAAAAACAAAGATCATTTTTTTAAAGCTACTCGTATATTTGTATTACTGCCAGAAATGCTAAAGTATATTAAGTTTCAATCGTTTATAGCAACGAGATGGGAATATGAAAATTTCTGAGAAAGTTCTATATACTGAGTTTTTTTTGAGAAATTTTCCATCCAAAACCCCTGCGTATCTGATGTGTTCTAGACGAAAACTTATTTCTTGGATAAATCGGGTGTGTCGATTCCGAATCGGACATCAATTTCATAATAGGAGATGTGTATAGTTTCATCCACTTGTAATGACTGATAATAATGGAAATTTTGTCCCAACCTTTGTTTTGGTTTCTATTGAGAGTCATGTTCAAATTCAGTGCCCTTACACACCTAACTTTTTAAAGTTTCATTCATTTGTGACAACTCGCGATGAAAATAGAGAGTTCAAGTACAAGGTATAATATACACATTTTAAGATTAACTTTGAGGGATTTTTTTAGATTTTTTACAAAAAACATTTTTTGTTGCAGGTTATGAACATCAATGACATCACTGCTACAAGGATCTACAAAGTCCAAGCTTGATTTTATTCCATTTAGCTTGATATATCTCTTCCTTTCAACTGTATTTCCATTCATTATGTCAATATATATTTTTTACAGGCATATACATATTTTGTAAGTTTTCTACTCTATGTACTGCTACATGCTACATCACTTGTTTTTTTATTAAGGTTGTTATTTAATCTAATTAAATAATTTATTTGAAAACTAGTTTTTATGTGATTTTTTTGAAAAAGAGAACCTGATATATTTTTATTCGTGCATACTAAGGGTTAACGTAATTAGTCAAGTCAAACATACGATTTTCAGGTACCAAAATATCTGTTGTCTAACAAAAAGGCCTAATTAAAGGTATTCACTTTTTGCAAATTTTTACTCGTATAAGAATTAACGCAGATAGTCCAGACAAACAGACACTAAAAATTTTGTGCCAGGGTAACAGAAACGGCAAGATTTACCTCGGTGGTTTAACATACCCACCAACTTTGGATCAGGGGCAGGGAATCTAGTCGATTGTATATGGCTCACACACAGTAAAGATTCAGCATCAGGATCGCAGAAGTAAATTCTATATCGGGAGCACATTGCCATCCATACCTCCTCGAGTTTGGTCCTTTACCCCTACATTTTAAGGGTCAACTCGGATGATCCAATAAAAAATGCGATTTCGCGACACTGAAAATTCTATATTAGGATAACAGACACCGCTTCGGTGATCTAATTTTCCCGCTAATGATAAATCTTAGCCGACTCAATTTGAATATTTGGAACAAGAATCTAGTCGGTGTGCGATTCAAACACAAAAGAAGCGACGAGAGGTAATTTGTACAAGGCGGTAGAACCTCCCTCTAATCCGACATATATATATATATATATATCAGGGGTAGAAAGTCTTCTACATATCTACTGACATTTCTGTGATCCTGATAGTAATTTTTTTCTCGATCAATAGTGAAAATGCGATTATCAGTATCTAAAAATTTTGTATCAGAATAACAGAAATGTCACATTTCTGCATTGATTCAGTATCAGAAATAAAGAGGAGTAATTGTACGAACCGTTCGAACTTCCCACAATTCTATAACAGAAGCCAATCGCCTTTTCTGTACTTCGTCGCGTTTCAGTGCTTGCCCATACCCATGTAATTTAAGGAGTAATGCAGACCTTCCAGTCAAACATGCGACTTTCAGACAATGACAATTCTGTATCAGGACACCAGAAACGGTAAGAGGTAGTCATCCCAGTGCTCAGAATTTCCTGCCAAGTTTGAATCAGGAACGAACTAATTTCTCCATACCTCCTCGCACTTCTGCGAGCCTGATAACAACTCTTCACCGGCATAATTTGATCATTCCAACAATAATCTAGTCGATTTGTGCGATTCACAAACACGGAGTAAGGAATCAGGATCTAAGAAACGACGAAAGGTGAATTGTACAAGGTGGTCCAACCCCCGCTAATCCCACATATATCAGGGGTACACTCTCTTCTCCATATCTGCTGGAGTTTCTGTGATCCTGATACTAAATGCCAACAATTCGCTATATACAGCAAAAATCTGTTCAGAGTGAGGATCCAGCATCAGAAGTAAATAGATGTAATTGCAGGAAGCGTTTTCCCTAATTCCATATGAGGAGCACATCGCCTTTTCCGTAAATCCTTGCGTTTCTGCTTGCCCATACCCGTCCAATTTAAAAATTAACGCAGACAATCCAGTCGGACATGCGCTTTTCATATACTAAAAATTATGTCTCTGAATAACAGAAATATCAAGAGGTATTCACATCAGCGTTAGAATTTTCCCGCGAACTTTGAATCAGGAGCATAGTAAATTCTCATATATCTTCGCGTTTCTGCGATCCTGATAGCAAATCTAGCTGTACGATTCACACGCAGTATAAGAATACCTTATCAAGATCGCAGAAGTGACAGCAGGTATACTTTATCTGAAGTCACTTGAAACACTGTGAAATACCGGGTGCGTTTTATATATCTATATTTAACACGCTCTGTTGCTGCAAAAATCGCCAAATTTCGCAGCAAATAAGAGATCAAAGGCAGTTTCACCGGTCCACGTGGAGTAAAGCACGCCTATGCGTGGACATAGCCAATGAGAAAGCGTGTATTTCAGAGCTCGGAACAAGTGCAGGTGGCTACTGAAAATTGAAACAGTTTAGCCAGTGCCGTGTAGCGGTGAATAAACGTGTTTTCTTTAGTCTGTCCGTGTTTTTTCATAGATTTTATTAGTTTGTGTGTTTTTGACTTTTGAATACTCAGTTTACTTGTTGATTTAATTGTTGTGTTGATTGTTCTTGTGTGTCCTAAATATGGCTCTTTGGAGACCTTGGGAAAATGCTCCAAGCCACGAGGAGATGGTTGATGAACCTGTGCAGGCAGAATTCTTTCATAAAGATTTAGAGGAACAGACCCAAAGAGTAATCCTAAATATGTATGATTGTCTGAAAAACGAAAATCCAGATTCCTCGCAAAATCAAATTTTAAACAGAATTTGTATCCTGACAAAAATAAGTCGGTTTACCATTTATCGGGTTATAAAAAGGGGAGATGTAGTCAACCATTCCTTCCACAGAAAGCGCATAGGGCAAAAATTAAAAAGAATAGACGTGGGTTTTCAGGAAGATATTCGTCGTATAATATACGGATTTTATAAAGAAAATTTGGTGCTCACGTTGGAAATGATACGGGATAAATTAAAAGATTATCCTGAAGATTTTTATAATTACAAATGCTTAGACTCACTGCACTGTATTGTAAAACTGTGTGGTTTTCAATACAAAAAATTAGATAAAAGAATGGTGATTATGGAGTCGTCTCGAATCGTTGAATTGCGCCAAGAATTTTTGCACAAAGTTAAAATCTATAGAGAGCAGAAAAGAAATCTGATTTACCTGGATGAAACGTGGTATGATACCCATGATGTTGTGCAGTACGGCTGGGTTGACGACAACAACAAGTGCATTTTAAATGCATCACGCAACCGTGGAAAACGAATCATTATTCTCCATGCTGGCAGTGAAAATGGATTTATACCTAATGCCTTGCTGTTATCTGCCAAAAATATCAAAGAATCATGTGCCGACTATCATGAGGACATGACCTCCGACTTATTTGAAAAGTGGATAGAGCAGCAGTTAATACCAAACATTTCCCCAAATTCAGTGATTATTATGGACAATGCGCCATACCATTCCCGACAGAAAAACAAAATTCCGAATACAGGCACAAAAAAACAAGACATTATTGATTTTATGAAGGATAAGGGAATGGAAATATCACAAAAATCAACCAAAGCCATATTATTGGATCTTATTAAAAGACAAAAATTTGAAAAAGAGTATGTTGTTGACAATCTGCTTTAGCAAAATGGCCATGAAGTATAACGTCTACCTCCCTATTACTGCATTTTTAACCCGATTGAGTTGGTCTGGGCTGCTTTAAAAAAAAAGTAAGAAAACATAATCAGACCCCTCAATTAAGTGAATCGCTATTGGCCACAATAAGAGATGCAGTATCTCATATTGCTGCCACAGACCTATGGAAGCAGTGTTCTAGGCATATTATTGAAAAAGAAAATGAATATTGTGTTTTGCCTCCTGTAAATCCCGTTGTAATTCCTCTACAAGATGACTGTAGTGTACTATAATGTAAGTCTTTATATACCTACCTGCTATGTAAATATTTGCCTATGTCAAACGTTGGAATTCTTGGAATTTTTCCATTTCTTAACTTTCAGTCAACATAAATTAAACTCCCAATATAAGTATTTTTTATCCCAAATCAAAAAAATAAGAAGATAGTAAAATCCATTTATTGTGATATAAAAACATTATTATTATCGTTCTAAATAAATGCCGCACACCTATGATACGTCATGAAATTACAAAGGACGCGCCGACCAAAGGTTTTTATGCTATTTCAAGTGACTTCAGATACACCATACCTGTTTAAGACCAATTGTCAGAGGCATGATTCTAACTGAATTTCGACCGTTAAAATTAATTTCAATAGTTCATTTGATCCGCTGACAATTTTAACGCAGTCATGATTTGAATATAGAAAATCACTAGAATCGAGTGTCAAAATCATCAAACCGGATCATTTATATGACGGGAAGGCCACAATAAAACCGATTTCAGTAGTCGACATTCATTTAGAATCGGGCTCAGAGAGCACATTTCCTTTTCCATATCTTCGCGTTCCTGCGATACTAATTGCATAGAAATATTTAGACAACTGAATTATGAAATTTGAGAGGCATTTAAAGTTGTTTCAAAGTTCTTAAAGCAAAAAAATTATAAAATGCTAAAGAAACTGGAATCTGGTAATATGAAACCTGGGCAGCAGACATTGAAAGAAAATCCTTTCACGTTTTTACAAATTCAGCAAGCTAATAAATCCAGTTTGTCTACTTTGACGGTGTCTGAGAGCCGAGCACGCCCCTCTACGGCCAGATTTTGTAGCTACTAGGTGTGTTACGTGTAGTTCTACAACCAATGGTTGGAGAGATTCTGTAACACCAACTGTCACAATGGTAACATGTTCAAATGTAGGAGTTGTAAATAGACTTTACAAATATGTATATGATTTTGGACGTTTTGCTTTGTGTTTTTTTTTCTTCTTAAAAGGGATCAAGTAATTAAAAAGGTGAAATAGAACTTTGATAATATTCATATAGTCCATGTATTAAAATAATTACAAAAAAAGGTCTAACATCCAAAATTTATTTATTCAAATTCCAAATTTCCAATAAATAAACTCTGGTTTAACTCTTAACTTAGAACTTCATTCTATGGGGATATTGCGAACTCCTAAGTCCCCACATTGCTGAAAGGTAGATCTTCAGGAGCTTGCGGTCAGGATGTGTCTTGATTGCCTCCAAGATCTGGGTATCAACTTCCTTTTGGTCAGTTTTCCTCTGCTCACTCACTTTGTATCCCTAAAATGATTGAAGACTGAAGTTGTGTGTTTCTTATTAAAACTAGATTACATAATTTGATGAAAATTTCATAATTTCTCCTTTTAAGTCATCTATATGTGCTACTTCATTAAAAGCTCATTCACGATAGTCTCTCCACAATGAAGGTGTGATAAACAAATAGTAAACTTTAGAATACCCCTGCTACAAAAAATTTTTACCTCAAACTATAAAATATTCATTGATAAAATTTTGTATTTTAAACACTTCGCTTGAAATTGACCTCACCTCCTTTTTGGTTTGCAAAATATCTCCCTCTTCTTTCTTTGCCCTCTTTTCTCTCTTCCTGGCAAAGTATTTGTCATTTATATGTTCTGGGAGTTTCACACCACTGATGTCAATCTTAGTAGCTGTGGCAATGACATACCTCTGGCTAATTCTCCTTAATGGACAGGCATTGATTCCAAAAGGCCCTGCAAAAAATTTGCAGATAAACATATTTTCCAAACATGGTAAAATCAATAATCCATCTTTGATACTAATTAGTTGATTGTTGAGTATGAAGATTTTTTTCAAAGTATAATCCTTGATGAAAATTATAGTCAAGATAGAAATACATAAAACAGTATTTTTATTAGGCATATCATCATTTCAGTTTAAACTGCTATAGTAGCTGACCCTTATTTTTTATGAAAAAGCATTTACTAGTAACACCTGATGTATAAAAAATAATTTGTGCAAATACTGTAAACACTCAAACTTCATGGAGAAGATGGTCAAAATTTACTAAAATATCGAGTGTTCCAGCAGATCAAATAATTTTGTCCCATATATTTACCTGTTACCAAGAGGAGTCCAGAGTGCAGTTGCTTCAGGAAGATGACCCTCTTGCCCTTGTGAGAACCAGCTAACACGATAAGGATTGTACCAGGGGTAATTGTCTCTCTTAGGTTACGTTTATGTTGGCTGAAGCATTTCTTTGCTGGCCTTGGCTTGATCCTGGAATAGATTAAATAGTTCTACAAAACCATGTCATCATAAAAAGTAGTTGTCAGATCAGACAAAATCTGACATATACAAGGTAACTTAAAAAACTGTTGCGAATATTTCTAGGATAGAAAAAATGCCCTCTTACTGAAACATGCTAGATTATAAGTTTGAAATCACAAAATAACCTGCAAGTGGAAAAAGGTGTTGATATAATGTATAATGCAGTTACTTATATTGCTTATACAAGCAAAGATCTTGACTTATAGAAAAAAAAAATGGTAATTTCTACTGATTTCATTAATTTTTACTGGAAAAGACAAAAATTTTAATCTATTTTTACTACAGTATAGCTTTACCAAATATTAGCTACAATGTCATTTCTAAAATATCTATTGCATTGTTAGTTCAGATAAGGTAGCTAAGTCTCTGAGATGTTTGCAAGACTTTTAGAGAAAAGTTAGTTTGAGATATCAATCCATATAGATAAAATTATGTTCTACTTTGAAATGTTTCTCAAGTCAGTCAAGTTTGATAAAAATAGTGATGCACTCGTAGAGTATTGGCACTATTTTTTGAATTAATTTGTAAAATACCTTATAGTGACAAATTTCAAGTGGAAGATGGAATTATTAGTGAAAATATACATGTGTGAACCTTAAGTACAAGTATGGGTACTGTTGCATCTTGTAGAACTTTGGATTTCACTCTTTTTTGAGGTAGTGAGGTGGTGAATGATCACTTCTCATACCTTCTTATGTATGTGTTCAAAAATATATTTTACTACTACCTCATAATGCACAAATTTTTTTTCCATAATTATTCCCTTAATCCTTTTTTAATTTACTGCTTTTCCAGTTTTCATATTTTTCCCTAAATGCAGAGCCCGGCAACACTGCAGGCAAGCGCCTCTCATATGACATATGCACAGACATCATACATGGCAGATGGCCGTGAAAATAATAGGGGAAATAGCTACTAAAGATGCTGTGTTTTGGGGAAAAAAATCATGAAAAGTGGCTTCATCCACACTTTTTTTGTTTTAAAATAATCTAATAGACTACCCTCTATAAGTTTCAAGTGAAAAAACAGTGAAATCTGAAGTTCTATAAGGCCCAACAGTACCCAAGTATGATGCTATCTTGAGGGTACTGTTATCAAACCAATACATTTCTCCAACTTATTCGAAAAAATAATATAGTGGATCAAAGGATTCAAGTATGTAGCCTCTGAATTAACAATTCTATGTAGCCTAATAACAAGAATAAAGCTAGGTACTGATAATATTAATACTACAATAGTTGAAAATCAGCTCAAACAGACAAATTAACACACTGCTACTTACTTATCCTGAGTAGGATAGTATGCCCTCCTCTTCTTAACCAAAACAAAACGTTTTCCACCGTTTTTATCTCCTCCAATAGGTTTTTCGATAACGCGCGGTTTCTGTGACTTTTTCGAAGGTTTTACCGTCTTGCCAATGAACTTGTAAAGGGCCTTCTTGTGGTACATTCTAGATCTTGAAAATCTAACGACTCCATTGCCCAAGTCATAGTTTCTAGGCTTACCAGATTTCTTGCTTTTCTTGGTAGCCTCGCCGGGCTTTTTCTTTTCCGTCTTGGCCGCAGGTGCTGTAGGTGCCATCTAAAAAAGATGATTTTAGGTTAGAATCTGGAAGCCCATAATCTTCAAACGAATTTATAGGAAAATTAGGAAAGTATTTTATGCTTAAATCAATTGAGATATAAGCATGAATCAAAACCAAATCCTAAATAAGCATTAAAATTATGAACTTCAATGAAATTAGACAATTTAAAAAGTGGCTCTGATCAGTGGTATTTACTATTTGTATTAATTTTTACAAAGAACTTTACAAAAATTCCGCATAAGGCCGACATGACAAAGATTGGTGAACATTAATAAAACTTAAAAATTCAATTTCATACCAAGATGATAATGAAAAATAAAGATTTTATGAAAATAAGTTCACTACACTCACCTCGCAAGATGTTTACCGTAAAAAGAAGGAATTGCGCTTGCTCAGAAATGTCAACGTGACAAATGACCATGACAGATCTGGCAAAAACAAAAAATCACCAAATTTGTTTCACTGCCCTGGAATTTGTTTTTCAAATCTGATTATACGGAAATGTCGCTATCAAAAATTTTACATTTATCACTTTTTGTCATGTTCTAGACGATCTAGTTTTATTTATTTTGTACCATTGACGACACCATTTGTTTCATGTCTTTTACTACTGGCAACACTGAGTACCTGAGTTATTTTATTATTTTTATGTTGGCGGTCTACTAACTTAATACCCAAAAAGATAGCTAAAATGTCACTTGTCATTTCTGTCAACTTTCTTTACATGGCTGTTGCCGAATCCACCACGTGTGTGGAAAATAGATTTGTTGAATTTTGAGTGTAAATACGTGAATAAAAAGTAAGTATCCACTCAAAATTTACTACTAATCCGTATTAATACAATTGCGGCATTTAACAGACTGTAAATAATAGATTTTTCTATTTACCTTCCAGATGCCTTTAGCGATTGATTTGCTTCATCCCTCGCCCGAAAAACAGAGGAGGGCACACAAAAAGAAGAGGTAAGTTGTTTAAAATGTATTAAACATGGTACCGCATCAGTTAGAACAGTATTATTTCACATATTTGCTGAAATATGCGACCTAGAAAGTACGACGTGCATGCCGCATGCAGGCTCGGACATGTTTGATTTTCGGATTTCAAAGGTTTGTAACGCAATTTGGTTGTAAATTCATTAAATACGGTTTTTTACACTTTCCGCTACCGCTATCAATTTGAATTAGTCTTTAATTAACATAAACCATGCTGCAGACTATAAAGTCTTTACCCCTTATAGGATTTTCAAATTCACAATTTTTTCATGTAATGTTTGTTTATATTATGCAATTGTTTGAAACATTTGAATTACATTCCATTTACACATGGAATAATTTTATTTCAAGGTGCATATTGAGCTAATAAACTTATTTCTGAATCCCATATTTTTATGAGCAATTTTTAAATGTTGAAAATCCATACAGTCAATTTCAAATTAATGATTTTTGAAAGTGTTAGGGATCATTTTGTCTTTATGACTATTTTCATAGATTTGTTTCTATTGTGCGATAGCTTGAAACATTTCTGTTGTTGTTTTTAAGAAGATACAGACAGCCATACATAAATCCTATTTTTCGTCATTTACAGGTATTGCTAATATCAATTATTATATTTTAAACTATTGTTTATTTTCGTGACTAGCCAATATTTTTTTCTTTTTTTGCAGATTGGTTCAACACCCCAATAGTTATTTTATGGATGTAAAGTGCCCAGGTTGCTATGCCATCTCAACAATTTTCTCACATGCACAGTCAGCTGTCCCATGCAAGGGGTGTTCCACAATCCTGTGCACATCAACGGGTGGTAAAGCTCGACTCACTGAAGGATGCAGTTTCAGGCGTAAACAATATTGAAATGTTTTATAAAGTTAAATTAATGTACCTTTAAGTTACGTTTTCTAAATATACGCTCTGACTGTGTCCAAACAGTATTCCATCTATTGTTTTATTTGTCATTTTACTACATAGTGACATATAAGTAGGCATCTACTTGGTGTGTCAAATTTTTTTAATGTAGATGACTGCAATGCATTATCTCGTTCCAATTCATCAACTAGCATAGCATATTTTCTTTTCCTAGAGTTAAGACTATACAGGGTACTTCTTGTCTGTTCTTTAGCAGGAAGGTGCCCTAGGTGGTTTTAAGGCATGGTTCATATAAATATAGGTCTGGAAGGCATTCATTTTTTAAAATATGGAATGTTGAGGTTATATTTTAGAAATATATTAAAATTTTGTGCATTTAGTTCTAACAACATAACCAATTATACAAAAAATATGCCCAAGACCAGATCAGTGGTATTGAAACTAGGAAAATTTGACCACTACTGAATAAAATAATTTACTACGCCACTGACTTTTGAGATGTTATTCAATTTTTTGATAACTTTTTATCAGGCTGATGCTTAGGTAGACAAAATTTGTGTAAGTATTCAAGGCAAAATCTGTATAAGAAACTCAACCCAATCTGCTTTGAAAATATGCTGAAGTTGATGAAATCTGGTCTCACCAAGGCATTATTTAAACAGCAACAATGCTTTGTCTTTATTCAATCTTGTCTCAGTAATTTATGACAGTTTGTAACTTAAAAACCCATATTTTTCTTAACCCTTGGTTGCTTCTCATGGATCTATAAGATCCTGTTAACTTTAGAAACATTGGTTTCAAACAATATCAATTATCATATGTTCAAACTGTGCAAGAATAAGTTCTGCCATATTATTGGATGATATATGTTTTATATCAATTTTCTTAATTGTTCAAAAAAATATATATATGAGGGTCAAGACAACCCTTGATTTAGAGACTGAAATTTATTTTAATAAATAGTGCTTAATGAAATGTGGACACTTGTTAAGAAACACTATTTAAGAATATCCTGTATGTATTCTATATATGTGAGAAATTCATGGGAATGATCATGAACTAAGACCTGAAAAATAAAGCGGAACAAAAATAAAACAACTATATGTCTTGATAAATATTTTAAATAAACATATTCATAAAATACATTTACACTCAAAATTGGAATGGAAATCAAAATAATACATCCTAGTATGTAAATAAAACAGATATGAGTAAAGCTGTGGTAAATATATGTCCCTACATATACTTACTAAATTCAAGTCAGTTCAAGTGTATATATAGCAAGATTTTTTCTTGCACTGAGCTCATTTAAAATCTTATCTAGGAGAAATAAAGTACCAATATACGCATTTAACTCTTAACAATGGAATCATAGGCTTGGAATACGTATGGCGCCACCTCTACAGATCTAGACTTCAAACTAAGTGTTGCTGTAGAAACTCCTGGTTGCAACTTCAGTTCTAGAAGTACCCAAATATTGTTGGTCAGTTTGAGAGACTGATACAACATATCTTGCCCTTCCACATTACGTTTTGCAATAGTGAAAATGTTATTCAATGTCATTTTGTTGGAGATACTGTCAGTAGTGCCTTTTACGTCATTTATAGTGTACTGGACCTGCAAATAAGGTATTAAGGATCACATTTACAGACGTTCCAGCATAATTGAGCAACGATATCGCCTTGGATTTTAAACAAACAATAACCTGCCAGACGCACTTGTCGGGCTTCTGCCTCCCATCCCAACTCTGTCAAACTTTGTACTTCAGAAGTGGGCGGTATGACCGCTCCTTTATTGCTAGGATGTCGAGATCGTGGAACAATCTACCTGAGGAAGTTTTCCCAGTTCTGCTAACCTTACGCAGTTCAAAAATTGGATTAACAAGGCATCTTTTAGTTATATCAGTCTCAGTGCCCTAGTATTTAGGTATCTGCCTGTGCAACGGCTTCAGTATAAAAAATTTGGTAAATCTTCGAAATTTGACAGATTTTTCGGAATTTTCTAAACAACCAATATTTTTAAATTTTTCAGAATTTGAAACCTTGTAAATTTTAAAATTAGTATTTTTTTTTATTGTAATAGGGTGATCTAAAATACTGTTTTATTCTTGCCAAAAATTATATTCCGAGTGTTTTCACTTTTTTCTATGAACGAGAAGTGCAAAAATTGCACTCCAATATTCGACTGTAAAATTTTGCAACAATCTGTCCAGTGTATGGTTACGTTCTATTGGTATTCAGAACGAAAATACGAGAGATGTCTTTTAAGTTTTGCATATCGAAATAAAACAACACGATGACATGACTTTATTGTTTTCGAAGTATTCTCTACGAAGATGCATGCGCTCGAACCAGTTGTCTTGGTGGAGGATGATTCTTCTTTCGGGGTTGATTTTCCGAAGCTCGGTGATGACTTTTGGCAAACAAATGGTGATATACCAATCCGCAGTAACAGTTCTTTGCTCATTAGGAGGAATTGTTGCAATATGACCCGCTTGTGACACAAATGTCGGTAACACTGTTGTTGGCTTTTCTTCACCTTGGAACACGCAAACAGACGACTATCGTTCTGGTTCATAACAGTAAATCCACGATTCATCACCACTAACAATGTTGTACACATTTTTTGAGTTTCCTTAATTGAAACGGTCAAGCGTTTTTTGACACCAATTAACCCTGGCTGCTTTCTGCTCTTCAGTCAACAGGTGGGGTATCCAACGAGAAACTAAGTTTCTTACTCCTAATTCTTCATGTAAAATTTTTTGAATTGAGGTCTTTGAGATCTGCAAGGACGCCTCAATTTCGCGATATGTCTATCTTCAATGATGAGTTTCCGCACAGCATCGACGTTTTCCTGGATGACCGCCGATTTTGATGCACCCACCCTGGGATCGTCGCTAAGACTCACCCGTCCACGTTTGACTTCTCCATACCAACGGGAAATTGTCGACTGATGTGGCGCTTCGTTGCCGAAAACAGACAGTAACTCAGCAAGGCATTCTTGTTGCGATAATTGTCTGTGAAAGTTATAATAAATTATGGCGCGAAAATGTTCTCGGTGGAGTTCCATTTTTCTAATGACTTGGTGACACTTAAAAATTCACTGTAGTGAGAACACTGCACGTATTGTTGTGAAACTTTGAATTTAAGTTTACTAAAGAGTGAGGTTAAGATTGAGTACTGACGTTCAATCCGCGCGGCCTACTATGTTTCTATATGCAAGACTTAAAAGACATCCCTCGTAAAATCCTATTGGCCGAGTCCTCTGATGATTTAAGTAAGCGCTCTTTTTAATTATAATTCCAAACGCATTTTATCCAATACACGAGCGAGAAAATGAGGATAGGCTACATCATCTTTGGGAATCGGATGGAATCTATTACTGCTTTTAAAAATTTAACATGACAAAATATTTGCTGGCATTAGTTGCAAGAAGAATGCAAAAAAATGAATATTCCCAAGTAAGTATAAGTTTTAATGAAAAATTTACCTCATTTGCACTAGGGATGTCTCTCCATGTAGTAAGGAACACCCTTTTGTCCAACGTTCCATCCTCTGTGAAAATAATTTGCAATGGAATCTGACAGGCGTAGTAGAATACGTCCACGTTATTCTTCACAGCAACCTACGAAAATTATATTTATGCATATTTCAGAATTTGATGGATTGAAAACGATGGGTCTCAGGTAGGTCAGAGTTGGGGAAAGTTTATTCAGATTTCATCTTATATATTCAAATACCTGCAAGGTGGTAAGAGGTTCCATCCTCTGCACTGGTCCCGTGGTAGCCAAGGCCATAGAATATTCCAAGCTTTGACCAGGTTGTAGTTGAGGAATTGAAAGTGGAGAAGCAGGTGTAATACCAAAACTGTTTTTGTTAAACTGGATAGCAAAACCTGTCATTGCCTGCAAAAAAATTGTGTTTATCTATCAACAAATTAATAAGTCTTAACACATCTTCTATTGGTAGAATTTGCCAAAAGGAATTATTGAATGTACATTTTCGAATTCGTATCAAAACATAATCGTAATATTTTTTCATCACTTATTTGTACCTGCATAGCCTTATTAGTAAATGTCATATCCATATACATCTGTCCAGCTTTTCTAGAGAAAGTGCCGTAGATTTCCAAGCCTTTCCCCTTTTCAGCAGGCAGCCAACATACTTTTGGAGGTGTATACATTGCTGGTGTGGATGGAATGCCAAAAATATCGCCCAGCAGCCCTGTTGTTGATGGGGTCGCACCCCCTGTCAGATCTGGACCGCCCAACTAGAAACATACAAAAAATATTCAAGGCTCATATCCGTACTTTAAGAAATGATACACCAAATAATGTTCGGAATACATCGCCTGTCATGTTCTGTCTTGCATATTTTTGTTCTTCTAAGACTCGTAAGGTATCACTCATAGGTTGAAATGGACATGTTTCATTTCCATGGCCAACTGCAGACAGCCCTGTTTCGTGTCTTGAAAATTTAGGGATTTTGTATCTTGAAAGGAATAACTGATTACTTACCAAAATGTCTAGACCACCACCAAGTAAATCGACGTTGCTAGTAGGTTGAACGGCAGGTGCAGGAACCACAGGTGCTGGAGCTCCAAGATCCATAGACAGAAGATCTCCAATAAGACTTTCTTGATTAGGAATCACTGTAGCCTCTTGCGTGGTAGAAGCGTCATCCGCGGAACCTTGCCGAGCAGGCAGAGATTTTCTTATTCCTAAACCAATAATTTTTTAAGTCACAAAATTTCGACAGACAGTCTTTTTATTCGATTTTGCCTTTAGCAAAGGAGGTATTGAGGCACCGCTCATTTAATGCAGAAGCAATAGAAGTCGATGAGCGATAGTAACGTTTTTGTAGTAATGAATACGAATGATAATCAATCGAAGTTGCACGCCCACGCTTCAAACGTGACACATTACCTCCATTTATCGTTCCAGTGCGTGGGCTGTCATTTCATTGTATGCAAAGGAAGGCAGCACATTCGTTTTTTTTACTTTGTTTCCCCTCCCTCCAACGGGCGTGCACCTTTAAGTGACATAAACATTACAACTTACCAGTTCCTTTTTTCTGAAAAGGTTGGACGTAGAATAGTAACTTTACATCAAAAGTCTTACCGAAAATAGGACATAGGCTAGTCCTGTTCTACAGATTTTAAACTTAATATTTTTGAAGCAGTAACATATCTTATATTAACATTTCCCTCGACAAGACGTGAAAGCATAATTTTAGAATGTTTGATAATGAAATAAAATTTTCTGAAATCGTTGAGATAATATTGTACCAAACATCTCACCTTTTAACCATAAATAAAACAACAAAAAACTTCTATAAAATTGCATTAGTTGAGTTAAACTACTCCTAAATTTAATAGGTCTAATGACTGTCGTATCATCGTTGACCTTAGAAATAGCAGCTCTTATTTTTAAAAATAAATCTAAATTTGGAACATTAAATTTAAGTTAAGCTATTAGACGAAAGCAAGATCTTAAATTAGAAGTACTTGTGAAAGACCAAATAATGTATAATGGTCTAAAAATTGACATGTGCCTTCCTGATGCTATCAAATGAATCACCCAGGATATGTGTTGATGAAAAGAATGCGGAAAAAATTCTGGTTGTTATTTGGTTATTGCCGCGTCTAATCATCCGAGTTCCTGTTTATGTTGGTAGTTTCCGTTTTAAATTATAAGCGAATTGTAGATTTGGCAAACCCTAACGGGCAACATTTTGAACTCTTATTAAAATAAAAAGTGATATTTTCGTGTTTTTGTTTTCTATCTGAACAAATTAAGATAAATAAAGATCTTTCTAATTTTCTTGAAAAGGAATCTACCGATTTTAAAAAATCAAACGTCAAAATAAAGGACTTCGAAAGACCTTTCAAAAAAGCTATTACTCGATACCACTTGTCATTCAAAATTTTCAAGGGGTTGACCCTGGGGAGCAGAGGATGGAACGGGGTGAAGTATTTTTTGGTTAAAAAGTTGTCCCTATTGCCTTTTCTAGGCAATTTTTCTTTTAATCAGTGGTTTTCGATAAATCAAATGAACACCCTGTATATTGCTGTATCCTAATATAAAAATTACCCTGATATTAGACCTGAATTGCGAGACGCATGCCACCCCGTTCAATTTGGTCATAAGGGCACTTGCTCTCAGAGGAGCTGTTTAAGTGCATGCAGTTCCTCCCTCGCTCCTCAAGTCATTCCCCTTCCCAGAGATATGCTGCAACCACCACTGCCCCCATTTCCTTAGGGAGATGCCTAAGAGTGCCCTTGACCATGTGTGGGCTCCACAATCCATTTAGTTAATTGACATTGAAATAAAGAAAAAAAAAGTAAAAACAAACCTGCACTTCTTCCCTCAACAAAAGCTGTTGGTGGCTTATGATAGACACTAGCCAAAGATGATATGTGGCAAATCAGCTCATCTAGCAATGTGGGCTCCAATAGATCCGTTTCTTCTGAAATCAGCGGCTTATGTGCTAGAACCACTTCTTTTGCTGCTGCTGGATCTGTACTCAGCAATCTACAAAAAATATTAATTATTCAAAGTCAGGTTGCTTAACAACAAAAGTATACCTCCAATAGATGAATCCACGATCTCTTAAATCTGGATTGTCAGAATCTTGTGTAGCCAAGCTCAAGACATGTTGTACCAAACCTTGGGTATGCTGGGGCCGTTTCAAAAAAAGCTTTACTACAGCCGTTAGCAACTGAAGCTGAACTTGAGCATTCTCGTCCGCGAATCCTAAGAAAACAGAATGAGATTGCAATTTGTACAATTTTTATCTTAAAAATATATATACCTTCTAAGAAACTATCAAGGAGTTCATCAGCATTATCAATTCTTTCTGCGTACTCTCCAATAATCCAAACCATACTCGCTCTAGCTTCGGGCTCATCCAGAGTATCCAAATTCTCGCATAATGTGCTAATGATGCTTTCATATTTATTGGGATACTTTCTGGAAAACCAAATATTAGAATTAAATCGCGCGCGCTTTATCGGTCTAGTAACAGCAGAGGTACGAACTAAAATGTGTGCCGGCAAACGCATCAGTGTTACCAAATTTAAAAATAGATTTGGAGAGATCCGTCTTGCCAAAATAAAATCGGAATTTAGTGACATCAGTGCTGTTAACATAAACATCTGAATTATTGATTTCAGTGTCGCCAAAATATAATCTGGTTTCATTATTCAGACAGTTTAGTGATTTTTGTGTTTATAGTAGCGATAAGTGGCGGCATTGTTACAACTGACGTTTGACGGATTGTGTATCTATCGGCAGCGCAAACGTCAGAATTTATCGATTTTGTGGTCACTCGAAAATCAAAACCCGGTCAGATATTTTCAAATACAATTGGTAACAAATAACCTTTCAATAAAAATTGGTGGTAGACACGTTGGTATTAAAGCAATATAGTTGCTATCAACTATTACTACATTATTAAGGCGTGGCAAGATGTTGGATGAAAAACTACTTCAAGAAAGATTGGAGCAATTCAATCCAGAACCATTAGTACCTTTGGACCATACCTTGGGAAAAGCAGAAATAGAAAGCGACGTAGTACCAAAAGATGAAAATACAATAGATCTTGTAAAAGTCAACTTTTTGAACTTCTTGGATAATGATGGTATTAAGAAGTCTTGCGAAAATACTATAAGAAAATATGGAGTAGGAACTTGTGGCCCCAGGGCATTTTATGGTAAGTTTGCATTTGAAATCTAATTCATAATAATCCAACAAATCTGCAAATTATTTACTACATAATTGACTTTTGTGATATATTTTCAATCTTGTATCAAATTAAAAGCCCTCTAAGGTAAAACAATGATTCAACCTTTACAAAATTTGTCATTTACACACATTAAATGTAATACTCTACTTTGCATGCATCAGTTGAGTGTTCAGGTTCATTTGATTATGTATAGAGAAACCCAGTAAAAGATATTCTTGTCACTTCCCTTCAATTACTAGTTTATTATTTCCAACGCTAGACCTTCAAATATCCACTAAACCTTACTATGATAATCACCAAGCTTTCTTTTTAGGCACAACAGATCTTCATTTGGATTTGGAAAAAAGATTAGCAGAGTTCCTCAAAACAGAATCCTCTATTGTCTACTCTTATGGATTTGTCGCTATATCCAGCTCTATCGCAGCATACTGTAAAAGATCTGACACAGTATTCATTGATGAAAAAGCCAACATTGCAATCAGACAAGGCCTCCAATCCTCCAGGTGCAAAATTGTTGAATTCAAACATAATGATCCCAGCAGCTTGAAAGAAGAAGTTTCCAAAGTGACCAAAAAAGAAGGCAAGAGGAAATCCAGAAAGTTTTTAATAGTTGAAGGAGTTTCTTGGGCTACAGGCAAATTATTACCTCTTGAAGATTTCCTCAAAGTAGCAGAGGCAAACAAGATGAGGATATTCTTGGAAGAAACATATTCTATAGGTGTATATGGGAAACATGGACGAGGTCTAACAGAACACTTTGACATAGACCCAGCAAGGATTGACATGATTATTGCAACCCTAGAAACATCTGTTGGCTCAATAGGTGGATTCTGTGCAGGATCAGATACAATCATTGAACACCAAAGCTTGTCTGGATCAGGGTACATCTTTTCAGCATCATTATCAACATTTTTAGTGCAAGCTTGTATAGATGCTGTTAATATAATGGAAAGTACCCCACAAGTATTTGAAGATTTGAGGAAGCTAGCAAAATATGTACACAACTTCCTTGTAGAAGTAGGATATAAGGTTGAGAGTGATCCAGAATCAGGTTTTAAGGTATTCAAAGCAAGTGGCAATGAGGAAAAAATATATAGCTACTGTAAGGAAAATGGAGTTCACCTCATATATAATAAAGAAAAGTATTTGGTCATGAATCTAAATGTAGAACTTTATAAAAATAATAAGATTCAAAAAGTATATGATGTGCTGAAAGAAGCCTCAGCACTGTAGGGGCAAGCTATAAAATATATATTAACACAATCTGTTTATGTTAGTATTTTATGGATGAATGTTTATTATATACATATTTAAAATATTTTATTGCTGCAGATAACAAGGTTAAGCAACTATTATCTATAAAATGGCACAGGAAATGGACTATTTAAGTTTATAAATTTGTTAAATATTCACAATTTTAATGAGCACTTCATATGTATTTCTATCTTCACCAAATATAATTTAAAATTTCGAATGCAGTTTTATTATAAGCCAAACTATGAGAAGAATATAGATTATGCACCAAAACAAAGTTTTATATATTTAGGATGTGTATGGCTTGAAAATGTTTCAGAGCACTTGCAAATATTTTTAATATTGCTAAGGCCCCAATACTCTCAGCAGCGGCAGGGTGTTTCAAAAGACAAAACATTTAAGAGGGCCTTATGAAAATAGCTTCATATGAATGTGTGTCATAATGTTTTAAATTTTGAAATACAGAGAGACATTTCAAAAACAAATTATAGCATGTATGATGCAACCCTAGATGTTTCAATGAAATGTTGATCACAGCCAGTAAAATTGAAGGAATTTGCTTATGTACTATGTTTTTTCATTTATTAGTGGTCATTGTAGAATTGAAGCTAGTTTATAGCAAATTTTGGGGGAGAAAACAAATATATGCACACATTTTTTTAGTGTCCACACTTTCTTCAACTCACCTGAATATGTCCTTTATGACCACAATAGCCTCCTGCACAACATAGTTGACCTTGGTTTGGATGAGATCTAGCAGTGTTGCCACACACCTTTCTGCAGATGGTTCAACTTTGATAGCACATCTACCTATGGCTCTGACTGCTTTTCTCACAAAATCAACGTCAACCTACAAAAAAAAAATAATTTGAAATTTGAAGCAAAAAGAACTACATCTCCATATTTACCTCTGTAGCATATTCTTTGAGTTCACTGAGCACTTGAGCTATGTTCACCTGGGAGGCTAGACGTATCATTATGTCCAATTTTTCGAGTTTCACATAGATTGGATCATTGTACTTCACGAAAAATACCTATCAAAAACCATAAATAATTTTAAGACAATGATACTTTTTGATGAGAATAATTACTTTTGATAGACCCACAACAGCAGGATCTCTAAAACTTCAGAATTGCATGAAGAAATAAACACAGATTTTAGACTAGAATATTTACTATACCTTCATCTCATGTTTGAGAATATCAGGCTTCTTCTGAACAATCAAATTAATATTTCTCAAAGCCACATACTGAACTTCAGGTTCAGAGCTCAGTAAAGTGACTAGAGGTGGTGCCAGTTTTTTGCTTAAAGTATTGCAGAATTCTGTATCACCTGCTAGAATCTCCATCATTTTGATGAGCACCTGAAATTATAGAATCTTGTGGTATGGCCACACAGGCATGAAAATAATTGGTCCCGCTGACAAATTGGCGTATCAGATTCGGAACCTTTGCACCCAATTTATCTAAATCACATTTTCGCTCACATTGTAGATACAGGATTTTTTAACATCGTTTCATAGCACCGGCAGTTTACAGGATTTGAAACAGAAATATCAGTTTTGTACTTGATTGTCTTAAAAATGCAATGTCCGCACTAATGACATTTTTGTCCGAATTTTACCTATTTTCAAATATTTAACTTTTATATGAAAGCATAGCCACAACACTGCTTCTAATCCATAATAAAACACTGTAAGACACAGAACACATTTAAAAATGAAAGTGTTATATCACTGTGCCAGCAACAGAAATACAAGAGGCACAAATCATTACTATTAATGGATGTTCTACCAAAGAGCCGTTCATTGCCAGATCACCGAGGGCTTGAACTGGCACGTACACATCTCGTCGATAGCGGCAGCTGCGGGGAAAACGCTAGAATATTTAGGGCTAAGAAGTACTTTTCTCCACATGACCTTCTCACTCAGTACAAGGTCCAGAAAAGACCTAGCCTCGGGTATTGCTCACATGTACGACTGATCGATGACTTCTCGAACGGGCAGTCCCGGGACCCTTTAGCACCGGCGGGCCGTCGGCGATGTATCTCTCTTTCTACCGCTACGCCAACGAGCTTTGCTCCTCAGAGCTTTCCTCCTTGATGCCACCGCGTGATGTGCTTGTCAGATCCTACCATCCTAATCGTGTCGAATTTCGTACATCCATAACTGGCCGATACGATTGCTCATTTGTCCCTAGTGTATCGAGATTGTGAAACTTTCTGCATAAGGAGGCTTTTTCCAGTTCTACTACTAACCTTAGGCAGTTCAAACACGGGTTAACAAAGTTTCTTTAAGCCCCTCTTAGTAGCCGCGGTGCCGTGCATTTAGGCTCCTGCTTGCACAGTTGCTTCAGTGTAAAAAAATAATGTGAATTCAACTTTCCTGTTTAATGAGAGCTCAGTGTTGCAACACTTTTACTTTTATATGTTGCATTATAGATTTGAAGCAGGAAGTGTTACGACTTATGCAATCATATAAAAATAAATACTACATTCAAAAATGGATGAAATAAAAAAAAATTATAAAATTTTGAAATGTATATGTCCTAAAATATCTAAATACAAAAGTTTCATAAATGGAATCAACTTGAAAATTGAGTTATTCTCAGGACCGAAAATCCCACTTATTGACCCTTATGATTTTCATTTTCTACAAGCGGATGAAACGTGGTATATCTAGGTGATTTTGGCATCGTATTCGACATGGAAATATTTCTCAAATTATTTTGTAGCATGAATGTAAATTCTATACCATTTGCCATATAAAATTTCCATTTTTAGACGCTAAATTGCAATATTATGAAAAATTATAGATGCCCCATGGAACCGAATTTGGAAAATGAATGAATATCAGATTCGGAATCTATACACCTGATTTATCTAAGACACAATTTAACAACCAAAAAGATAATAGTGGCTTTTTGCAAAAAAGCTAGTTACTTACAGAATTATAGATATTCCATCATCATCTTACCTTGACAGCAGACAACACAACAGCAGCATTTGCATGAGCCAAACGAGGTGTGATACGTTCACAAATACTCTGGGCTTCCCTCTCGTCTCTTGGGGTGTAGTTAGACAAAGAATCCAAAATGAAGACTTGCCCCCATTCGGTGCATTCGTTTAAGGCAGTTAACAGTTTATTGATGGTATTTGTTGTTAATTCTGGGAAATTAATATCCACTTTATTTACAACAAATATTTTTTTATTTTTAGAATAGGTGGTTAAACCTGTTTTCTTTTTAACAAACCACTGTTTTCCTAGTTTTGAGACTTTGTACGAAAAATGAAATGCCGCCTGTTTCAGTCGAATTAACTAGCCAAATTAGAACACTGCTGTAGAAAAAGTGTATAGTTAAATTGTACAAGAAAATATACGTGTTTCGTAAGTGAATCTCAATATTTAAGGAGTCAATTTTTGGGTTCATTTTAAGAAGAAAACTTCATATGAACATATGTCCTAAACATCTTAACTTTTAAGATACAGATACACTTTATAAAAATATTTCAAGACTTTATTGCAACCTAATGTTTTCGAATGTTGACATCACAAACATAATTTCACAAATATAATTTTTTACAGCAAGTTTTGATTTCCTGGTCTAGTTATACAGTGCAATTTAACCATGACTCATATTTATCCTAATGAATGTTTCATATTATTTTTTGTACTTACCAACTAACGGTTGGCCAGTGGGACTACTTTCATTGATTTCTGAAAGAGCTGCCACTGCATTTGCAACTACCATTGGATTGGAGTCACTCAACAGCTCTTTCAACTGCTCTAAGAATCCTTGATCCTCTACCAAACCTACAACATTCAATTTAATTTCTCACAAGGGAATACAACTCAAATAACAGGATTATTGAAAACATCCTCAAGAATTATCACAATGAGGGTATCAAGACTTGAAACTCTTTTTGGTTAAATGTATCATATTGCTATGATTCCTCAATATCAAGCTTAGAATATCAGTATTCTAAATTATATAAAGTGCTCAATCAAATCATCCTAAACGATATTACATTGAACAAAATTCGCTTTTCTTTAATAACTTCATCTTTGCATGTTTATTTGAAGATATTTCGAAGGAGCAAGCCTGTCTAAAAATTAATGTTTTGTTTTTGAATGTAAATTAAATTATAGGCAAGTTAAAGTATAGTCCAAGAAATCAAATGATTATTCTCTAGTTTAGACATTATTTTTAATATTTCTCAAGCTGTGTATCTTTGAAAATCATGTTTCTCTATTACCTTTTTGATAATTTCTGTACATGACCGAAACAAAATTCAAATACAAGCTGTTCTTAAAGACCATGCAACAATAAGCAAATTTTCATAGTAACACATACACCAAAGCCTTAAGACAACCGAGATATCAAGTTTCAAAAACATCTGAATGGGCCAGCCCAGCTCTGCTCAACTTCAAAAGAAAAGGTAAGATGCACGTCGATATCCAAATCACGCACTGCGCGGTGTGTACGTTAACTTAACAAACTGGGTTTGAAAAAACCAAAATTGGTACAATCATCTAAATTTGTTGTTGATTAATTGTGTCTTCAAATTGATATTGATACTTGGCAGGTGTGTTCAGATTGTATATCTGCACCTATATTACGTAATTCAAAAAGAAACATATCCATTTTTTATATTATGTAGGTTTTTTTGACATTATGTGGATTTTTCTATAGAATATTACCTTTGACATTCACATCACGCTTACTTGTAATAGGGTCAGAATTAACTACTTTTAATTTTACCGATTTTTTGGAAATTATATAGGTTTTTTTACATAATATAATAAGCCTGCCAAGTTGTATAGGTTGATGGATACAGTGGAAGACCTAGACAGCCCCAAATGTTTCTTTAGGAAGAGGATAACAAACTTAGTAAAACCAGTATTAATGAGCAAAATGTAACCCAGCAGTACTTGAAACTTCATACCAAATGTATAGTGGGGGCTTTTCGTCAATTTCTTTTTTAGATCTTTACTGATTTTTTACAGCATGTTCGGTTTATTATTTCAATCCTAATTTATTTATTTATTTATACTGGATCAACCCCATTACAAAAAAAATATATAAATCCAAATATAATAATACCTAACTAAGAAAAACAGCCAATAAAAAAAATAATCAGGCTAATTCTCTAATAATGGTCTAAAATCTAGACAAAGGAATGCCTAATATTTCAATATAAATAACTGGTTCACTATCCAATTAAGTGATGTAACACTGAATGAGATTTTGTTAAGGAGCTCATGGCCCAGCATATGGCCATTTAACAGTTTAAAGACAAACAGTAAATCAATATGAATATGCCTTTGACGTAGATTCTTCAAGTTCAATATATTCAGTGCATCATCATATATATGATCATCAGGAATTCTTATATGAAGCTTATAAAGACAAAATCTAATAAGTGTATTCTGCCCTTGGAGGGCTAGACAATTATGCATATAATATGGAGACAGGATCATTGATCCATTTTTTAACAAAGACACCACAACTGTGTGTACAATTTTTGACAAGTTTCTATTCATATCTCTCTACAATTATGTAACACAAAACCCCAAGGACTTTAGAAGCCTTAGGTACAACAGCGTTTATATATATATATATATATATGTGTGAAACTTAGTTGTTCATCAAAAAGTATACAAGATCTTTTATGACATTGCAATATTTTATATTATTGTTTTCTATAGTATAAGAAGAGGTCACCTTCTTATATCTTTTGTAAAAACTAATGTGGTTACATTTACCAATATTTAATGAAACATCATCATTAACACACCAATCACTCAGCCTTTTCAAGCCATTTTGCAACTCCTGCTCAGAACAAACCTCCTGATGAAATTTTAAAACATCCATAAATAAATAAATTTATTGTTTTCAAAACAAACTGGAATGTCATTTATAAGAATATTAAAGAGTAATGGAGAACAATGACTACCCTAAGGTACTACACCACAGGAAGCAATGATATGGTAAGACCTGGCACTGCCTATTCACACCTGTTGAAGTTAAAATTTTTCAGAAAAAATTAGTCCCAACTTTCAGGGCAGTGTATTTGGGGTTGCCTCAAACTTACCAGATGAAATGTCATATAACTTAGCCACACAAACTGCAGCAGTTTTCCTTACATAAGGATCCTCATCTTTCAAACATTTCCTCAATGGTTCACACAAATACTCAGTAATTTTATCTACTCTGATACATCCCATTGTTCTTACCGCCAATGCTCTTATCAGAGGATTTGGATCTTCACAATCCTAACAAAAAAGTACATGAGTCAGTAGGTATATTTTAGGAAAATACTTGGTTAAGTAATGCTAAGATTACCTTAATGAGCTGTGAGGTGGGCAAATCCTTGCATAAAAACGATAATATAAGAGCTGTGCATTACAAGCATAAATGACATGTAAAATATTTATGGAAAATAACTTACCTTCACAAATGTGTTAACTGCCATAATTGCCATATCAGGTTGAGATTTTGCATAGTTCATTAAGTAGAGATAGACCAGCTTTTTCAACTCCAAATTGTCTGTCTGCATGCAATTCACAACATCCGGAAACAAAGCAGAAACATCTTTTCCTACAGTCATTGAGGCAATAACCTAGGATAGAATTGCAAGATTTATATCTTTGAATGGCTAATATTATGATAAATATACCTTCTTAACAGCCTCTTTCTTCTTTTCCTTCTTATCGTTGTTCAACTCGGATTTTAACTCAAATATTTCACCCTTTTTGGTGGTAGTGAAGTATTTTGAGTCTGTCATAGTTGATAATCTGGAATCAATAACGGTAAAAGAATTGGAACTCGAGGCAACAGAGAAAAAACATAAATGTCAGCGATGTTTGCATATCGCAAGGAATAGTACACTTTACACTAAAAGCCTACCTGTTTTATCACAGTTTTCCTCAAAAAATTTGTTTTCTTTATCCAATAATTGCCTTTACGCCTATTTTTGTTAACTTGTCAATGTCAAATGTCGTGAACAGAAACAAGAAGTGTCAAGAATCAAATTCAAGCGGATAACCAAATGGAAATGGTATTTACCATTTTGGGTTGGTATTTACCAATCCGTTCAAGCGAGTGTAGTTATCAGTTTGGTTATAAGATCCGTGACGTCACGAATCAGCTGTTATATGTCATAGTTATCACCGCAAAATTGTGGTATTTACCCAACTCAAGAGTAGTTTTATATTTCTGGTTATTATTTGAAATGTGACAAGTTAGAATTTTGCCGGGTATTGGATATTGTTATTGTACTTCAGCTTCATTTTTGAGAAAAAAGATACAGGCTGACTTCAGTTTCACCATAAGCACCTTATTAGTTATACTCATTACGGTTGTTGGGGACACTTTAAATGTAGTTCCTGTGCTTAACAAAGTATCCGGTGTAGCCATATACCACAAGAATATTAAAATATGGCCATATAAACTCACTAGATGATATCCACCTGTATACGGTTTTGCTAATTTCTTTTTTCATCATTTCTGCTGAATCAATAAATGTTTTCTTTGACATGCGGAAAAATTTAGAGAATTGAAAGTTATCACAGCTACAAAGCCATGGTTCCATCATTAAAAAAAAATCTGAAAAAAACATTTCTCCCATGAATATTATGAAAGGTTTCTTATTTAAACTTTCCATATACAGTTGTAGACGAAAAAGCACCGATTATTAAGTGATAATAAAAATAATTAGAGATTATATACGCGCTTTTCTAAAATAAACAACTTGTAACAAAACCGCGGTTAAAACCAACGCGTTCAAGCGATTCGTGTAACTGACGTCATCAACCCGTGTGTCATCTTGAACCATATTATAACCGCGGCACATAACACAGAAATTTTGGTTATTCGCTTGGATTTGATTAAGAAGAATTACGGATTTATCACACGTTGACATTAGCGAACTTGAATTCTATTTCTCGGTATGTATCTAGTCGCAGGTCATAATATAGTTCAGTAGACAGTAATCTCAATACTTCGACAACAAATAGATCAATTTAATACATTGTGGATGAAAGTAGGTTATAAGAGTTTAATTATTGGATTATCACTAAACGAACTCTACCCGCTGGCCACTATTTGTCACCCCTTTTCGATATCACTTTTTCAAGGGACCGTTTTCTATAGGTAACGACCCCTACGCTTACTCTGTCACGTGAGATAGGTGGGACGCCGTCCTGCTGAAACCATGCCATGGAGTTATATCCATCAAATTCTTTGAGTTTTGTGTTAAAAAAATCCCTCCCCTATATAACCTTCTGAGTAAACAGTTATATCATGACCGCGATCGTTTTCAAGAAAATAAGGCCCAATTAAATATGTAGCTTATATTGCTGCCAAAACTGATCTTTTGGTAATGTAGTCTTTTGATGTTCAACAACGGCAGCTCCAAACTCCGGTATCGACAGTTTTGTTTATTAACAAAGCCATTCATATGAAAATGAACCTCATCTGAAAAGAGGATGTCACCAAATTTAGAGAACCGTTCAAAAGTAAAGAAAAGTAAAGTTCAACGCAAAGGTATAACCAGTTATTGTAACACTGAAACTTATCCTGTGGTTTACATGTCGATAATACATTTATGATTGAAACCTTTACTGCAGTAAAGAAGATCTGTAAATACATGTGCTTTTACTGGCTAAAAATTATATGACTCAATTACTTGTCATATTGCTAAATTATTATTGATTGCTTGGCTTTTATATACATCTTACCTTAAATAAATTGTTTAATCCGATAGAATATCACGGTTCTAAAAAAAATGTCCTGTCTTGGTCTTATCAATTTACATTGCAGTCAATCCTCAAAAAATGACAAAAACCTAAAACTCCATGAAAATTTATATATTTATTGTAGGTTTTAGGTTCGCTGATTATACGGTAACAGGATTATTACTACATTTTCGAAATGGCGGAACCAGAGTCGGGATCTAGTAGAAAATTGTTGAACTGTACAGTAACAAAAGTATTTTACTCCAAAACGATCTATTTTTTCGTCACCATTTCTACAGTTTAAAGGTACTGGATTTCCAAAAATAACAATTCTGGGCGATGTGAAAAAATAGCAATGCTGTACTGAATGAGTTGATTGCCTTCTACTAACACCATCATGTCAGAATCCAGTCGGTTACTAAGTCACTATATGTGACATCAAAATCGATGAATTGTTTAAAAGTTATTTGGGTAAAATCGATTTCCAGTAGTCCAATATGGGTCTGTGTTTCCGTAGGAACACCCCGTATGGCATCTTCTAGGAATAATGACATTATTGTTGTGTTCTACGTGCATCGGAGACACTGCTCTTCTATTCTTTGATACTCTGTAGATTTACTCACTGGAGATTATAAGCACTTACTCGTTACGTAACGAGTCGGAGTCTAATACGAGGGTAAAATTAATGGTCCGAGCGAAATATTTGTTGACTAAGAAAAATCTGCTATTGGGAGTAAAAATAACAAGGCCACACAAGACAACTATTGAAATATACTCTACTAGACTATCTGTAGCGAATTTTTTCTCGAAACCGTTGCACAACAACAGCGAGGTACACCACTCGGACGCTTCAGTCTCTCGGCAACCATCGGCGCAGCGGAATGTCCACGCGTTCACAACTCCGTGCAGAGCTCTATTCGGTTTATCTACTTTTTTTTAGTAGTGGTGTTCACTATAGGGTTCTCGATTGCGTCTCAGTGGTGCTTTGGTGTTTTAGTGATGTGACGTGGGTGTCAAGTGTCTCCAAAGTGGAAATTAGGTCTACTTCCAACTCTTCTGAGGGAATAGCATAAATGTGCAGCAAACTAGGTTAGCATTGCATACTCAACTTGTGTGTTAGGGTTGACATCATATGTTTTTTTTTTAAATAAATTGCGTACAATGCATACACAGAGATTAGTCATATACTGAGGTATTTGGGAAAAACTAAAATCTGGCCAAATCGTTTTTACTTTTGTCTGACTTTATTTTAAGAAATGTCAAAAAACTAATGGCACTATTTAGGCACTACTACAATGAAAAAATAGAAGAAAAAACGTTTGCATATAAAAAAAAAACAAAACAAATGTAACGTGATACATCGTTGAAGTCGTAGAAAAAGATGCTATTAAATACAGTATAGTTCTTTTTGTAAATGTTGTGCACCTGCACAAGATGTAAAGCTACTTACCTAATTTGCTATGTTGAGGAGCCTTTCTTCCCGAAACATGCACATCAAGATCATTTACCTAAATACATATTTCATTTCAATTTCACACTTCACTTCTTTGTTTAAAAAAAGTCCTGCAACAACTTAATCCTCGTCTTCCAAAGAATAGAAAAGTTCGCAAAAATAAAAAACAGCTTATTTTGTTATAACTTCTAAATATTAGATGTATCAAAATTGTCCGATGAGCTGGCAACGCCACAATTCTAGATAACAAGAATCACAAAGTCAACTGGCAAAACGTATGTCTATCCCGGGGTAACGACGGAGCATTTAGTACGTCAAAGTGGCAGTTTTCCATTTCTCTTTTTCAACTTTTTAAGCGTGGCTTGTCTTGCGTGGCCATGATATCTTCACTCGGGCCAGGTTTTTAATTTTGTATTACTTTTCCCTCCATTTTATGCGGCCTACAATGTTAAGTTGAACATTTTTGTTAATGAGTTTTTGGTTGTTCATTAGTTCATGTCACAGCTTCCTATTTGGCAGCACTGGCGCTGGCGATTGGTGCGTTAAAGTCAAACGTCACTCAAAAAGTGTGGTTAGAATTTTTGTTATTGTGTGATTGTGTCTAACGGTGATTACTTTTTAGTATTTTGTTTGTGACAACTGTTATAAGGTAGATCAGATATAGTCGGGATTTTTAATGCCTTCAAGCTTGTACTAACTTGATTTGCAGCTAAAATGAGTGATACAGAAGAAACCTCTGAGGGTGGACCAATTCCCAAAAAGAGGCATCATGAAGAAGCTGACCAAAATGAAGACTCACAAAGTACAGAACCGAAAAAGAAAGTCTTACCACATACAAAGCTCTTTCTGGACAATATGCCATCAGCAAACTCCTATGAGAAAAGTTATATGCACAGAGATGTTATTACTCATGTTCTTACGACTGCAACAGATTTTGTGATAACTGCTAGTTGTGATGGACACATAAAATTTTGGAAAAAGATGGAAATTGGGATAGAATTTGTAAAACACTTCAGAAGCCATTTAGGTAAGGACATTTGAGTCTAATATCTGTCAACCATTGATCTCCATGTTTGCCTGGCTGATAAAAAAGGCACAGATATTGAAAAAACATTTTACTGACATTTTGTTCACTATAATGATTAGATAACAAAAGACGACCAAGATAGCTAAAAATTCAGCAAAGTGTTTAACATATATGGTTTTATTTATCAAGCAACAAAGCATTGGGATGGATCCTCTAGACAACCATAGAACAAACTGGTAATACATCTTTCATCCGTCCGATCACAGATGACACCCTAGACAGCTGTTTCGTAATTTTTGACAACTAATTTGATCTTCGGTTGCAGGTCCAATTGTGAAGATAGTATGTAATGTTGAAGGGACATTACTAGCTTCAGCCTCTCTAGACAAATCTTTGAAAATATTTGATGTAGTTAACTTTGATATGATAAATATGTTGAAGCTAGATTATATTCCAAATACAATAGAATGGATACATGCTCCTGGTGACCCTATACACACTATTGCTGTGTCTGATAAAGAATCACCAAAAATTTACATTTATGATGGGCGAGGTGACAGCAAGCCTTTGCTGGTGTTGGAAAAAATTCACATGGCATCAGTCAGCTTAATGAGACACAATCCCAAGTATGATGTTATAATCTCTGCTGATAAAAAGGGAATGTTAGGTATGAACTTTACACCTTATTTATGTAATATTGAAACATAAATCAAAATTATTCTGCTAGAACATGCCTAATCCTATGCTCCATTTAGATGTTCACATATAATTTCCATCATTACAGAAATGCTGCCAAGTAGGATTATAAGGGGTGTTGAAGTTTAAAAATAAAAAACATTTTTTTTAATATCTACAAAACTGTCAACTGGAATAAACTAAAATTTATGTGGATTTACCTAAGTATTGTCCACATTCAAAGGTCTACTTAAAATTGATAAGCACCAGTGGCGGAGATACAGGGGATTAGTGGCATTATTTTTACAAATAAAAATAGTACGCCACTGTTTTTTTAAAATGTGCAATTTTTTTAATTCTACCTTCAATCAGCTACAAACCCCCTAGTCTCGAACTTGCAATAACAATCTGAGAGTTGGCAAAACTGGCACCTAAAGACAGTGGTTGGCAGGTATATAGATGTAGGCATAAGTGGTTGGCAACACCACAGTATGTATGCTATTTTAGCACAGACAAGGCATTCAATTGGATTGGGTATCTTCTGGTGGAATATGTAAATCAATGATTGAAGTTAAAATATTTTCTAAATTTTAGAGTATTGGTCAGGATACAAGCAAGAATGTATATTTCCAAAGAATGTTGCTTTCGACTCAAAATTAGATACAGACCTGTTCATTTTTGCAAAAAATAGTACTTTTCCAACAGGTTTGGCTTTTTCACCTAATGGTAAAAAGTTTGCCACTATATCAACAGATAGAAAAGTCAGGTTATTCAATTTTGTTACAGGCAAACTGGTAAGTATTTTTAGTATATTATTTAAAGTTCTTGCCAAGTTATGGATAAGTGACAAATAATGAATTAATTTGTTTGTCAAAGCTGTATGATAATGATCAGTTGAACAAATCAGAACATTTATATAAAACAAATCTAAGATGGAAGCAGTTAAATGATACCGTTGTTTTTAGAAACCAGTTTTTGATAAACTATTTTGAACGGATCTAAATACATTGTTAAATTCTCTAAAATATAGCAATATTTTTAGGTAAAAGTAATTGATGAAAGCATGTCAAAGTTCATTGAGTATCAGCAAAAAACTCAAAAACTGCCAAATATGGAATTTGGCAGGAGAATGGCTCTAGAAAGGGACCTGGAGAAATCAGAAAGTTTTGAGCTGGAGAATATCCTCTTTGATGAAAGTGGTCACTTCATAATGTATGCCACTTTACTGGGAGTAAAAGTCATAAATTTGTACAATAATACCTGCTCAAGGATCATTGGGAAGAATGAAAATTTGAGATTATTAAATATAGCACTTTACCAAGGTGAGCTATGTCCATCTGTCAACTTTGATATTGAATCACTCTACAATTTGGAAAGTATCTGCTATACCAAGGATGAAAAAGCTATATGAGTTTTGGAATTTGTTCCAGTCAAAATTGCTAAAACTCTGTTTTTGACGTTTCAAAGGCCTGCACGGTTTTAAAATTTGTTTGAAGTGATTGTGAATGATCGATCGAGGATTAAGAGGGTATAGAGTTGAAAATATTGCAACTTGTGTATTATTGAAAAACGTTGTATTATTACAATACCTTACAATACAAATAGTCTTTATTCATCAAATCATCCTAAAATAACATTACATGCGTCAGAACAGGGACGGGAAAAACAGAATAAAAATACTACAAGGTTAAGTCACAATATAACAAAAATACAAGATATGTGAGATTTTTTAAAAAATTCACAGCAGTGTAAAAACATTTGTTTGTTAAAAATTTCTCAACCTCTCTCATTAAATTATAAAGAGGTTTCCTTTATACATTGAGAACCAAATTTGTCTGACGACGTGACTTCATTGTGTACAAGAGAGAAGTGTGTATAGACATGTGTTTTAGAAAGAGATAGAAGCCGGCTAAATAGAGGAGCTAGCTAGCTCATCACCTAGCAACGCTGACGCGGCAGTCTGCCGCATTGCCAATATGTTACACCAATTCCTTGAACTGAGATGTATGCTGAAAATATGCGTTAGTTTATTCTCTATGCCCAAATAATGGTTTTATATTGAGCGTACACATTTGTGAATTGTGTTCAATCTGTTAAGGATCGATTCTAGGTCGGGGTCGCCACAAATTCTGCAACATTGCATCATTGGTTCGCTTGGCAACACCGCATCTCGTTGATAAGTTGTATTGCGATATGGTATTTGTTACATTTTCAGGCCGGTAGCTGTCGCACAACGTAACAATTACTCAGGATGTGCTGGTTTTATCACCATCGGTGGAAATCAAAGGTAATTCTAATATAAATTGAAACACTGAGTCGTACCAAAATTGATATAAACAATTCTAATCAAAATGAAAACGTCCTTCTTGGGTTTGACAGTAACCTAACCTATTGTGCGCACATTTTCTGGTGTAACGTATTCGCCACGCGGCAGGTTCCTTCTGCGACACCGTTGCTAGGCGATGTGGTGATGACCTTCGTTCTTCAGCTGGCATCGATCTCTTTCTAACATGTCTTTGATGTTCCCTGTATGCATGTGCTGGAAGCGTGAACTGGAGATTTTTTGTGAAAAGTGATAAAACCTGTAACCAAATTGTTATTTTATTTTGTATCATAGCTGTCATTGTCGAAATGTTTTTCTAACTTGTTTTTGTTACAAACAGTGTCAACTAAAACTTTAAGGGTGTAAATCCAGGCTACTGTTAATAATTTGTGATGCTTGAAAATTCCACGGCATGAATGATGTGGTAATTTGAACTTTACGCGAATAATGCTTTTCTGCAATATAAAAACGCGCATGGATCTGTTTTTCTTGTCGCCAGATAACAATACCACATGAACTGACAGAATACACGTGTTAAGAAGCCATTATCCCGGTAAACGACGCACCTGCTAGACGCAATAGTCAGTCATATTTTCCATAAATTTGCCATTTAAACAGAAATATTAAAGATTTATTTTCTGTAGTTTGAGATGTAGAGGTCTGCAATACAGTGTACTTAAGTAAACAGCCTAGTCAGTCTCAGTCTTTCAGACTTATGCATAGGTACTTTTTTCAGTACTGGAATCTTGAAATTTTGCGTACTTCATTTTGATGCTGTTGTGAATGGCGGAAATTGCACTAAATGCAAAATTGCATCAGAACGTGTAACTAAAGCGTAGTTCTTTTAATCATCATATTGCCATAGGGCGTTATATTAATTTGTTTTTTTTCCTGTTTTATGCCTGCTGTGTGTTACAGGATCTGCGAAAAAATCTAAAGCCGCCGTTACATTAGAAATTGAGGCTTCAAACAATCCCACCTTAGAAGCCATCCAACCAGATCCCACCCTCGTCTGCACAGCTTACAAAAAGGCCCGATTCTACCTGTTCTCTCATAGAGAACCCGAAGACCTCCAAGGCGACCAGGATCGTGACGTTTTCAACGAGAAACCTTCAAAAGAGGACACGTTTGCGGCAACGGAAAACCCTGCGGTGCAACGGTTGTACGAAAACGCCATAATCCATACTGTCTTTGGAGATATACACCTGAAGTTGTTCATGAAAGACTGTCCGAAGACTGTTGAAAATTTTTGCGTGCATAGCAAAAATGGATATTATAACGGGCATATATTTCACAGGGTAATCAAAGGGTTTATGATTCAAACAGGTATGTGAAACTACTACACTGGTTGGTATGACCGTTCCTTCATGTGGGGAATACTGAGAATGTGGAACAATCAAAAAGAGCAATCCCCGATTTCGTTATTCTTAACCAGTTTTAGATTAAAGTAACCAAATTATGTTTGGTATTTACAACAAGAACTAGAAATAACTATAACAAGTTGATAGTTGACATAGTGCATGTCTTTGAAAATTCCCTCAAAATTCTAGATTTATCTTAAAATATAGATTTCCATTTTTTATTTTTTTGTCTGGTAATAACAGCATTTCGAGGTGGTAGAACAGTTCATTGAAATCAAATAATCATAATGCAATTAAGGTCAGATGTAGATCAAGAAAAACCTACAGGATGTTCAAGATGAGGATGAATAGAACTGACTTCGGGAATGGTTACAGTTACAATGTTGGTCAAATGATCAAATTATATTTTACATACAGTACACAGAATTGAGCTATTTTTTCAGATTTATCTGGCTCTAGCTCAATTCTGTAAATTTCTTGTAAAAGATAGATCTGTCACGAATCTCAACTATCCTAATAGTCTAATCAAATTAGCAAATTTCCCCGGAATAATTATAAAGTCTGGTTTTATTGGTGCAAGTTGTTCAAGGGGGTATTTAAAACATGTGGACGCATAACATGGGTACACCAATTTTTTTGAGAAAACATACGTTACTATACACATTTTAAAACAAAGCAGAGCTGTCTATCATCTTTTGTTGTAACCCATCCTTTTTTTGCATATAAATAGAATGTATCTTCTGGAATGGTTTGCGATTCATATCGGCAAGGTAAACTAGTCTATTTTACTTGACCAATCTACTCCAATTTTGTTGTGGTTATTTAGAAGTATGAATCCTTCGAATTCGAATTTCAAATATCTGCGAGAAACCATCGTCGCATTACCAACAAGTGCCAAAACCTGCAGTTTGTCTCGGTTTTCGGCCATAAAATTTTTGCTATTAGTCGATCTTTTTACGTGTGATCTCATTTTGTAGGTCTCATAAATACCAACACTTTCGATTGAATCCCAAAAGTTACAATTTCTCATTCTTTGTTGTCGAATAAAAAGTGTTGCCACAAACATGGGTGTACCCATTTTATGCGTCCATGTTTTGAATACACCTTTGAACAATTTGCAGGAATAAAACCAGACTTTACAATTATTTCGCAAACCAGGGGTATTTTCGTCTAATGTGATTAGACTATAAGGCGAGTATTTACTGTGGTCCGTAATTCGTACTACCAGTATTTACTGATGGATCCTTCAGAGTCACTGGATTTCTACATAACGTCAATAATCACTTACTTCCAGGCTAGACAATCAATAAATATCACATTCCATGATGAATCTAACGGATCGAAGTGAATACTAATCGCCTGACTAACCGTTACCGAGATCTAGAGCTATTCATTCTCATCTTAAGCATTCTGTAGTTTATTCCTACTCCTTTTCTGGTGTCCATTGCATTGTAATTATTTGCTCACAATGCGTTGTTCCATCATAAATGATTTTGTTGTCAAATAAAAAGAGCAAATTGAAAAAATACATATTTTTTAGGTCGAAAATGTTTGTTTTATACTCATCTTTTTTCCGTTCCTATGGTTTTCATCTTATTTTTCCATATAGTCGTTTCCGTCCTTCAATGTTGCCAGACATATGAGGCATTTGACGTAGTTTGCTTGAAGTATTATTATTTCATGGGAAAAGAGACGCACAGAGTCCAAGTACTTGATTCATTTTTTTAGGAGATCCTACGGGCAACGGAACTGGCGGTGAAAGTATATGGGGAGGAGAATTCGAGGACGAAATTAGGCCACACTTGAAGCACGACAGACCCTACACAGTTTCCATGGCTAACGCAGGCCCGAATACCAATGGCAGCCAGTTTTTCATCACTTTAACGCCAACGCCGTGGCTGGACAATAAACATACAATTTTTGGCAGGGTTGTCAAGGGTATGGAAGTCGTGCAGAACATCAGCAATGCGAAAACGAATGCAAAGACAGACAAACCATATGACGATATCAGAATCATATCCATCACTGTTAAATAATAAATTGTTAATTACTGTAATTTATAATTTAATATGTATATAAATATTTTAAATAAATGTATTTCATAGAAAACTACTACATTCTGTTTTGTCAGTTTGAATAATTTAAAATCTTACTCAGAGCCGTCTTCAGCAAATGTGAGGCCTGGAGCAAAAGCTTTTTGCGAGGCCTTTTTTAAAGAGAGTGGGCTACTGTGAAATTTTTTTAAAATTCTCGTGCAAAAAAGTGTTTCTAGCATTTTTGATGAAGTCGTTTCATCTCAAAACACGCCAGTTATTTATCTATTTTTTCCATTTGCCATGGTTATGTATATTTTTATTTTTGATATAAGTATACAGGGTGACTTCGAAGTTGAGTCATTTATTTTAACAGTGAGTAGATCTGATCAAAAGAAATGTTTTTTTCCTTTACCATTTTCCTGGTAAAATTAAAGTAACAAAGTTATAGCCCTTTGGAAGTTTGAGTACCGCCCTGTCTCAATAACAATATTATGTGGTCGTGCTTGGCGATAACGGATATAATCCGCCGTATCGGTTCATCGCATCGGAAACAAAAAAGCGAAAGAATTTGGAACGATGTTTTTACAAGTATCTCATTCATTTGTATACAATCAGTGTCAGTCAATGGTGGTATCTGTTGCGTGGCTCAAACGAAATAAAAAATGGCACATGTTTATGCGGATCGGTTTCCCAATCGAGTGCAACCAACCCCTCGTGCCTTTGTTAATGTAGTACAACGGGCTCGTGAATCAGGTGACTTAAGACCTCAGAGGGGACATCACGATCAAATTCAGGTCCGCACTGAAATACTTGTCGGGAGGATACTTTATAAAACAAGGTAAACATTTTTTTTTATTTTTTTTTTATTTTTACACATATTTTGGTTTATCTTCCTTCTACAATCATTATCTGAAAATTAATGACTCAACTTCAAAGTCACCCTGTATATTTCACTCTGTGTAAAGAATTGAGATAAGAAAGAAATATGATTTATGAGTATGGTCTAAACTCTTACACATTTTTTTAAGCAATGAATCATTAGAAAAATTATAATAAAGTTTATGTCTGCCAGGAAATAAATAAATTCGTATGAGAAATCTTTTTTTGTAGTGAATAATCAATCATAAGCACAAATTATTACAAAAATATTCATATTATTTGCACCTCGAACTCAAACATTCTTCTTTTCTTTATCTGTCCGACTTCTTTGGACTTTGGCTCTACACCCAGAGTTTCACTAAGTTCTCTTGCTACCAATGTGGCCGCCATAAAACCTTTAACTCTAAATTACTGAAAAAAAACAACTAGCCCTTGAACTATGTGCGATGCAACTCCAAGGCAGCGCGTCGACAAGCATGAGTCACAAACGGCATGCGCGGGGTTCGGTGAGCTGTCAACCCGGACACCGCCGCCACTATCAAACGATATTTTGCATTCTTTTGGTCACGATTATCTCGTTCTTGGGTTTTGAATATATTTTAGGCACGCATATCTGTACAATAATATATTATTTTCATTCAAAACTTATTTGTTAACGCGAGTAAGGCCTCGCAGTGCGAGGCTTGGAGCGGCCGCTCCACCCTTACTTGTATTATTTGATCGCAATTTAAAGAAATGTCTGTCATGTTTATATGCTCAAGGTATTTTGTAATGGCACAAGTTACTGTAAAGTTTGAATACACCCTATTGCTTATCACTTGAGATAATCGATTAACATTTTGGCATCTCATGAGAAAGATACTTCCTCGTATTCTTCCAATTTTAATCAGAAAAAAATTTATAGAAATGTCTAGTAAACTTATTATATGAATCTTGAGCATTGATGCGTATTATGTCAAAATTTAATTTAGCTCTTAGAACGTTGTTTCTGTCCTATTGATGTTTTCTCATATTATTTCATTTGGTAAAGAAAATTATAATAGAAGTGCTAAAAAAATTGACCGTATGCAACTTTAGTAACATTAAAAAGTTACATATGTGGAGTTGGAACACAATTCTCTTATCAGTTTAAGAGATATTTAGCAAGCAACTTGGTAAACCCATAGTGTTATTTCAGCGATCAGTACGGTAGCTTAGCGCGGTATAGGTACAGTTCGATTTCGTTGCAACTATAATCAAATCCGAACGAATAACCAAAATTTCTGTGTTATGTGTCGCGGTTCAAGATGACACACGGGTTGATGACGTCAGTTACACGAATCGCTTGAACGCGTTGGTTTTAACCGCGGTTTTGTTGCAAGTTGTTTGTTTTAGAAAAGCGCGTATATAATCTCTGATTATTTTTATTATCACTTAATAATCGGTGATTTTTCGTCTACAACTGTATATGGAAAGTTTAAATAAGAAACGTTTCATAATATTCATGGGAGAAACGTTTTTTTCAGATTTTTTTTTAATGATGGAACCATGGCTTCGTGGCTATGATAACTTTCAATTCTCTAAATTTTTCCGCATGTCAAAGAACACATTTATTGATTCAGCAGAAATGATGAAAAAAGAAATTAGCAAAATCGTATACAGGTGGATATCATCTAGTGAGTTTATATGGCCATATTTTAATATTCTTGTGGTATATGGCTACACAGGATACTTTGTTAAGCATAGGAACTACATTTAATGTGCCCCCAACAACCGTAATGAGTATAACTAATAAGGTGCTCCACTTTATGGTAAAACTGAAGTCAGCCTGTGTCATTTTTCTCAACAATGAAGCTGAAGTACAATAACAATATCCAATACCCGGCAAAATTCTAACTTGTCACATTTCAAATAATAACCAGAAATATAAAACTACTCTTGAGTTGGGTAAATACCACAATTTTGCGGTGATAACTATGACATATAACAGCTGATTCGTGACGTCACGGATCTTATAACCAAACTGATAACTACACTCGCTTGAACGGATTGGTAAATACCAACCCAAAATGGTAAATACCATTTCCATTTGGTTATCCGCTTGAATTTGATTTATGTGTTACGTGTGGTTGATCGGTCACCAGTTGAAGAGAAAGTAGCATGAGAAAATATTGGTCACCCCCTGTAAGTAACCGAGAAGAATGCCGTGTCATTCGCATGACTAATTTCTGATTCTTGAATTGTCAGTGCTGTGTTGTGTCTGCTTACTTTTGACATTTGAACCACTCCCTGTCAAAGTGACACGTCAGTTCTAGGTTATATGCAATGGCAATTTGTTTATTTTTCATACCTTAGCTTAAAACTGTATTTATCCAACGACCAAGATGTTTAAAAAGTTGAAAGAAAAAATTACCGAAGAGGTAAAAAGCTCTCCTCAGCGTTTCGCTGAATTTACACAGTCCGTTAGTGATAGGCTGCAAAACTCATCTACTCCTGATAACTTATTTTCAATAGGAGAAGACGGTATGTACAACTTAGTTACACTTTTTCTAAAGGCTAATGATAATTATTCTAGACGCGAATACCTCTACAGACAGCACAAGTCATGGATTTGCCAGTGTATCGCTTGTATCACCATCCCAAGAACACAGAAGCCGAAGGCTCTCTAATTCCTCGTTAGCCAGTGATGTCTCATTCTTGCCAAGATACGAGGCTGGTAGCATGTATCATTTACAGGTATATCAGATATTTATTCAATAATCAGGTACCAGAAGATAGCTTGTAGTACAGTCTTGGTACTATGGGGTCAGCAAAAAAAGGTTAAAAGTGACCTAGTTGCCAGACTGCCTCCTCACTACTACTACTACTAAGGCAAGCCCTAAGCTTTTTCCATTAGTTCAGTGTCTCCAGTATTTCACATCTTTAGTATTGAACAATTTTTATAGTCTTTACTAATTTAAATGACTATTCAAGGTGTAGTTCTAGAGCAAAGTAGAGATGACATACTCAATATTGTAGCTGATTGCTGAAATACAGTAATTCTATAATCTTTTGACATTTCTAGACCCATTTTTATGCAAAAAGATACCTATGCAACTTGTGTGGTTTGAAGATGTGATTGACAAAATAAATTTTAACATTTTTGTTTCTTCTAGTCTGACTTGGATGTGTCAGCAAGTGAGCTGGAAGATAATGTGTCAACTGCATCCTCAACACTAGGACACCTAAATAAAGAGCAGATTTACTCAGCATTTCAGAAATCTCAATCACAGTATCATAAATATAGGGGGAGATACACAGATTTGGCAAGGCATTACAAAGAACTGGAAAAAGAAAATACTAAGATGAAGGTAAATATATTTCTCAATTGCTTTCTGATACACTACGATTGAGAGCTTCATTCAATGTATGTACCAACTTCCAAACTCCCAGTGTGTTGTTATTCATTATTTTCATTTGTAAATTCACTTTTCTCTTAAAAAGGTATGTATAGAATATTATTGCTAATTTTGTATTGAATTGGATGGTTCACTTTCTTACCTATTTAAACATGGAATTAGAATATTCTTGTATCTATTCAACAAGATATCATCTTTGCAAAGAGAGTGTGTTGAGTGAAGCTCCAATATTATGGTTAGGGTAGGGATGACACCATAAATATAAGCTAAAATATTATTTTTTATTTTAATTTTATTAAAAGATTCGATAATTTATAATGGTTTGAAAATTTGGTTTCCTGATGCTGTAATAAGAATTGTCAATTTAAAGATGTGAACCTAAAAACATTCTAACAAATAAACCATATTATACCTTATCTTGAGGTAAATGACATTAATAAACTATAAGCTCATTTACTTTGCCTCAAAGCAAACATGAGTATTAGATTGGCATTTATATCCACCTGTTGGTGCTTGCTTAGGCGCCGTGGGGGGTTTCCAAATGACACAGGGAGTAAATGAGAGTTGAATACAGTATCAATATGCTGCACTTTAGCATTAAATTGTTGAGTCTTATTAATGCTTTCACTGCTTTGACTCTCGAAAATTCAAATGAATTGTACCTTTTCCAGTCTGTGCTGGTCGAGACGCAAGATAAAGCAATAAGAAGGGTAACAGAATTAAAAGAGCAGTGTGCTTTGGAACAAAAGGCAAAAGCTCACTTAGAAAGTGCATTAAGAGATGAGCTTGATGAAAAAGAAATTAAACTTAAATTGTTGCTATCAAAAATTGATCTTTTGCAGAATGAGAGCAATCAGAGCTCTTTAATAAGCATAGAACCAAAGGAAAATGATAATCATTCTGAAAATTTAGAAAATTTGACGAAATATTTGAATGATGCTAGAAAGGAAATAGAAAACCTGAATGAAAAGATTCAAGAGATGAAAGCAAATAATATAGTTTACCAGAGTAAAGAACAAGAGTACAAAAACAAAATTGCCAATTTAGAAAAAGAGCTTGACCAAACTTATGAAAGAGAAAAAAATACAAATCTGCAAGTCGCCCAAAACAAGATGGAATTGCATAACGAAATTTTGAGCAAGGAAACGGAAATAACTAATCTGAAAAAGGAAATGGAAATTTTGAAACAAAACTTAGAAATATACGAAAATGATAGCAAACAAAGCAATAATTCTAAGATGGAAAATCTACAATCACAAAATAAAAAACTGATAGAAAAATTGGAGCAGTTGAATCAGAAATGTAACAGTTTGGAAAGTGAAGTACTTAAAGTTGGTACTTACAAAATTGAAATTGAAAATCTTTCTAAAGAAGTCAATGATTTAGAGGCATTAAATGAACAGTTATCATCAGAGAATAAAATTAAAACTGCAGAGATAGAGGAGTTATTAACAAAAAATGCTCAACTTTTTGAAGATACAGCAAAGGAAAGGAGAGAATTTGAAAACCAAATTGAATCCTTGCGGGAAGATGCTAAGAAAGGTTTATTATCTCTAGAACCAAAAATGAGAGAAAAACTTCAAAATGAATTCTTGCTGAAGGAGGATAGTTTAAGAAAAGATTTAGAAGATAAATTTAATAAATTATCTTCCAACAACAATAGTCTCAAAGATATTAAAATACAGATTTTCCAAAAAGATGAGCTCATAAAAAATATCACTGAGGAATTGGATAGCATTAGGGAAAGTCTTAGCATGAAAATAGAGGACTATAATAATTTAGAAAAGAGTCATATAGACCTTATTGAAGACAGCTCCAAACTCAGAAACAAGATCGAGCATCTGGAAAAGGAAAAAATGAGCATGGAATCATATGACGAAAAAATTGTCAGACTTGAATCCCATATAAATACTCTTCACAGTGAATTGAAGGAAAGCAAAGAATTATTGGAGAAGAAAGATAAAGAAATCGTTAGGCTGAGTAAGGAAAATTTGGCACTTCAACAAGAAGTTGGCAGAACTACAGAAAAATTGAGGTTGTTAGAAGAAAAGGATGAAGCAATAAAGATAGATACATCAGAATGTAAATTATTAGAGTTAAAAGTCAGAAAGTTGGAAGAGGAGAAGCAGACACTTATAGATGAATTTGAAATGGAAAGGAAAATGTTTAATGGCATCTTGGAGGATCACAAAGAATTAAAACAAAGGGAAGAAGACATTGAGGTTCTTAAGAAGCTATTGTCAGAGAACAGGGAAGAAATAAGTCATTTGAAACAGAGTCTAGAACAAGAAAGAGCGAAGAATGTTGAGTTGAATGATAAGAAGTTACACTTTGAAAAACAGGTGGAAAAGTTATCAGAAAAACTAAGGATTTATCAAGAAAAGGAAGAGGCATCTGAAATGGAGAAAACTGAATGTGCTTTGTTAGAACTAAAACTCAAAAAGCTGGAAGAAGAAAATAACAGACTGTTAGACTCATTTGACCAAGAACGTGTAACATTTTCGAACGACTTAGATCAACTTAAGAGACAGTTGAGCTCTGCAAATGAAGACGAAGGAAAAGATGAGAATGCGGTCAGTTTAGAGGTGAAACTGAATGTTATTAGAAAGCTGTTGAAGGGAAAAGAAGAGCAGAATGTGATATTGGGTAAAGAAAATTTGAAGATACAGCAAGAAAATGAACAGTTGACTAAAAAGCTGAGGATTCTTGAAGAAAAATATGAAGCTATAGAAGTTGAGAATACAGAGTGTAAGCTCTTGGAGTTGAAGGTTCAAAAATTGGAAGATGAGAAAGAACAGCTCATACAGGAGTTTGAAATTGAAAGAAAAATGTTCAATGAACTTCTAGAAAATCATAAACAATTAGAGGAGAAAGAAGAAATTATAAGTCAACTTGAAGATAAGCTGTGCAAAGTCAGTGAGGACTTAAGGAGTGTTCAGGAAGAATTAGCAAAAGAAAAATGTGAAAATATTAGAATAGCTGAAGAGAAAATAGTTTTGGAAAAACAAATCAGTAAACACAAAGAGAAAATTAGGATATTAGAAGAAAGAAAGGAAACGTTGGAAGTCAATAAGACAGAGTGCAATATTTTAGAGATGAAATTGCAAAAACTTGAAGAAGAAAAAGAAAGGTTACTAGAGAGTTTTGAAAATGAAAGGAAAACGTTTAGTGCTGTTAATAAAAAAAGCAGTGAACATGTAAATAAAATCAAGGCATTGGAGCAAGAAAACCTGAATTTAAAGGAGAGTATTTCCAAAACTATAGCTGAAATGAATATTTTAAATGAAAAAATGAGACTTGGAGCACAAACATACAATGAAACTGTAAATTGTTTAGAAGTTCAATTAAAAGATGCTGAGCTAGAACTTATCAATCTGAAAAATAAAAATATAGAATTGCAAGATGAACTGAATCGTAAAAATAATGAAATATCGGAATTATCCTCAAAACTTGCGGATCTAACACATGCTATTGAGAGGCAAACTTCAGATTTCAATAATCTTTTACAGCATACAAAACAGCTTGATGAACATATGGAACAGATGAAAAATGCAAATGCCATATCTATTAAACAAGAAAAAGAAAAGCAAAATCAACTAACTTTGCAAATAGAACAGTTCCAAAAGCAGTTAGATACTAAAACTCAAGAATATGAATTATTAAATGCAAAATTGAAAGAAGTAGAAGAAACATGTGAAAAAGAAAAGAAATTGTGTGAGGAAAAGATGAGAATTATAGAAGATTTACAAATTAAGATTTCTGAGCTACAAAAAATTGAGGAATCTCATTCAAAACTAAAGAAGGACCATAACATACTTAGTGATGAGGTTGAGAAATTGAAGGCTATCGAAAATGAAAAGCTGGCACTTGAAAAGCAACTTAAAGTAAGAATAGAAAGCGAAAAACTACATGCGGATGAAAAAGTAAACTTGTTGAAGGGGATTGAAAACCTCAGAATGAGAATTGGAGAGTTAAGTTCGGAAAATAATGAACTCAAAGTGTTATCTAGTCAAGCTACAAATTCAGATAAAAAGATTCGTGAATTGATAGAAGAAAGACAATCTTTACAAAATCTGAATGAAAACATCCGTAAAGAAATGTCTGAGTTGAGTAATCGTAATCAACAACTTACCACAGATAACAGGAATGTTGTTGAGGAAAATCAAATGTTGTTGAATGACTTGTCGGAAATGAAAGTAAAGGTAGAAGCTTTGGAGGATGAGAAAGCGAAATTTGACGAAATCAAAGATGGATTGCAACAGAAAATAGACGAGTCTAACAGCTATGTAGATGAAGTCAAAAAGAAACTTTTAGAAGTACAAAATCAAAATGGTGAGCTGGTGAAAAATCAGTCAAATTCTAATGATGTTGATATTAGTAAGATTCAGAAAGACTTTTATGAAATCAAAGAAAAATGTGACAGTTTGTTTTTGGAAAATAAGAGCTTGAAACAAGAATATGGAAAATTGGAAGAAAAATGTAATAATTTCAGTAAAATCAAAGAAAAATTGGAAGCACAAATAGTCGAGCTTGAAAAGCAATATAATGAACTTCTACATGAGAAGCAACTTTTGCAGGATGAGATACAAGAGTTGAAGATATCTCCAATCAGTTACCAAGGTGCCACAACTTCAAAATTGGACAATTTGGAGCTTCTCAATGACCCATCAGAACTGAGTAATAGTGAGAAAGGAAGCTATTTAGAAGAGATCAGTATTCTCAAAGACAAACTCACAAAGTACAAATCTCTAGACATAACAAACAAAAGTTCAATAGAATTCTACGAAAACGAGCTGCAAAAGTTGAGGAATCAAAATGACAAGTTGAATAGGAGGTTGGATGAGACGTTAGTGACATTGAGCCATTGTGCAGATTTGTCCAGTTCTACTGAAATTGAGTATTTGAGGAATGTGCTGTTCAACTACATGATGGGTAAAGAGAGTTTAGTGCTGGCCAGGGTTATTGCAGCTGTGTGCAAGTTTGATCCTCAGCAGACAGAGTTAATTTTACAGAAGGAGCAGCAGAGACAGTCGTTGGTGAGTTTCAAACATAATCAATTCTTTTTGGTATGAGGTGTATTCAAAATGTGGAACTCAAATTCAAGAGGTGATGATTTGAATGATTTCAACACTATTTTGTTCTGGAACAATTTTTGAAGTAGCGATTTGTTTTGAAAATATAGGTATATCAAAAATTACATTTTTTATCGACAAATCACACGTGATTTTAGGTCAATTTACTTGACTCCATTTTTTTCTTACAAGCACCTTAATCTATTACAGTAGCATTAATTATTCATAGTATTTTTTTTTATATAATTTGAAACATGTACTAGTTATATAGGGTGCTAACAAAGTACTTGGTCAAACTTCAAGGGCTGATTGCTTGTGTGGTTTTGAGAAAAAAGTTGATATAAGCATAAATCAAAATACAGGTCCTAAAACTTTTCTCGAAACGTTCGTTTTTTGACAAAATCGTGGTAATCCTTTGGTTAGCTTTTTGGTTATTATAAGATTTCGTGAAACAGAATGTACAATCACCGCAAAAACTAATATCTCGAAATAAAAATGATTTTTTTAATCAGCAAATTGACCGTCTAAACCGCCGGATGCATTATTTTTTAACGGTTTGGGTTTAACTGACGTGTTTCTCTTCATTTTTATCCAACTTCCAGGTGATACCTTCGTACCTTTTAAAACTTAATATATTTTAATGACTTTTAAAAGGTTTTCCCATTTTTAACTATAAAAAAGTTCACACTCTTGAAAACAACTCCGAACCTACGTTTATATGAACTTTTTTTCTTGGGATCACTCATGCAATATAGGATAGGTACATTCTTAATACTCTCTATATCAAGCGACTGACTCATTTTTTTTTTCTAGCTAGGACAACTTGGCCTTATTTAACAATTAGAGGACCCTTCATACTTAGAGTAAGAGTAAAATGACTGCCTGTGCTGAAAAAATCAGGAACATATATAGTTTCATACAAAATAAAATTTCACACATGATTACTTCAGCCTCTGGTATTGTGGAAAATAATTCTTCATCCCATAATTTATCTTATAAGACAATTTTAATATCTGCTATAATATTGAAATTAATAATACTTTTTGACTTTGTTGAAATTCTATTTGTAGTGAATGTAACATAAGAGATGCTTGGATCAGGCCTAATCCACTAATCAAAATTTACTGATAGGAGTTCTTATTTGATTCTGTGTGGGTAGATATGGCCATTAACACATGCACTAAGCAAAATTTAATTAGCATTCCATAGCAGTATTTTGCAACATTCATCAATGTACTATAGGGTTTTTTATGTATCTATTTATTATTGTTTTAACATGTATCTGTCATTGTAAATAACTTGTTGTATATTGTTAAAATAAAATACATTTTTATCAAATATTACAATTATATATTGCAGTTGAAATACAAGAACTTATAAAAGTTAATAAAAAAGGATTAATTCTAAATAACATTGGCACTAGATAACATTCTATTCTGTACAAGTATTTTTCCTAGTAAAAAATGTAGGGGTCTTTGCAATGAATGGAAGAATGCGAAACATTGCAAAAAATACTGGGATATAAAACTAAAACAATAAATTATATGATCAAGTTAAAATATAGAAATAGTGCAATGGCTATATACAAGTGAATGTCTTTACTATGCATCTTTGCAGTGATAATCCCATGACAATTTGAAGCAAACTTCCATATAAAACATTCTATTACAATTAATTATTATTCTAAACATTTCCAAATAATCATTATCTAAGTAGAAACTATAATTATTGTATCAATAAATAACATAAATCCAAATCTTAATTGTTACACAATATTACTTGAAGGGGCATGTCTATTTTTTTATGTAAACATACTTCTGTAGTTACATCAGAACTGATTTACTTTTTGAGATAGGTATAAACAAGAAAGTTGGAATTATGAAAAATAGAGACAAATCCTCTGAACTTCAAAAAAAAACCAGAAATATATATTTTATGGAAAAAAGTTTGACTTGTTTTTAAGGTCTGAGCAAAAATTTTTAAAATATGATAGTAAAGGGCTAGTGTAGCAAGTACGAGTATCTTATTTTCAGCAAATTTATGAATTTTACACAAAAAGATCTGGAAAATTTTATAGAATGGTCCTCTATACTCAGACCTGTTATTTTCCAAATTTCTTATATTTAAAAAAATACTTCTTAGAGATGCAATATTTTCCATAAAACATATAATAAATATTTTCATATAAAAGATGTTTTTGGAAACAGTTAATTTGTGTTGTATTTATCTTTCATATACCTTTTTTTTTTGTATCTCAAAAATAAATGTGTTATGGTAGAATTACTGATGTATTTTTATATAAGAATGATGATAGAGCCTCATCTGCATCATTTTATCAACACACTACAATCATATTATCGAATTAACATTTCCTCCAAATTTTACAAATAAAACAACAATTATTAACAGAGCAGTTTTATCTGTATCTCTTGATTTTAAACTTTGGTGATAGAAGCTTGTCATAGCAATTGCAAAAATGGTAAAGATTGCTTTTAAAGTTTCACTTATAATCACTTGTGTGTCATTCAAAATATCAGCACCTAACACCCATTGGAATATCAATGAATGCTATTAAAAATGTTTTAAGAACTCTTCAGACACAATTCTAGCTCTTGCATTCATAGCTAGTTTCATTTCCGATATCTCCTTATCAATTTCTTCCATGAAGTGTATCACAAAGTCAACCAACTTGTGCTTGTACATCTGCTCCGTATGGAAATTTGTTATAAGAAAACTGATGTCGTATCCTTCGATAGGTTTGCGCCGCAGAACGATGAAATTTTCAGCCCTCATCATCATAAATCTCATGAATTTTTTACACAGGATTTTCTCGATTTCATCGGCTTGTTTCACGGCTATACTGATTCTGATAGAATTTATCGAAGACTCGATTAGCACTTTTTCTTTCTCATTGCGAGAAATAACCACGGGGGTAAGCAGTAGCTCCTTTGAAGTCCTAACCTCCACTTCAGGCTTGTTATGTCTTTCTACAACTTGTGAGCAGAAATTTTCTAGGCACATTGCAGCTGTGAGCGTGTGGCGAACTGCGGTTAAATATGGTTTTAGTGTTGCAGACATTTCGCCAAATTTTCCAGTTCCGGCTTTGTGAAAAAGAAAAATTTTGGCCACACCTCCACTGATTACAAATTTTGTAGAACAAATACGAGTTTGTTTTTTACTTTGACAGTTTCGTGACGTTAAACCATAACTCTGTGACTCGTGACGTCACAAGCATCATTGAGAGAAAGAGAGAAAATGCAATGGAAAAGGTACTGAGTACTAACAAAGACCTGTATTAATATACACCATCTTCAACCATAAAAACCGTATATCCATTACCAAAATAAGAAGTTTTCAGAATGGTATTTCAACTTGAATCTCGATTTTCCTTGGCCCGAATGAAGATAACATAGCCACGCAAGACGACTCTTGAAATATACCCTACTATGCTCTGTATATCCATAGCGTTTAGTTCATTTTTCGTTGTTTTTATAGTTTGTGAGAATGAAAATGGCGATTAAGAATACTGTTAACATTTTACCGCCTGGATCACACTATGCTATGATATGACAGTGTTGCCACTACATTTGTTCAACATCAAAAATGAATCTTCTACGAATTTAAGGTTTGGCTAACCTTCAAAACAGAAGTCCCAAAATGGTTTGCGAAAAAATTGAAAATGATAAGCAAAGAAAAGAATCATGTTAAATGGTGATTTTTCGTCAATTTTCACAATTTCAAGCACTACTAATCGGTGAAAAGTGAACAAAATGAAACAGAAAAGCCATTTAACAACTCACAATTTCTTCAAGAAGGAGGTAAGAATTTATTTCAGAGTGCATATTTGGTAATTACTAGTATGTAATGTATACTTATTATACCTCTAATTATAGCCAGTCATACCATGATTCAATAAAATATAGCTAATTTTCAAAATGATGTAGTGATTACCTCATCAATACATTTACAATAAAATCCATAAATTGTAAACACAAGGAGTGATTTGTTTACTGTGAATTCTCTTTCAAGTAATGTAGTGAAAACCCACAGTAAAAGTGACATAGATAATTATGAAATTTGATGAATTTACAAAAGTATAGATTTTGAATTACTTTATTTTGTCCCTGATTTAGAATCTTCCAAACTGCAAATATAATCAATGGTATAGATAATTTTGTAATCATTTTGTTATTTGTTTCCCACATTGTTTGAGTTACCTTTAAATAAAAAACATTTGTGCTATAAAATAATCTCTAATAATCAACAACCTTGAGAATGTGTAGCTGTATCAAATACAATAAATCTTATATAAACTTAATTTAAATGACAATCTGTCTCACACTGTTATCAGAGGATGTGTTTTGGTTTCTAATATGAATGATCACACATTTGGTATTAAAATCATATGACCTTTAACTTTGACTAGAAAATACATTAATACATTGTTCAATTCAGGGGAGGTTATTTTCTGTGATTATAGAAACTGATCAGGTCTAAGGACATCTACATGTTTCAGTTTGATAATGAGGTAATATGGTTAAGAGTTTGTTTGACATTGCACAATTAATAGGTGTAATTTTCCAGGATAAAATCAGTTGGAATAATTAATTCATAATTGCTAAAAGCACCATATGTGAATGTTGGTTAATTTTGTCCAGATTACATTTTTATTATTTATTTTTCACTTATACCATGTTTGATATAAATCTAAAACAGGTATTTTGTATAATCATATACTAGATAATATTTTATATGCATTTGTGAATCTCTCAAAATCACCAGAATTTGTCAAAAAATAATATAGTGGCTAAGGAATATATTGGTTAAACCTCATACAAAAACGTTTATAGTATAGCAAAATGGTATCAAAAATTAACTACAGCATTTTTTTTAAGTTCATCATAATTGTTGTGACAACTAGATGTGATTTTATTCCACATGTTATATTAATATATGTGTGAACATTTTCAGGAGGTTATGTTTAATAAACAATTCTCTTTAAAAGAAAAATTATTACTTCTGAGAATTACTGGTTTTTATGATGGAAATTGTATGTGATCATGCAAAATTTCAGCATAGTGTTGAGCATTTCAAAAAATATGGTGATCATTTATACAATTCAATGTTTTATTATTTAAATAAATATGGTGAGTCACAGTAAACCTAAATGAGTTATCTTGATACATTAATCTCCCTCTCACATATATATGCAATCAGCCTGTATGTGCAGAAGTCTGTATAAGCTCACCGTCATATGTTTCATATCAAATCATGAAGCTTTCCTTGTCAACATACTATTATACCACATTATATTTATCACTGTCAGTATGACAAGTATGTTTGGCATGAGTGTGCAATTTTAGTTTACCGTTTGTTGCCGTACCTGACGTGACCGCCAAAAACCGTGAAAAGAACTAACTATATATTTGTTTTATTTTCAGCATAGGAAAGTCAGAGATATCTACATCTACTTGCCACTAGCAATTTTAGCTTTGCTGGGCTCCATCTTGACAGTAAGGGATCTAGAATGGGATAGCCACATTTCTACTGGAAGAGGAATTATTTTATTCTTTTGTGGTTTGGTCTTTTTCACCAGCCTTTATCTAGCTCTGAATGTCTTGTTTCTACATACACCTCAGGGTCGACGCATCTCCAAAATTTATAAACTGACTTATGGAGATGTCATTGACATTAGCAACAAGTAAGATATCATTAATTTATTAAGTATAGGTTGAGTTATGGTTCTATTAACTTTGGTGTTATGATAGCTGCCACAAACACATGCTGTGAGAAGAATGCGAAAGGGTGTTTCCATTAGATCGTTTATTGCCAGTGAGTGGCTTTAGGGAGCTGCAGTGCTCATTTAGAATAATTTCACAGAAATATTTTGAAACTCATTTTTGTATGGCATGCTGCATGTTCATTGTTTATGGATCTGAAATGCAAGAAATGGTACTTCAACATCTAGGGAATCATGCTGTTTGTCTTGTGAGGAAATAATATGAGACACGACTGTTTGCCAATGAGTTGGTGAAGTGAAACATCTGCCCATTTGAGATCCAATAAAAAATCATGAGAAAAAACCTTGAAGTAAAAAATTAATGATCCATCAGTAAATTGAAATAATTATCTTTTCATCTATACCTTGAAGACAGCTACCAACCACAACCAGTTCACTCTGTCTCTCTCCCATATGTACGAGGTTTATCCAAAACACTTGTTTACTTGTAGAATTAAAGTACATGAAGGCTATATAAAAACGGATGACACTTCAAAATTCGTGAGCGTGTATGGGAAGGGTAAAATGGGAAGAAGTCTCAATATTACACAAGTAGGTTAATCAATTACAAAAGGAAAGTAAAGGAATTAGCCTATATAATAATATTATATAATAATAATGTGTTCTTTATTTTCACATCATATATGTACATATCACACACACACACACACACACACACACACACACACACACACACACACACACACACACACACACACACACACACACACACACACACACACATGAGAAAGGTAATAATATTGGGAAACCTCAAGGAACTCACCCTAGAGGTGTTCTTCCACTCAGCACTTTCCAGTAGTAGAATATGTGTAAAAAATAGCCTAACCTAGTTGCTCATAAAGTAATCCAAAACTAGCTCCTTAAAATGTGAATTGCATGATATGAGATAGTAAGAAAGAGACTTGTATTACCAATAGTAAATTTGAAGCTTCTTTGAAAAATAAATGACCTGCAAGATGGTATATTGATTAGGTTTTCAACATTATGGACACTGTTTGGTAGAGATAAGGAGGGTTCTTATAGTACAGAATTTTGTCAAATAAGCAGAGAGCAAATAAGTATGTGTATTCTAATTAATTCCTTCAATTTGTTCAAAATTAAACAATTGCCTTCCTACTCATCTGTGGAATATGACCCAATTTGGTTGAGTATCCTTGAAGGAAAGATCTAAGTAATATTCTCCAAACTAACTAGTGGATCATGATTTTTTTACTTATAGGCTTTTTCTAATGGTTTGTTATTGGATATCAATTGGGCAGGTATTTTATTTCTACACAAGACAAACAACATTGTTCCCTTTAGAGGACAAGTACTACGTCTCGCATTTCAGATCCATATACACTCCACATGCAGTCAAAGACTCCATAACAATTATCAAGTGTATTGCGACAACAGTTCTGGGTGTTTTTTGCGGCGCTGGACTTTTCTGATTTTGCGCGGTGCCAACTTAAAATTGCAATGATGGCTTCGCACAATCCCAGCATGTTACAGGTTTAGACTATTGTAGTACACTGTATAGGAATGTGTAAGTAAAGGAAAAAACTAACGGAGTTGCACCTGGAAAACAGATAAAATATATTGTTGATTGTACTTGGAAAAGGTCAGCATTTCGAGCGAATCAGACAATAAAGAATTTAAAACGAATGTGGTTTGACTCGTCAAGACAAACATATAGCCACTATAGACTCCATTAGATCAATGTTGGACCTTTCTTATTGGAAATAAGTGGTTTTCTACTTGAAATAGCCTGTACTAAACTGATCGTTAATTCAGCTTTTTTTATCCAGGGAGGTGTCGGCAGTACAAGCCCTTTTCTGTTGCATCACTGGTGTTACCTGTGTATGCTACTCATGTAACAGAAATGCTTTACGTAGTTCGCACTACATTTCTGAAGCGTACGGATGGTTCGGAGCGGCCTATTTCCTGTATGATATCTGGTCCATGTACATGGTATTTGCAGCCACGCATGTCCAGACAGACACTGGTAGCAACAGCTATTTTGATAAGGTCGTGCGTAAGGCGTTTATGATACTGGCATATCTGAAGCACAATGCCATGATTGTTGGACATCATATATTCATTGGCGGATTTGGGTTTTTGGTTATAACGGTAAGTGAAATTGAATAACGTATCGATCTGTTTATGGTTAAGACTCATCTAGTTTGACAGGGTTAACCAGAAGAAATTTCTAACGACGCAGATAGCTCAGCCAAATTTGAAATATGGTCAAATAACGAGTTTTTGTAGCTTTAACCCCTGAAACAGAATATTAAAAAAACCGGGATACATTAGGCACTAGGATTTTTGACGAACTACTGTTATTGTTTTGTCATGCAAAAATTTCGGATATTATATGACATCACAAAAAAAAACCTTTTCACTCATTTTCGCAAGTCTGACTGTGCGATTGCGTATCCTTGGCTTGATTATAACTTGGAAAATACTGCTCGGATCTTGATGTATTTTTCACTCAATGGTACTAATAGTATAGATGCACTCTGTGCTGTCTTATTTCAAAAGGTTACTACTATGCCAATGACAAAAAACATTTTTGAAATTTGCCCCAATATCGGCGTAGCTAGGGGCAAAAATAATGAATGAATAAACATCGCATCTTCTTTTCTTTGTCGTTTCAGGGCGATATTTACAAAAAAAATTGTACGTGTTGAAAATTGAGGCGTCGGGAGGGTGCATCGCTACGCCGCGCCGGTGGTTCTACTATTAGACATATTTCAGAAACTATAGATTTCCTCGTAGATTTGTCTTTGAAACTTAAAATGAAGGAGTAATATTTTCAAAACATACTTTGCTGGATATACTTGCGTCGCGGTCTTACCAATTGGTGTCTGTGTTTCGTAGTCGCTGATGAGGTGCCGTGGTTGCCAGATGGTCGGTGGGGCAACGGAGGAATTTCTATGGACTTTTTGAATGACCCTGTTAGACTGACTTGATCTGCTTAATTTTTTTGTTATACATGTTCGTACTTGACGCTTTTTTAATAGATAGTAAATGGTTGTAATCTGTTTCAGAGTCTCAGGGGAGATTTTGGCGACTGCTTCTTTGGCTTTGTGTACCTGATGGAGGCCAGCACTCCTTTTGTATCCTTACGTGGCATTCTGTCCAAAATTGGCATGAAGAACCATCCGGTCTACGTGATGAACGGGCTTATTATGTTGGTAGTGTTCTTCATCTGCCGGATAGCTATGTTCCCGTACACAATTTATGTGTATTCTAGAACCATTGGTACTGATTTTATATCGGTAAGTAATGAATTTGGAATTCAATATCATTATAATCTTGTCACTGAATAAATAATAATACCAAGAAGTTTGCAATTGGCGTCAGTTACAATTAAAATAGGCGTTAGAGAAGCGCCAAAAAGGGATCTTAGCGCTACCTATAGAGACAGTAGCAAAAATCAACAAATCTGAATCTTGACAAAGTAGATGTTTAAATTCATTTACATGTTCTCTTACTGTTTCATAGGTCCCTTTTGGGCACCTGAATCTGAAATTTTAAATGAGAAATTGTCGATGTTTGTTACTCAGTCACACCAAAGTAGCGGAACGGATCGGGATGAAATTTGGTACAGAGATAGAATACAGCCTGGAATAGCTACTTTTTATCCCGGGGAATAACTTTGAAATATTTATTTCACGGGCTACATCTCAAATGGCTTAATGGATTTTGAGGTTTCTGGCTCGGAAGCGCTCAGTTGCTGTTCCGATCGAAATTAGTAAGCATATATAAATAGGGCATTTACATCGTGAATTTACTGCATTATTGATGCGAAAGTGTATACATTTGTATAGAGTACATGCATAAATTGAATCTTGGACATGCAGTGCATGATAGGATTTCTGTCACTGTAACTTTGAATTATGTAAATTTGGATTTCAGAATGTACGTTATGAAACTTTTAGATGTTCTTCTTAGAGTAATGATAGATTTGAATTATTTTGTGTGTGTATAAGATGCCATTTTTCGCGTAGCCTGATGGATATATCAATACTAGAGCTATCCTAGCAACGATAGAAATACCCTAAACATCGACAAAGGACCTATTGATCAAACAAACGCTACTGTTTAGCACATATTTAAAAAATGGAAGACGAAAGCTTAGAAAGAAACGTTTTCAAAGATGTACTCAAGGAATGCTGCAACAGGAATTTACAAGTGAACGAAGCATTTGTGGCATTTTTGGTGAAACTGCATTTACTCAATCCAGCTTGGAGTGATTCAGAAGATGACCCACCAAGTCTGAGAAATCTTGTAGAACATTTGCTACGTAAATTGAAGAACCAACATTCACCATCGCTGACGGCATTGAAGATTCAATTTTATTTTTCATGCAGTATGGAACTATTTTATGAATCTGTACCAGCAAATAGAGAACAACTAACGAACAAGTTGTTGCCTCTGAAAAATTATATTCTTTCAACTAACAATAGCACTTCACTGGAGGATATGTTAGATATCAAGAAAAAGATAATCTACTACTGTGTCTTAAATAGCGGAATGGGTAATCCCAAACAAAAGTTGGTATATAATGAAGCTATGTCCGCCTTGAATAGTGTTATGAAAGATGACGAAATACTGGAATTTCTAAAAACACCGTTGAGTGAGAAAATTGCCACATTGGACCAACTTGTCGATATCACGGCTGGCATAAGATTGCACAGTAAAAGCGCTGGAAGCAATGAATCAGCGATAGAAAATTTGCCCGATATTTTAGAGGAATCTACAAGTATCATAATATCTGAAACAGAAAAGACGTTAGACAACACCGTGCAACACGTGAATGTACTCACTTCAGCATTGGATAAACTATATGTTTTAGATAAATCTCAGAGCGAACCTAATCAAACACTTGAATTACCTTTTGATATAAGTGTGGAAGAAATTGAGAACACGAAGGAAATGCTGATTGTCTTTAGACAGTATGAGATATTCCTCAGAAAGATTCTTGAGGAGCTTACTGACATAGAGAACTGCACTGCGAAGATATGCGATGATATCAGCGATGCTCTAGTTAGTATCCAAAATACATCTTTGGGGAGGATTGCGGTGCCTGTATTCAAAATATTTCCACTTTTCATCCGCTCGTCGAAGTTATGGTACCAGCTACAAAATCAAGTGATTCTTGTATCTAAGCTGAGTGAAATTGTGAATATTTTAGAAGCATTGACAAAAGAGACGATCTATGACAGAAATTTGTTACAAAACATTGTGGGTGAAAACTGTATGTCAGACGCAGAAAGATTAGAAAGGACGGCCAAATATTCTCTTTGTAGCGCTAACAGTGTAGTGCAGACATTCGAGTTGTCCCAGTTTCCAAATCTGGATAAAATCAAAATTCAGTATCTCGGATTCTGTCCCTATAAGTTGGTTGAAACCAAAGGCGGTCTGATCCCCGGAAATCCTAGTATGGGAATGGCACGATTCCATGGTCAAAACTTTGTTTTCTCGTCACCTGAAGCATGTTTGGGTTTCTCAAAGAATCCTGAAGACTACATTGAGGGAATAGTAAGGCTATGCTGGGAGAAGCCACAACTGATAGGATTTCTGGAGCTGGGAGATTCTTTAGAAAAAATTAGTGGTGTCGACTCTACGATGAATAAAATGTCAGGTGGTGTGAAGAGTGTTAGTAAAAGTGTCCAGTGTGAAATTGACTATGGTCAAATCGTTCCACCCTATGTCGATAAGAAGTATAGATGGAATGTATGGGATATGAAGAAAGAAGCTTTGCAGTTGGTCAAACTTAAAAAATGTCATACAACGTCTTCACAGACTTTGCCATTGTGTTCTAGTAAAATGAAAAATAAAGCTATGCCATAAGAGCTGATAAACTGTTTATGTATTATTTTTACTCTACAAGTTGAAAATATAAAACTGTAATTCTTGAGGATAACCACGAAAAAGCAAGCGCGTTTTTTTTTTCATGTGTGAAATTGCAATCTACTTAATATTATTTCTTAACTTTCCACTTTCTGTAAAAAATTCATGGAAATAAAACTAAAATGATGATATCCTCCATCTCTGTCTGGTCGCTAAATAAAACATCAGTATGCAAGAAATACCGTTTACTGATATTTCGGCCACCGCGGTGGCCTTCTTCAAGTACAAATGGCAATTCTGATGAACATTCATTTTGATATTTGTCTACCAGATGACACTTCGTTTGTTTTTTCTTTCATTTTCACATTCCTATACAGTGTGTTATTACAATAGTCTGAACGGCTCTGTAACATGCTGAGGTTGCGCGCAGCCATCATTGCTATTTTAACATGGCCCCAGCAAAGCCCACGACTGCCTGAAGTAAGCATTCGGCTTCGAAAAGGACGTCAACCTCCCAAAACGACAAGCGAACATTATAGTATCGGTCTTTATTTAACGTACTAGGCACGTCACTTTCCACCATCGTCTCGAAATTGTAGATATAAAGTGGACGATTTAACGATTTGGTAAAGGGCATACCACCCCAGTGACTTTTTTGAGGCCTATCCACCATCTACCACTTATGGGCACGACAGGTATTTCAAAGAACAGTTCAGAAAAGTAATTGAAAGATCGAGGTATATCTTTGCATTGAGTAACATTATCTACCTGTAGATACCCAATCCCATTGAAAGGTGCCTGCGCTAATATAAGCATATATTCCGCTAACCACTTACGCTTACAACAATGCAGTTTCCCAACTATGAGCGAAGCGGTCCGATCCTAGGAAGAATGTCGAGTCATATATGAGCGAATCTCCATACACACACACACCTCCGTGTGTGTTTTTGTAAACTTGTAATAGTCCAACATCCGACCGCAATGTTTTGGTTACATTGCTTATTAATAGATGTTAAAAACTACTCAAAGTTCCCATGTTGACTGTTTAGACTAAAAATTCGTAAGATTTGACTACTATTTATCGTATCATATCAGTACGCGATAATGTAACCAAACATTTGCGGCCGGCTCACCTACTATAATGCAGAAGAAAATCATGGTCAATGGAGCTGACCGGCGGATTATAAAGACGTCCCACGAAGTGTCTTCTTTTGATATAACTACTCTTTAATATAATTGTGGCCCTAAGGGAATTATTGTTTTCCTACTTGGCAATATCGCTGTGATGATGGAGATTGTAAGTCAATATCCAAATACAGCATACGGTTTTGCATCATCTAAGCAATGATTTTTGTCATAACCACTTGACCGGGTTTAACTGCTAGTTTTTTCTGGTAACCTGGTTGAAAAAACTTTTTATTTTACAGGCAATCCAGACGTTACCAAAGGGGTGTCTAGTTAGCATTTTGATCCTATTGATACCCCAAATCTACTGGTTCCATCTAATGTTGATTGGTGCTACAAAAGTCATCAAAAAGTCTGCATCCAACAACAACAATCTAAGGAACGTGAAAAATGTGAGACACGCGAAAAACAAATAAGTTGCCATAGGTGATGTTATCGAATTTAACAAAGGCTATTTAAATGTTTCAATGTTTAAAATATGTAATTTATCGAATAATCAATACAACAGCGCACTGAACTGGTCGATCTGAACTACATATACATGTAAAATGTCGAGCTTACAAGAGTTTGGATTATTTTTATATAAAAATAGTTTTTGTTATTATTCCAAATGGTATTATATCTTTGGAATTTACGTGGCTAGTTTAAACAAGCTTTAAAACGGAGATTGGCAAGATGTTCTACAATGCGCAACAGTAAAACCTTCATGATTTAGTCTTTGGTTCTGCGTTAGTCGTTATACCGTTACAGTTTTTCATGGTAGATTTCTAATGACTGGAGGTTTACATTTTCTAATTTCATATCATAAAGTCGTGAAAGTATATCCAATTTGTTGATCGTATGATGTGGCTACTATTAGTTTTGGAGCATTTTACATAATACTGGACTAAAGCACAATAACTAGGTATGGACACAATCTTAATGTAATGTTTTAGACATTTTTTATACAGTTACAATATTTTCCTAATGAGTACAGACTTGCCCCATACTAATTTTCTGCTTAAATGTATTAAAAAATACATCTAGTTAACTTAAAAATTAAAGGCTATTAAACTCAACACAGCTTTTTTGATCATTTGTAGACTTCCGATTGTTAGAAATTAAACTATGCTTCCGATCTCAGCTGGCATCTTTTCTGAACGGGTAAATATTAATGCATTTATCAAAAGACAAATCTGTGATTGCAATGTAGGAGGTATTCAATGAATAGTGATTACTATTGTTTCATACGAAGACCGTTTTCGAAAATAACGCAGAACCCATTGTGGACAATTTTGAAGGTTTTCTTATCGCACCATGGGTAAACTGATTGTCAACAGTTATGCACATAATTCTCAGGCAGGCGTCTGTTAGTGATCATTTTAGATTATAGCAGGTTTTTATTCCCACGTATTTTCGTTCACTAACTCTAAAATGGTTTACGAACTTTCAATATAACCTCTAAGGCCCGGTTTTACAATTGCAGGTTAACTATAACTTCCCTGATAACCGGAATTTAACTCTAAAAAAGCGTTTTTCCATGTCAGGTTTGTAATGGATTGCGGTGGAATGACAGCTGATTATCTAGGAATATATCAAAATTCCTCATATCAGCAAACGACCTATAATTATGACAGTGACATAAGCTGTCACGGATGACAGAAGACATAAACACCTATCATAACATGTACAGAATACGATAGTTCAACTGTAGACGCAGCGTTGCCCCTTTGGCAATCGCTATGATCTCAATCTGATTGCTATAATTGTCGCTTGTCTCCAGCCTACGTTACGCGTACTCTTTGTGATCCCCATCTATGGAGTAACGACCTATAGCATAGAGCTTACAGCTACAAAGCCACCGCACACAGGCCAAGTATCTTGACGTTTAGGCAAAATTAGAAGTGAACATGAAGCTAAGGATAGCTAGTTCCAAAGTGACAAATGGAGATCATTTTCTATTTATGTAATAGGGGTGCGGAAATTGAAAAGCGAGTTTACGGGCAACGGATAATTGACCTCCAAGTTTCAGTTATCTAATTTAAAAGTTAACTTGCTATTGGAAAACTGGGTCCAAGCATGTGCACGACAACACGGTACAGCACGTTTATGAATGTTTAGCATCTTTCGGTGTTTTGCATGCTCCTTTGTTTGTTTGAATGTTATGTTCCTTTGTTGTAACGAATTATGTTTTGTCAATCAGTTTACCGCTATAGTGAAAAACATGTTTATAAATGTGTATAAGTTTATATTTACTGAAACATACTTCGTTTACCTTGATAAATGTGATGTAATATTAAATGTGTTAAATGTTATAAATGCACCAAATACATATTATGTAATAAATGTATGTCAGTCAGTATTTAAATACTTAGTTTGCGAGGCACTCACTTTCATATTGTCAATCCAGTCCGAGTGAGTGCATCCCGACTAGCTTAAATTATTTTTTTATTTATTTTTACTGATCTTTACGACTGTGTTCATAATCTATAAATGGAATAAAATTCAGTGGAATGTTCGCGTAGTAGTTTTATTTCAGCGTCCTGCAAAAAAAGCATTTGACCCTCAACCTGGATAGATTCAGGACAGCGACGAATATTATGGAGGGATTAAACCAGGTTTCACGGGTTCTTGCAGCTACCATTACCAGAAAACAAAAAAAAACTTTAACAAGCATTTATTATAACATATTCACGTATTATATAACTCCTTAACTATATTAAGCTGCATTAAATATTGACGATATCAAGTTTGTTCGAACAGTGGTCGGTGACTATGTCACGGGTCCGGCTGTGTAAATTCTACACAGTGTAGCAGAATGAACAGAATTTGTGTGGCGGGATCTTGAACACGATCACTGGCTACATCTGTACGAACAGGGCTATCGAATACAAGAATATACTGGGTAATATAGGTTTTCTAAATTATAACACTAGTTGCCATTCTGTTCATTTTCCGTATTGTGATTTTCCGTGTTATTATTACTGACATCCTTGTCCTTGTTGTTCTCGGCAAACAAAGTGGAAAGTTTCGCAATCGAACCCACAGCCTTAAATCTTGTTTGAGCTTTCATTTTCTCCACCCTTTTCTTCCACTGAAACAGAAAATGATACGCCTCTGTTAATGCATTTGAACTACTTTCATTGGAAGTTGTTGTTCTGTCTATGACAACTGACAGTTATCAACTGCCAGTCACTGTCATTCACCGATCTTCACAAAATATTTCCAAGGAGTGAAGAAAAACACGGTTGATAGTGAATAAACAAAATAACTTTAATTTATTTTGATAATATTATTGTAATTATCTTCAAATGGTGAAGTTATTGCCAATAATCTTCTAAGTTCCAAAAAAGTGAACCGGTTACGTCCAAAATGTATTTTCCGATATAAATAAAACTTGCCGAAATTGTCGAGACTTTTGGCAAAAGTAGGTAGTGAAAAAACTTTCTAAGCCGGCGAACAATATCATCTGGTCTTTTCTATAAGGTAAGAACGATTTCTAGAATAATTTACTTACCCCTTCATCTCTAGAAGGCATTTGTGATAAGTATTGGTTCATATCTGTCTTAGTTTGATCAACTATAGCTAACACTGATACACAGCCATCAATTGTACCTAAAACCAAAGCATTCCCATCTGGAGTACTTTCCACAGCCGTAAGTTCTGCTTGCACTCTATAATTTGCCACCATTTCAGCATCAGAAGTTCTAAAACATAACATTATTTAGAAACTGTCTAAAGGGCACACTGATCTTGATCTAGTCAACAATAATCAGAATGATATTTATATTTTTCTGGAGTTGGGTATTAAAAATGTAGTGCGATCCACTAATGAACAATTTATAGGATCTGAACCAACTTCAAACTCATTATCAACAATTATCCTTGATTCCTTTACAGCAGTTGTATTTAGGTTTTGTGTTTGCAGGTGATATACAAGAAAAAAGCTAAAGCTACTCATTGGATTCTATTTACAGACATCAAACTTTTCAGTCAGCTAATAACTTACCGAAACACTCTCAAAGTCTTTCTTCCACTGTGGTAATAAAGAACATACTCATCTGTTTTGTTGAAAAGGCATATAATCGAAAATACACCTTCAGCTACTTTTGGAATGAATGTTCTTACAGTAGAGCCCTTTTTTAGTTCTATCAGTTCAAGTCCACCTCTACAAATAGGAAATAATACTTTGAACCTTTACATGCTAGCAGTTGTTGAACTTTTTCTAAATTCACAAAACTCATCTCTCAGTTTGTTGCCTTTTTTTTGTTTACATGTCCTAGTCTAGGGAAACATACCTCGATGGGGCATAAAGTCCATACTTTCCATCTTTAGTTATACTGCCTCCCCATTTTGGTACAGTTCGAATATGCTTTTTATTTCTTATATCTATAACAGCACCTTTGTCTGTTGTCAGTACTGCTATTAGATGAGGTTTGTGAGGCATTGCCACTAATCCAGAAATGTCCTAAAAAAAGTTGCTTGTGTATATTTTTCACAGGTATTTCACTTGGTTGAAAAATCTCATTTATGCAGTTTTTTTGGACTTCTTTTTTTTGGTTACATGTGTAGTGTATGAACACTACAAATGTCGCTTGTTCGGTGACAGTCCTGTAGTACAAATTATATGGTTGATGATCGCATCCGTGTTGGCCAAGCATTGATCACATTGTAAAGGCTGACTACTACTTTTCAAAAGGCTGAGTACCGGGTACTCAGGTGGGTACTTCTTTCACCTACTGTTAGTGATATTAATATATTTCCATTTTTGAAAGGTCCTTTTATTCGAAAAATTGATTTACAGATAGTTGTACAGTTTTTTTTGTGACAGGTTACTGTGTATATGTGAAATTCAGTAGCTGCAGTATTGACTTCAAAATGAAACAATATCTTGATGTTACATTTTCAAACATGTATTTTTACAAAATAAGCACATTTGTAATATATTCACAAGATATTTACTCTACATCTTAAATATAAATTTTAATGAGGATAGGCAATGTGAAGCCACAAGCTGCTCGATTATCAAAAGTTGATTAACAAAATCGCTGCCGTACTATGGTTATTGCTATCACTGAAATTAAATTTTATAGGCTTATCAGCTGCAATTATTTGATTTACAAAAGTTTTGGGTCTTGCGTTCGGCTGAGTAATTATTCGGCCGAGTAGTTCAATACTGGGATACTCGGTAAAATAGACCGAGTATGCCAAATATCGCTTACAAACCGAGTATTTGACGTATCCCTATGATCATGTTGAGATGCAGCGTTATCGTATAACGTCGCGTTTTTGGCGTCCGCAAAACGGGTCACGTTGCTGACGTTAAATCCTTATGCAATATCTTATACACTCACCTTGATTGCACTTGCTTTCAAAGGTATCCTATGCAGTAGCGCGCCATTTTGAGCATTATGAATTATCACACAGTCCCTATTGGTCTTGTCTGCAGCAGAAAGTACCAAATATTGTTGATCTGACGTTATGACAGCTTGCTTGAATGAGACTCCAGTTATACTGCGGACTGGGTACTCAAAAGAGTATACCATCTCACCACCTTTAAAAAATTATTAAGATTCTGTGCAATCTGAGAGGATCAGGTTCATTTCTCAAAACAAAGTGAAAGATGCTCAAGGATCTGGCAGTAAGTTGGTTTGATATGGGCATACAAAAAAAGCTACAGGATCCACAAAGATGCACCGACCTGAATGACGGTTGTCTAGAAAAATAGAACGATGTTTAAGCTTTCTAATGATGTATCACTTATTGGAAATAAGTGGTTATTGCATTTGAAAAAAATGGAGGTTAGTTTAAGGATCACCCTCGAGTGATATAAATGTGATGCTAACTTGGTACTTCTCTAACACAGACAATGGCTGAAGTACGAACAAAATCACTTCCTGGAGGGTTGCTTGGCTTAGAAATTGATAGAACCTTCGTTCCATCCTCAATCAGAGTTAACTGTCTTATTCCTGGTTGTTCTTCTTTGAAGATAACCATTTGTGTTAGACGGAGCCATATTAGGAAGTTTCCAGATTCTGCTGATATTATGTACCTACAAATAAATACTGTCAGATGTGAGGAGCGAGAGAAATGATATATAACTTTGGCAGTTTGACATGAAATATATGGTATGGTTCTATTGGTAACTGTAATAAAAGTCAAGTTAATCCTATTGCATGATACAGAGGACTTGAATATGTTTTTATTTAATGTGCGAATTCGGAATGGGTGTAAACAATTTGTTTCTCAAAAAATACAATGTTGGTGCCAGTATTTATCATCAATAAAGCATACAAAATGACATGCAACTCTAAGACAAATACGAAAATTTAGAGCATTATGACGAAATGAATTGAAAGAAACTTCTGAAGTTCTCTTTTGATATTTCTGTTGGTTGACAATAGAGCCGTTGCTGTTGAAACTTACTTGCCATCGGGGGTTATGATAGCATGAGTGACAATAGCTCCCAAAGGGCTATCAGCAAGTTTTGCAATCAGCTTCCCAATTCGTAGGTCCCATACTCCTACACAGTTTCGTGTTGTTGTTACAGCTAGGCTTAAATTGTCTGAAAGGCTGAAATTCCATGTTAGAATGACTTAAACTATTCATAAAACATTTCCTGACATACAGAGCTTGAAAATGAACTAAAATACACATTATGTTTTTCAGTCAAATCCCATCGGACCTTCGAAATGCTGCATGTGCTAAGTCGTAGGCTCAAGCTGGCAATTGTTCTTATGATATTGATCAACTTTTTGCCTTTAAACTTTTAAAGTTTTTCGAGGTAAAATTTCCATTTTCATTTCCATTTTGTTACAAAACTGAGTATATCGACTGTGGTAATTTGGGTTGCTGATATGTAGTAATGAGAAAATAGGGCTTATACTGATATCATTATTTCTTTAATACCTGATCGAATCCACTTGTAGCTCATGCCGATCAATAACATGCACAGTTTCGAAAATGTTATTGATATTCCAAACTTTTGCCGTCCTATCTATCGAAGAAGTCACGATGCTGTTCCAGTTTCCAATTGTCAACGCTTCCAGTTGAATAATTCTTCCGAAATGAGCGTCCAATATCTTGACCAACTTTTCTGTCTCCATGCTCCATACGTACAAGTTCTTCCTCACCCCTGCTATTGCGTAATTTTTGTGCGCGCTTAAAACTATGGAGTTGGATTGAAGCATTTTCGTCGTGATGTTCCGAGTGCCATATGGGAGGGTCAAGACGGTAGCTCCTTCATAAATTTTTTTTTCTTCGTCCAGGTCCCATATTACAAAGCCGTTGCTTGTTGTTCCTTTAAAATATTAACGTTGAGCTTGGAATGTTGGCATTGAGATTCGACTGCTGCCGGTGGATTTTGAAATCGCCTAGGCTTGAAGAAGGTTAAATTGCCCGATAAGAAAACGACACCTCGAAAGGTTTCCAAAATAATTCGCACATTAACATGCCACTTCTGATCCATTACGATATGTTATGAATGTGCCCGACCAATTCCATCAATCGACTTCGCACAGTTTCCAAAATTCCCAAGGCTTGATTTAAATCATGTTAGAATAATGACATATTATACAGGGTGGCCAATATATGACTAACTGATTTAAATGTTGATACACGCATTTGAGTAGGTGGCGCCGTGGTAGTTGTTTGAAGCACATATGTCCAATTCATCATGGAGCGCTAGACGATCCCACAACGCGTCCGTATTGTTAAAACGTCTCACTTAAATAATGAGTCGATTGTTGCAACGATTCGGAAGCTACGACAAGATTTCGGTCGAAATACTGTGCCCAGGGTCAACACCATTCGTGTGTTGGTGCGGAAATTTGAACGAACGGGTGAAGTTACAGTCTCGCCAAGGTCGGGCCGTAAAATATCGAGAGAGTTCGTGAAAGTATAGTGGAGCGCCCTGAGACGTCTACCAGACATCGTTCTCAAGAACTGAGTATTCGTCGCACGTCATGATGCGCCATTTAAAAAAAGACTTGCATTTGCGGCCATACAAAATTCAGTTAACCCAAGAACTTCAGCCTAGTGATCATGAAAGTAGCCGACAATACAGTCATCGCAGCTTAATATCCAAAATAACGATTTTTACCGACAATTGAAAATGAGCGATGAAGCCCATTTCGATATGAACGGATTTGTTAATAAGCAGAATAGTCGTATCCGCATTAGAGAATCCTCGTGTCATCCATCAACGACCACATCTTTGTCGAGTCACAGTTTGATGCGGTGTTTGGTATGGAGGATCATTAGACTTTACTTCTTTGAAGACGCTGCAGGTAATCCTCTTACTGTCACTGGCGAACGCTACCGTGACATGGTGCAAAACTTTTTGGCTCCTCAAATCCAACAATTTAACCTGTAAAACATGTAGTTCCAGCAGGACGGATTTGGTGATGTCAATTGGGCACCAAGGTCACCCGATGTAACGGCTCCTGACTTTTTTATAGTGATTTTTGAAAAATAGAGTATTTTCTAACAATCCAAATAGTGTAGAGCAGCTGAAGAACAATATTACGGAAGCGATTGAAAATATTCCTCCCAACACCTACCAAAAAGTTGGAAAATGTAATGAAGAGGGCTTCTAGATGCGGACATTTCTCTGATATTATTTTTCATACAGAATTTCTAAGTTTCAATAAAAGATTAAGATGAAAAAAAATGGACGTATTTTATTTCATTTCACAAAAATATTCTCAAGATACAAACCAGTCAGTTACATATCGACTACCCTGTATAAGGAGTACCATGTCTTGAAATTGTCTAACACCACAATTATCTGTAAACACTCAAACTTTCAAAAAATAACTCTAAATATACGAATTTAGTGAGAGAACTGTCATAAAATTGACTTATATCAAGTGCACTTTGATGCTCACTACAGACTGTGACATTCAGGAAACAAAAATCCTTGACTGGTTCCTTCTACCTAGTCTCTCAATTCGTTGATAGTAACCGTCCGTATAACTTCAAAAATATCATGTTCTCCATGATTTAAGCGCTATATATGGTAAATGCTTTTTAATTATGTATAGTTACCGAACAAATATTTATCATCCTTGTCCAATTTCAGTTGTAGCATTATCTCTAATTCATCATTTCCAGCCCGTGACAAGTCTTCCATTTTAATCCATATCTTAGTATCTTCCGATTTGACGTATTTTGAAACTTGATATGTTCCTGACGTCGTACACGCATATGCCGTATTTTTATATTTGCCGAGTACCAAAGCACTGAAAAATATTTTATAGAGGATATCGAATGATAACACAGGCCAACAAAAAAAATATTTTTGAACATTTTTCACTTTGAAAGCTGATTTTTATGGGTTTTTGTGAGCTGAATCCAAATATGGCCTTAGTTTGTTTGTATCGCCCTTATACGGTATACGAGCCCCTTCCCACTTCAGTTGGCCCAACTATTGAAATCTTAGTTTTTTTCTTATAAAACACAAATAATAAAAATGTAGCAGGGTGTTATAGGTTTAAAATAATAACAATGAATATTTTGATAATATATAGTAGAAAACACCAACTTTATCACTGCCTTAATCAAATTTGCAGCATAAAAATAACACATGTTGCAATTACAGCATATCAACCTATTTTCATTTCAATGCAAAATAAGTCTATAACGGATAGGTGGCTGTGAAAAATAAAAGCCATGATAATTGTTTTTATTAATCACAGCTGTCAGAATACGTTTAAAATAGTTTTGGGTAGTTAAGGTTTTCAAAATGGGTAGAGGAAAGGTTATTAGTGAGAAAATTCGGTTACTGATAATTAAATTTTTTAATTCTGGGAAATCAAACTCAGAAATTGCAACTTTGTTAGACTTATCGCGGTACAGTGTGAGAAATACTGTTAGAAGATATATCGTAACTGGTTCAGTTAATATTAAGCCACGATATGTGAAAAAAGTAATATCACAAATGCCGACCGAAGAGCATTAAGAAGAATAATCGTGAAAAACAGGCGTGCCAATTATTTACAATTAAGTGATCTGTGGAGTGACGCTGTTGGAAGGAGAATTTCGAGGTCCACAACTCATAGAGAGGCCCACAAACTGGGATTTAGCACTTGCAAGGTAAGTTTTCTTATGAAAAAAAGTGAAGTAAAAACCCTAAAGTTGCACAACTTGTTTATAGGCCAAAGAAAAGCCACTATTAACTCCACTGCAAAAGAAAAATCGGCTTAGATGGCCTAAATAACATAGACAATGGACACCTCAACAATGGTGTGCAATACAATGGAGTGATGAGGCCCGATTCGAAGTTTGTGTTGATATCAGTCGCAGTAGAGTTATTCGCAAAAAAATGAAGCATTCCATGTTGACTGTCTGAAGAGAAAAGTGAAATTTCCAGCATCCATTATGGTCTGGGGCAGTATGTCATCAAAAGGAGTAGGAAAACTTCATTTTATTGATCGAAATGTGGATACAAACAAATATTTGCCAATTTTAGAAGAATCGCTTTTACCAGTGATGGAAGAATGTTTGACATCCGGCCAAGATTTTGTGTTTCAGTAAGATGGTGCGCGTGCCATACCTCAAAAAAGGCTATAAAATGGAGGGAAGAAAATAATGTACCACTTTTAAAATGGGTTTCTAGCAGTCCAGATCTGTCACCTATTTGTGGCACGAGATAAAAAAAGGTTCTACGACAAACTGAGACAAAAGCTCAAGAAATATGGGATTGTTTTACACCAAATGTTTGCCAAAACTTGGTTAACACTATGCCCTAAAGAATTTCAGCCGTAATAAAAAATAAAGGTGATGTTACCCAATGGTAATCTTTCGATTGTTGCTTTGTTAACTTCGCGCATTTATTCGCACATTGTTTATTTGTTCAGATGATCTATTAGTTATAGGTCTAAGTGATTTCAAATATGTTTTTTTTATGACTAGACTGTATCTAAAATGTTTTTGAGAAAATAAATTGTTTTAGAAGTAAATAGTTTCGTCATGTTTAGTTTATAAAGGCATATTTTGGTACAAATCTTGAAGTGGGAAGGGGCTCGTACATGGGTACTTGAAACAATTCCCTCAGACAGTCTACGTTGAATCAACCATTTTTGGTCAGAGAATGTGTTTCAGCGGTGCTACCAACATCATCTACATCCATGTAGATCTAGTTTTTCAATTATTTCTACTATTCATCTGTCCAGTTCTTTAAAAATCACTTAGCTTAATAAATTTAACTATGAAATATTAAAAAGTGAAGAAATGGTGGGTGATGCGGCTTTTTAAGTATCATATTTAGTTTCAGCACCCTAAAAAACAAGAATAAGGTATTATTAGTAAAAAAGTTTTTTCATCGTTGGCCTGTGTAATCGTTTGAGGATGTGTACCTATGATATTCTAAATATTCGTAGCTCCCTTCTTCGGTCACAAGCCGTAGCCTCATGGTGTCATCATCCAAAGTGCCTTTCCAAAATATGATTCTGTACTGAGTTTTGTTGTCAAATTCCATATCTGAAGACAATTTATTGTACTTAAATTTTGTTCATTGTAGATCGAGCTTTATATTACTGTCGATTAATGTTGTGGCAAATTGGAGTTAATTAGACTGACTCAGTAATTTTATTCGATTATAAAGTATATAAATATGCTAAATGACAGATAATGCAACACCGACTAGGAGTGTTGTAATTTTGAGCATACAGTAGAACCCCGATTATCTGAAATAATATGGACCCAAGTGTAGATCACATCTATTTGTAATCCTCTGTCAATGTTTTCTGCTATGGTCTGGGTGAAGTTCATCAGATTTGATACTGTTGAGCGCCCTTTTTTAGCTGGTACATTATCCGGTCCGGTAGTCATCTTAGGTTTTATTTGCTTCAAGGCTAAGACAACTTCATCCTCCTTAAATCTAGTAATATTGAGTAGTAGTTCATTGCACATTAAAAAGCCATCAGTTTCTTCGGTGGCTGATGAAGACGAGTAGTATTTGGAGAGGTTATCCGCAAACGCATTTAATATGTCGTTCGGTTCCAAAAGTTCATTACCATTGTAAATCATCCTACTTGATAAGTTTGTTCATTTTCGCTTAGAATTTAAGAAGCCCCAAAATTTATTCGAATCTCTTTGTATTTCGTTCTCAGCTTGTCTGACATATATTTTGTATGCTTCATCTGAATCTTAATTTTTGATCTAAGTTCCCTGAATGTCTGATTCGTATCAGGATCATTGTTGCGTCTGTAAGATCGGTGAATCTTCTCCTTGCGTTTGATAAGCTTAATTATTGCTGAATTGAACCAGGGTGGGTATTTACGTTTCGTTGCTCGGACATATTTTGGAACACAGGTATCAAAAGCATTGTAGAGTTTATTACAAAAGAACTCACACGCTTCATTCGCGTCATAAAAGCCATCTAAAGCAGCCCAATCCATGACTGAAATTAAATTATATAATTGGGGGAAGTTGGCTTTGCGGAAATTATAAGAATTTATAAATGAAACAGGAAAATTATGCTTAGTATTGAGACTGCTGTTGACATTACAACAAATATTCAGGGCAGGGTGATATGGGTCTTCATCTTCTAGCAGCGGATCACACGAATGTTTAACCTCACCTCAGAAAACTAAATCAAGGGTATTGTCCATAGAATTTGAAATGTTGTTAAACTGATTATTAGCAAGACCCTTTATAGTTTAATCCCGTTTCGTCGCAGTTGCAAATTTGTTCTGGATCTTATCTTATTATCTGCAGATAACTTTTCTCCACAAACTTTTAAGTCTCGTATACCGTGTCGTTTTTTCCATCTATGCAGCCGCTGTAAAGTTATCAGGCGCCTCAATAACTGGCAATCCTTCACTTAAGTCGACTGCCTTTTGCTTTAGAATTGGTCCGGAAATTGGTATTCCACGTTCTCGATTCTGTGTAAACCACAGATATAAAGCATCATCCACTTTTTGATATTCCTCCTTTTTCATAGTTTTCCGTGACGGCTGCGATGATGTCATAACACTAGACCACTTTTTAACTTTCTAGCGTTGTTTTATCCATTCTGAAATGGTACTCACGCTCACACCCAAATTACTTGCCACGTTTTTAAGCAAATCACGTCTATCTAAACGCCTGATTGCCTCAAGTTTCTGTTCTATGGTAATAACAACGCGTTTACGTTTATTTCTATGCTGCTCCAGCTTGGCGATTATGAACCTGGCTGAAACAAACATACACGCAGACATACCATTGCGCAAACGTACTTGGGGAATCACCGACAGCGAATCTAATGACGTCGAAAGGGGAACTACCGGCAGCCATGTTATTTCGGATCATGCGCCGATTTTCCGAACAACTTCGGTTAAAACGGAGGAATTATTGTATGCGATCTGTTTCTGATAAAGCGGATTCCGGATAATCGGGGTTCTGCTGTACTGTTAAAATACGCCCAATCTATGTTTAGTTTACTGAGATTATGCCTTACGCAATATCGGCCAGTTGTCTCCACTTAGAGGCCCTTTAAATTCTTCCTCTTTATTTCCTCTCATATCAAACCTTACCCATTCTTCAGTACCATAGATAAACAAGTTATAGTTTAAAAGGTAAATCCCCACTACAGATTTTTCTTCTGCTAAAGGATTATCCACTATGACAAACTCACTAGACAACATATTAAGCAGGACAGTCTGAAACGGAAAAATAACGTCAAATAGGTGGACTCTCTCTCTCTCTCTCGTAATGGGATGTTTTCTAAAAAAAAATGTTTTGACACAGTACAAATACTGTGCATTGTGAAAATGGCATCAAGTAAGTTGACTCTGATTATACTCGGCACAAATTAGTCCTTATAAAAAAATTGGAGATGAACATGTATAACAAAGGAATTTAAATAGATCATGTTAGTCAAACAGACTCATACAAGTAGTCCATAGTCACCACAGATTTGATTCTATTGATATTGCGATCTAGCCTACCTTCCTAGCGACAGTACCGACCACCCAACAACGTGGCAACTCTGCCTGTTGCGGTAATTGGAAGCAAATGTATGCTCATTGCACGCGTATATCGAAAATCTATCTCTATCATCCAGGGGCAAATGTATGATTATGAGATATGTCTGATAGGTGCGTAGAATTATCCGGGTTGTAAAAATATAAATTGTTAGCAGCAAAAATTGAAATATATTCTTCCCCATCCCCTACAACTCCCCTTTTATCCTCTGCCTGATTTTTTCTGAAAATGATCTGAGTGGTACTTCCCAAGTTATAGATGAAGCAAGGAGTCCGGAGAGACAGATGATGGAAATGAGTGACGTGGTTTGCCGTAACGTTTTTCGCGATTGTAATACTTTCTCGCCGGTGGCGTAGGAAGTAAAAGTATATTTTCGCGAACGAGACGTGGCAGCGCTTGTCCAAGTTCAAGCGTAAAATTTCGTGTTAAATCCGTGACGTAATAAGTTCTAGCGTGGTTTAATAAGTTTTTTCGGGCACTTTATAGAATAACCTCTATTCTTTGTCACTGACAGTTTCACATGGTCAAAGGTCTAATCCTATTGGTTGATTCCTTCACCGACAAATACAAATTAGTTAAATATACAGTCAAAATCACGAAAGATGGCTATTACGTCATGCCATAAATTGTACTGAAGTTACCTTAATAATAATTTTAGTGGGGAGTTTTTGTTTTGGAAAAAACAGTTATGAGTAGAATACGTTAAGACAGGAACACCAAAGACCAAAGTATTATTCGAAAACAACCTAACCTACTTTAACATAACCTAACTATTCATCTTTCAAATATGATCGATTGTACAACAAGAAAACATCGTCTATATTTGTCTCTGTCTAACATATCAGAAACTTCATTAAAAATATTCACAAATCGCTGTCGTTTGTCTTTACTACAGGCTAAAATGATGACGTAATCGTCATCTTTCGTGATTTCGACTATATGAATTTAATATAGTTCTTCCCAACACGTGAAAAAAGCGATAATGGTATATGAAAAGTAAAACTACACCATTGTAACAGTTCAAAAATTCCAGCTTCAAATTGATCATAGTTGGTCTGGAAGAAAAATGTGTTGTCCAAAAATGTTCCTAAAAAATCTAAAATGATTATACAGGAAACAAAATAATTATAAACATCGACATTATTAGGTACATACTTGATTATTGTTGGTATAAGCAGCAGCCCATTTATTGTCAGGACTCAAGACGAGGTGTTGCATTATTCCTTCAATGTTCGGATTGACATCGCGTGTCAAGTCACTGGTAGAGAGATCCCAGGTGATGAATCTGTTTGAGATTGAAACCACGTATCTGTAGTCCGATGTTAGACAAATTGAGAACACGGCAAATTGGTGACCCTCCAGGGAATACTAAAAAATGAAACAACATTTCAGATAATTCATGTTTTAACTACAGGGTCCGTCAGAAAGAACGCATGTTTTTTAAATGAGTAGTACAGTCAAAATAAGTACAGGAATAATATTTTATCATATCAAAATACTCAGAAATACATGCAATTTTTTTGAGTAAAACAAAATTTACGTCCTAAAAACTATGTCGGCCATACGGCGCACTTGAGCCGAAATGCAGGAATTTGGGTTACTTCTTATTTCCTCCTTCAAATCGACGAGGGTCCGAGGCTTGCTTTGGTAGACTTTTGATTTCAGGTAGCCCCATAAAAAAAAATCACACGTTGACGAGGTCCGGGGAGCGAGGGGGCCATGGATATCGCCATGTCGTGAAATAAGACGTCGTGGGAATTTTTGCCGAAAAAGTTCCGTCGAAGTGCGAGCTGTGTGAGGTGTTGTCCTGTCTTGTTGGAACCACACTGTTCTGAGACGGACACGTCGACGTCGAAGTTCCGGAAAAAAAAGTTGTTCAGCATGTAGATGTAACACTCTGCATTCACAGTACGCCCTTCCCCACCGACACGGGACCAGCCCACTCGATGTAGTACCCATTCGACCCTGTATAAGTAGAAACGAGCCTAGCTAGCCATATGTCCTAACATTAGTTCCCTTGCGCATCGTAGATGCTTTTACACCACTAGTCAACTAGCAATTTCAGTTTTGCTATCGAATTTTGATCTCTTTTGATTGCCATCTAGAACAGTAAAGAGTAGACACTTCCTGATATTTACCTTTAATGGTCCACCTGGTGTATGCAGACAATGATACAAAGGCAACAAGGCACAGTGCATTGGACCTTTGCCGTCACAATCATTCAGAAGCATTTTGATGTTTGGATTTTTTCCAACCTCTGGCAATAATCTGCCTATTAGTTGGGGAGCCAACATGTTTGGGTATTGGCCAAGAACTGCTCCTCCTAGTCTCAAGGCGTCTGCAACGAGCATCAGTTCTCTGAAATTATAGTAATTGAATGAAAAAAATAGTGATGAAATGTTGTGTTTTAGCGTATTGTAAAGATTAAGAACGAATATCGGTTTGTAAACATTTTTGAGTCTCAATTCGTAGCTATTCATTTTACTGCGTCTATAATACTTCGGCCTTGACTTGGCGGCCAAGATTTTCCGATTGATATGAGCGAATCAAAATGCATGAAAAGAATAGCGAGTCAGTCTACTTGACTCACTTTTGTACGAGTATATTCTTTACATACCTTTTTGATTCTTTATTGTCGATATGTGAACTAGCATCTTCATAGTCAGCTAAGACAGCTTGTAAAGGACAACTTGATAATTTTGCGTGTAGCCACTCATAATTGAAAAGCACGTTTTCGTATAGATCAGTAAATCTTCTGGACCTGACTAGGTGAAACGGCATTTCTCCAAACTGGAATATGAAAACATATTCTTGAATAGCAACAAATAAAACACATATGATTTGATGCTATCCAAAGTTTGAGCTTATCAACTTTATTTTTAAGTTTCTCACCTTGCGTAAATTATATCGAGAAACTTTCCCGTCTTTCGAGTAAAATACCAAGGGCTGTACCGGTACTTTTCTATCCGCAATACCTTCTTTATCTTTCAAATTGAACCTACGAAAATTCACATTGGTATATCGTTAATACTGAGTTGGTCTGTTTTGTATTTATACAGGGTGTAAACGTTATGATAGTCGCAAACTACGTCGGAACGCAGTGTAAATAAAGATGGAGTTTGTTATTTTTGGCTCTTAGGTATTATCTCATTATTTGATAATGTACTCGTAAAATGGAAACAACTAAAAAAACGGACTTACCACTAACTGTCTCAGCGCTCCACCTGGTGTGTGAAAGTTTATTGAACGTATTAAAAAAATCCACTTATAAATACTGAACACAATTTTGATACATACATTGTTTTTCTTTTTAAAACCCACACTGCACTTTTTTTGTATTTAAAGAAGGTGTTCAAAATGTCGTCCTCCACTTTCCACACAAGCTTCATTACGACGAACCCAGTTTCTCCTTACTCTAGGTCCCTTTAAGTTCTCCCCAATACCAGAAATCCATTGGATTGAGGTCAGGAGATCTTGCTGGCCATTTTCGAGGATCAGGAGCATTTCGACCGATCCAGCGATTTGGATAATGTTCATTCAAATACTGAATGACGCCTCTAAAAATGTCTGATGGTGCCCCGTCATGAAGAAACCACAAATTCTGTCTCCGTTGTAATGGCATGTTGTCTAAGGTCTGTTCCAAAAGTTCTGGTAGGTTATTGGCTAGAAAGCTAAGGTATCCTTCTCCTGAAAACTTTGGGGGTAACTCGAAAGGACCAATTACCTGATCGTCAAGAATACGCGCCCAAATATTTATTTTAAAACGTTGTTGGAAATGACCTTTACGAATGGTATGAGGATTTTCTTGGCCCCACGTGTGACTATTATAGAAATTTAATATCCCGTCTCGCGTAAAAGTACATTCGTCCGTCGCTAGAATGTTTTTAAAAAAAACCGGATTTTCAATTTTTTTATGCAAAAACCACTGACAGAATGTTAGTCTGCGAGGATAGTCTTCTGGTAACAAGGCCTGCACTCGTTGTGCATGGTAGGAATAAAGCAAATTTTCCCGTAGGATTCTATGGACTATGGTATGCGATAGTTCTACGCGGCGGCCTAATTCCCGAGTGCTGATATCTGCATTGATTTCCACGATATTTAAAATTTGTTCCTCCTGCTCTACAGTAACCTGTCTTTCACGAGTGCGAATATTAGTGGGCTGAACACTTCCTGTATCTCGAAGTCTTTGGTACACTTTCACAAATGTCCTTCTGTCTGGGTGTGCCCGTTGGCGAAATCTGTCGCGATAAATTTGAGCTGCAAGATTTGAATTCTGACGAGCTTCACCGTAAATGAACAACATGTCGGCGAACTCTTGATTCGAGAACATTGTAAATCAAGACGACGACGTACGCAAACAAAACAACATACTAACCACTGTTACCGTTTGCGATCGATTGCCGGTTCGATAAGAGTGATGAAAGACCGACGCGCTGTTGTTATGTGTGTTTTAAATATTCAATTTAATGAAATTTACCTACTTACTGACTACAAATTTTGGCTTAACTGAGAAAAACTTAATGCCATTTATTTGCTAGTTACCCAAGTTGTAAGCTATAAAGCCATTTAGACAAAAATCTATTGACTTTTGGACCATGGATCATATAAACTTTTTGACTTGTTTTGACCCCCCTATTACCCATTTCAATAATGACTACCATAACGTTGACACCCTGAATAGATTTTTTTTGATTTACCGATGTCTCTGTATTTCTGTATACTTGAATGGTTTCGGTTTACCACCACCCCATATACCAAGAAAATAGTCCGCAATCATAGAATGAAAATATGTTGCCATGTTCATATTTTTGAAGTATCTCTCTTTGGCTGTATCTCTGAACTGCCTGGAAACAGAATACAGTAATAATAATTAGTATTTTTATTTTTTCAACAGCATACGCCAACAGAAAAAATCAGTCATGTATAATACCCCACGATATGACCTCTTTTCCGTTGACAGTAACTGTAAAATAATCAGTATAGATGGTAAATTTAGATTTTGAACCTGACGTGAAAAATGAACCAAGCGAGATATTGTATATTTAATTTTTATACATGGTGGCCAATATATAACTGACTGATTTAACTTGTGCATTATCTTTGATACACACATTTCAGTAGGGGGCGCCGTAGTAGTTGTTTAAAGCACACGTGTCCAATCCATCATGAAGCGCTACACGATCCCACAATGCGTCTGTATTGCTAAAACGTTTGACTTAAATAATGAATCGATTGTTACAACGATTCGGAAAATACGACAAGATTTCGGTCGAAATAACGTGCCCAGTGTCACCACCATTCGTCAGTTGGTGCGAAAATTTGAACAAACGGGTGAAGTTAAAGACTTGCCAAGGTCGGGCCGTGTTCGAACTGTTCGTACTCCGGGAAATGTCGAGAGAGTTCGTGAAAGTATAGTGGAGCGCCCTGAGACGTCTACCAGACATCGTTCTCAAGAACTGTGTATTCGTCGCACGTCGTTTTAAAAAAAGACTTGCATTTGCGGCCACACAAAATTCAGTTAACCCAAGAACTACATGTGACCATAAAAGTCGCCAGCAATACAGTCATGCAATATTGCAGCTTATTACTCAAAATTACGATTTTTACCGATAACTGATAATGAGCGATGTGTCATCCATCAACCACTACTGCATCCTCGTCGGGTCACAGTTTGGTGCGGTGTTTGGTATGGAGGTGTCATTGCTCCTTACTTGTTTGAAGTCGCTACAGGTAATTCTCTTACTGTCACTGGCTAGCGCTACCGTGATATGGTGCAAAACTTTCTGGCTCCTCAAATTCAACAATTTAACCTGCAAACATGTGGTTCCAGCAGGACGGAGCAACTTGTCACAGAGATAGGCAAACAATAAATCTTTTGCGAACAATATTTTCGGGACGTTTAATTTCTCGATGTAGTGATGTCAATTGGCCACCAAGGTCACCGGATTTAACGGCTCCTGACTTTTTTATGGGGATTGTTGAACAATAGGGTTTATGCCAACAAACCAAATACTGTAGAGCAGCTGAAGAACAATATTACGGAAGCAATTGAAAATATTCCTCACGAAACCTACCAAAAACATACATAATTTCTAATTTTCATACATACAGGCCACCCTATACATTCATAGGATCCTGAAAATAGGTATCGTTCATATTAACCAGACTTTTGTATCTACATTCCTTATTGGAGGAAAGGCAATAAGGCAGCACATTGATTACTTGAAGATGACCAATCATATACTGTACTTCCGCATTCATAAAGGGTCTGAAAGGTCTAGCTCCATCTATGAAATAGCAGAACAAAAAAAGCTTAGTAATCTACTTTGAAAAGAGTTAGAGTGTTCGGTATTCCACTGTTTCATAGATGACGCTAGGATCTTCAATCTCGTTTTGGCCTCTGCAATGCCTATTTTAATTGGGTATCATTAGGCATTGGTTTACGTATTCCGCTTGAAGGTGCCATATTAAAATAGGCATCGGAAACAGAACGCGATTGAAAATTCCGGCGCCATCTATGAGACAATACCAAGCACTCTAACACTCTTCAAAGTAAATTTATAAATTCATATTTGTGTTCTTGCTGCTGTCTCATAGATGGCGCTAGTATTCTTCAGACCCCTTTTTGTAACCGGAATACAGTATGTGCTTAGCTATTTTCAGGTAGAATCAATGACCAGAATCACGGCACTTGAGTCCATGGGACACCTTATAGGTCCCTCCAGGGATTCCTCAGGGTTGAATCATCATTTACCTCAAAATATTACCTTGTAGAATTTCTGTTACATTATCCATGAAAGATGCGATGCTCATATAGAGTGGATTCTACAGCTGGTCAGACGCAAAGTATAACCCTCTTTTACTCATGTTATGTATTACTTATTCTCATATACTAAGTGACATATAAATCCGAACACCCAGTTTAAATGGTTTTATTTTAATAAAATTTTGTATAAGTACTTAATGAAGCATAATAAGTAAATGATAAAAATTTCAAAATGATTGCACTGCTTTAAAGCCCTTTGACCTTTAATAATGTGTGGATGCACCCTGATGTGCTACGCATTCTCCAACGCGCCTAGGCATGCTTCTGATCAGGTGGTCAATGTCCTCCTGTGGTATCTCATTCCAGGCAACCACCAACTCCTCTCGAAGTGCTTCTAGAGTCTGAGGAGGACGTTGCAAATTGAGCAATCTAATACCCATCATATCCCACACGTGCTCAATTGGGGATAAGTCGGGAGATCTTGGTGGCCATGGTAACAATGTGACATCATTATGTTGAAAGAATTCTATTGTGACTCTTGCAACATGTGGTCGGGCATTATCTTGTTGGAAAGTTGGATCTGCCAGGGTGTCAAGATAGGGTAAAAGATGGGGTTCTAGAACTTCGTGGATATAACGCTGCGCGTTCATGTTACCTCTGATGAAGATTAAAGGTGACCTGAAACCATAAGCTATAGCACCCCAAACCATAACTCCAACAGTGTGATGAACATGTCTTTCAACAAAAAACTGTGGATTCCTCCTTTCACCACGTCGCCTTCTAACCCTGGCACGACCATCGTGCATGCCTAAACAAAATCGAGACTCGTCACTAAAGACAATACTGTTCCATTCCTGATCCCAGAGTGACCGTTGTCTGCACCACTCAAGGCGATTACGTCGGTGTTCTCGAGTTAAAGGGAGGACCCAGTGTGGCCGGTATGAAAACAAGCCAAAACTTCTCATTTGTCGGTAAACACTTCGCATGCCAATAGGTCTTCCGTGTTCTGCAAACCATTCATTTGCAATGGACCTGGTAGTGGAGAAACGGTCCCTTAAGGCCAATAATCTTAGGCGGCGATCTTCACGGTCTGTTGTTCTACGGCGGCGTCCAGTGCCTCTTGCTCTTTGCGTACGGCTTTCTCGAAGCCATGCCTGACAACACCTAACCAGAGTGTCCACACTTCTTTGCACTCTAACTGCAATTGCCCGAAAAGAAAGACCAGCTTCCCGAAGTCCCACTATACGGCCCCTATCAAACTCACTAAGTTGATGAAATCGTACAGGTCTCCGTACTCTAGGCATCGTAACCGATCGTAAAGGATGTCAAGTACCAAAATCCGCCAACGTTGATTCTTTACTGCGGCTGAAATATTCATTTTTAGAGCGTTAGTGAATTAAAAAACAGCAGTATAAAAACCGGAATGTCCAACTGATAAGGCTGAAAATTTTTTCACTTGTTATTTACAGTATGATAAATACATTCACCAACTTTTATTAAAATAAAACCATTTAAACTGGGTGTTCGGATTTATATGTCACTTAGTATATTATAGAGATGCTTTCGTAGCTGACACAATGCTCTACCGACTAGACGTGACGTTCCACATGTTATTGAACATTTTTTGTGTGTGCTATTTTAACAGTTGTGTTGGTAGGATACTCAGGGGCTCTGGATTCGAAATTATAGTTTCAGCATTTTTTGCTACGACGGTCAGCTGTGACATTAGCCATTGCTTATGATTGGCCGTTTATTGTTCAGACTTACCTGTGATACCAATTCATGACGCTGACTCCGTCAGCTTCTCGTTCAGACAAATAATTTGGTAGATCGTTCCTGATTCTGGTCCACAATAGCGGTGGAATACGTCGTACTGGTGGTAAATGGTACTGATAGACATCGTCCAGTACTTTGTCATCTAGCGAAATCAGATCTTCTAATTCTGATTCTGATAAACCGCTTTTGGCTGCGGTGATGTAAGCTAGAGCGTGGAATACTAGGATTCTACCGTGCTAAAAAATAAAAAAATGGATACTAATAATAGTGAGAAAGTTCATTTTTTGATTTAATGAAAAGAAAATGTGATAGTGGGCGCCGCGTTTACTATACGAAGTCAATTCCTGCTCAATGAAAGCAGATGTGTTGCCGTTTCCAGTCCCAAGATAAATTCTTTCCTATGCCTGCATTCAGACACAAAGTTTCATGATTGTTTGTGCTGTTCTCTTGTCACTTGTTTGACTTGGTTAGCTAAAGTATGGGGTTGTCCAAAACGGACGCAGGAAAGTAAACGCATATTAAAACAAGAAAGAGTGATATTCAAATCAAGTTGGGTACTTTATTTTGAAGGTTCATTTATACCATTTATGTATGAAAAATAATATCGCTCAAATGTTCACCACGACTGGATTTACAGACGTCCACGCGATGGTCGAAATTTTCAATGACATTTTGCAACATGGTCGGTTCTATGGCATTTATCTCGGCAATGATGTTGTTTTTGAGTTCTTGGAGGGTGGCTGGTTTGTTGACGTAGACTTTGCTTTTCAAATATCCCCATAAAAAGAAGTCCAAGGGAGTCAAATCGCACGATCTTGGTGGCCATGGCACATTTCCTCTGCGCGAAATCACGCGATCACCGAAGAAGGACTGCAATCGATGGATATTGACGTTGGTTGTGTGGCATGTTGCACCGTCTTGTTGGAAATAAACATCGTCCATATCCATTCCTTCAGGTTGCGGCAAAAAATAGTCCTCTATCATCACGTGATATCGCTCAGAATTGACGGTAACGGCGTCCCCGGCCGCATTTTCGAAAAAGTATGGTCCGATGATGCCTTTTGACCACAATGCACACCACACAGTCACTTTTTGAGGATGCATCGGCTGCTCTTGATACTCACCGGGATTTTCGTTCGCCCAGATGCGGCAGTTTTGCTTGTTTACCGTCCCATTCAAAGTGAAATGCGCTTCGTCGCTGAACATGATTTTTGATGAAAAATTGGCATCAATTTGGCGGTGTTCAAGGAGCCAATCTGAGAACGTTCGGCGCGAAAATGGTCGGCCCGACGCAGCTCTTGCGTCAATTGGATCTTGTAGGCGTGTACATTCAAATCCTTGTGGAGAATGCGGAGCAAACTGGTTCTCGAAATGCCCAATTCTTGGGATCGACGCGTTGTTGATTGTTTCGGATCGTCTCTCACACTCTCCTTCACAACAGCAATATTTTCCGGTGTGCGAACGCTCCTTGGCCGGCCAGAGCCTGGCAGATTTGCCACAGAACCTGTTGCCTCGAATTTACGCACCAGACGACCGATGGTTGTTTCGTTTGGGCGATTGTTGCGACCGAAATGTTCACGAAGCGCGCGAAACGAGTTTTTTATTTTTGCACCATTTTTGTAGTGCTCTTGAATAACTTTAATGCGGTCTTCAATCGAATACGACTCCATAGCGATCAATGGTAAACATTCAACTAACAAAATGACATGTCGGTGACAGAAAACAAAGATGGCGTCTATGTCAAATTGACGTTTACTTTCCTGCGTCCCTATTGGACAACCCTATACTTTTTGGCACCCCCGAGGTTTTAGACATAGATATTTCGTACTTGCAAACTCATCTGCCCTCGTTATTAGTACCTACTCACCTGCTTTTCTATTCTTTCGAACAACATCATGATAGAATCCATGACTGTGGAAGCCAAATGTGTATCGTGTGATTTAGTATAACTTCTCCATCTGCATATCTCAGCAAATACCAGTTTCACAAAAATTGGTAGGCTGCATTTATCTATTGCATTAGAGACTAGCCTCCACTGGTAGTTTGTCAAATCTCGGTGGGCTGTCTGCATCCACATTCTGGAAAAAAGATACTATACTAATGCTAATTTTTTTGGTGTTGCTCGCATTTATATTCTAGCTTAATTTTGATGTCCTATAGCAAAAATACTATTTGGATGTTACATGACATGTACATTGTGAAAAGTTGTGTCACCCATAATTATTGGCACCCCTATAACTCGGAAAATGCTGTTCGTATGAAAATCGGTCAAGTTGAGGGAAGTTTATACAGGGTGTAAACGTTCTGGTAGTCATTATTTAAATGAGTAATAGGGGGGAGTCAAAACAAGTCAAAAAGTTCATATGACCCATGGTCCAAAAGTCAATAGATTTTTGTCTAAATTGTTTTATAGTTTACAACTTTAAGTGCTTTATATCGACCACAGTTACCACAATCTTACTAATTTTTATAATCTAATCTAAAACGTTTTTAAATTGGGTAATTAACAAATAAATGGCATTAAGTTTTTCTAAGTTAAGCCAAAATTTGTAGTCAGTAAGTAAGTTTCATTAAATTAAATATTTAAAACACACATGACAACAGCGCGTCGGCCTTTCATCACTCTTATCTAACCGGAAATCGATCGTAAACGGTAACGGTGGTTAGTTATGGGGCATCGGGCCTGTTGTTTTGTTTTTGTTCACGTACGTCGTCGTCTTTATTTACAATATTCTCGAATCAAGAGTTCGCCGACATGTTGTTAGTTTACGCTGAAGCTCGTCAGAATTCAAATCTTGCAGCTCAAATTTATGGCGACAGATTTCGCCAACGGGCACACCCAGACAGAAGGACATTTGTGAAAGTGTACCAAAGACTTCGAGATACAGGAAGTGTTCAGCCCACTAATATTCGCACTCGTGAAAGTCAGGTTACTGTAGAGCAGGAGGAACAAATTTTAAATATCGTGGAAATCAATGCAGATGTTAGCACTCGGGAATTAGGCCGCCGCGTAGGACTATCGCATACCATAGTCCGTAGAATCCTACGGGAAAATTTGCTTTATCCCTACCATGTACAACGAGTGCAGGCCTTGTTACTAGAAGACTATCCTCGCAGACTAACATTCTGTCAGTGGTTTTTGCACAAAAACATTGAAAATCCGGATTTTTTTAAAAACATTCTAGCGACGGACGAATGGTCATTTCCAACAACGTTTTAAAATAAATATTTGGGGGGGTATTCTCGACGATCAGGTAATTGGCCCTTTCGAGTTACCCCCAAAGTTGTCAGGAGAAGGATACCTTAGCTTTCTAGCTAATAACCTACCAGAACTTTTGGAACAGACCTTAGACAACATGCCATTACAACGGAGACAGAATTTGTGGTTTCTTCATGACGGGGCACCACCACACATTTTTAGACGCGTCATTCAGTATTTGAATGAACATTATCCAAATCGCTGGATGGGTCGAAATGCTTCTGATCCTCGAAAATGGCGAGCAAGATCTCCTGACGTCAATCCAGTGGATTTCTGGTACTGGGGAGAACTTAAAGGGATGGTTTATGGGGCTGGTCCAATAACAACTGAAGCACAACTTTGCGCGAAAAAAAATTTTTGCGGCTGAAATAATAAATGGACAACATCGAGGACCCAGAGTAAGAAGAAACTGGATTCGTCGCAACGAAGCTTGTGCAGAAAGTGGAGGACGACATTTTGAACACCTTCTTTAAATACAAAACTCTATCACCCTTTTAAATAATGACTATGATAACGTTTACACCCTGTATAGTGCGGTGGCTAAGAGGTCCAATCTTAATACCTAAATCCTTGGCCCATTGAACGAAATTTTTATGCAAGGTTACTACTGTGCCAAGAACGAAAAAGCGTTGTAGTTTTTGAATGTCGATCCAGTGGGGGCGGAGGAAAACAATAAAAATCGTTCAAACTCCGTCTTTTGATGTTTTTAGGAGTTGGGGGAGGGTATATCTCGATATCTTATGTTTTTATACGTCTCCAGCCCCAGAAATTCTACGCATCTACCAGTATGTCTATGGATTAATTGTATGGGTCTGTTTGACTGACTTGATCGTGTTTACACTTCTACTGTACGTGTTAGAAACTAATTTTTTCTAATAGGATTTAATTTGTGCTCAAGTCAACTGACTTGGCGCTATTTTTTTTTACCGGAATGAGGTTTGGTATGGAGTGGACACTCATCAATAAATACATTTCAATTAAAAAGTGGTGCCCAAATAAAAGCCAAATTGTGACGGAAAAACTGCTAGAAGCGACGCAATACAAAATATAGAGATCACGAATTTGCGCTTTTGGGATACACCACCATGTTTGTCGGTCCTACTTTCAGTGTCGTTTGAGCACCACTTGAATGAAGGTAAGGGTTTGTGTCTCATTCCGGTAAAAAAAATTCAGTATTCGATTTCTTTTCGGGTCTCAACCATTGCACTAACAAGGGAAAAGAACCCTGTTTCAAAGCGTTCACAAAATTTATTTTTTGCTGTTTTTCGAGTCTCTGATAATTTTTAGGCGTAGATAAAAGACTGGGTGGAACATTTTTTTTCAAAATTTCAAGCTTCTTCAATAAATTTTTCAATATTGAATAAGTTTTTGTTTCAAAGTTGACCATCTTCTTACTTGATCACTTTCATAGCCAGTTCTTCTCCTAAAGCTTTCACTTCGATGAAGTTTTCATCTACGTCAATCATTTTTCTGAGGATGTGATATTCCTTGGATACTTCGGGGTTATTTTCTTCATTTGCACAAGACACTATAATCTGAAAATACGAAAGTATCGCAGTTTATGGAAGGTGCCAAATCTAGAAAGACTTTTTAAATAACTAATTTTTCCGTCTTCAAAAATCCACAAATCCTAGATTTCATGACTATATTAGAAAACAGCTTGTGAGCTATACAGGGTGTCCCAATATTCCGTCATTTTAGAGGCACCACGTCTGTTTAGCCTCAGAATAAGCTGATTGGACATGATTTACTTTTATGCAGAAGTGCTTCGTTTGTCATATTTTTGTTTTTTAAACACATTTTTTCATAAGTTTTTGGAACCGATAGTCCGATTTGATTCCTAATATTTTTTTCTTTTACAAACAACTCGAAAGGGTTCGAGAATGGTGAAAACTACCCCCACTCCTACATAAATTATAGAATTTTTTTTCGTGACTCTCCCAACGACTCTAATTTTTTTTTATTTAAAAGATCTTATTTACTTCATTTTTTGTCTCTTATAAAAACAAGTGTTAAAATCTAGTAGGCATCTAGTTGGCGCAAATGTGGGATGTTATGTCAGTGTCGGATTATTTTTAACAACAAGCTTTGTAAAGTTTAGTGTAGAAAAATTACGAACTCGAGGATTAAACTTTAACGCCTTGTGTATTATCAACTAGCGATATTTTATTAAAACGAATTTATCTCAATATTATTATTTTTATGAGTACGATTGTGTATAAAAATATTCTTTTAGTTATTTTTATTCATATAAATTTCTTGTAATTAATTGGATTTGGGGTATAAAGACACACAGTTTCCTATTACAAAATTGCAAATGTTTTGGAAAAATTTCTTTCTTTCTTCAGGGCTCTACAAAAAAACTGTAACACTAACTTTACATATACATTAATATATAATAATAATAAAATCGATGTAAAAATTATTTAGTTAACACGTTTTATGAAATAAACTATTTAATTTCATTAACTAAAGAGCTATACGTAACAGAAAACATATGAACCGAAGTTCGAATATTATCGCGAGTTTAATAGTTCCTTCGTTTAGGTAATCGTAGATTTTGAAAATTGATTCAGAGCCGGCACAAATTGCTGGAATCTAGTAGTACAACTTTACAGAGATTCCTGTTCCTTTTCGGACATTGTTTGGAGGGGATGAAAATTGTAGGCTGGAAACTGTATGCTGTAACTATTGAAAAGTATTATAAATTGTTGCATATTTGGTGTCAGTGACAGACCTTCTATTATTGAGAATCTGCTGATCTCAGTGTTACTATGCACATGTTAGGTAAAATAAGTCACACATATTTTCCCTACATCTGCCATGGAAACATAAATATGATAGATTTGCTTTATATAGTTTGATATGCAGAGGTCGAATATTCATCGTACCTAAGTGAACATACCTAATCACCATTAGATTTCACCTTTTGAAAAGATTTAACACATGATTTTTCTTTAAAACCTCCAACGAAGGCGTAGGAAGTATAGAATCAATCTAGTTGACGCCATTTTTTTCTGATAAAGAAACACGGAAAAATCTTTTCATTCATTTTGAATATCTAGCTAAATTACGAATCCTTTTTTGTCTTATTTTTTTATGTATGAATATGTTGGGAACTGCTACGTTAATGAAATTACGGTGTGAATAGTTCATTTTATATGATGCCTTAACTAAAATACGAGGGATGTCTTTTAAGTTTTGCATATAGAAACATAGTAGGCCGCGCGGATCGAACGTCAGTGCTGAATCTTAACCTCACTCTTTAGTAAACTTAAATTCAAAGTTTCACAACAATACGTGTAGTGTTCTCACTACAGTGAATTTTTAAGTGTCACCAAGTCATTAGAAAAATGGAACTCAACCGAGAAGATTTTCGCGCCATAATTTATTACAACTTTCAGAGACAATTATTGCAACAAGAATGCCTTGCTGAGTTACTGTCTATTTTCCGCAACGAAGCGCCACATCAGTCGACAATTTCCCGTTGGTATGGAGAATTCAAACGTGAACGGGTGAGTCTTAGCTACGATCCCAGGGTGGGTGCACCAAAAACGGCAGTCACCCAGGAAAACGTCGATGCTGTGCGCAAACTCATCATTGAAGATAGACATGTGACATATCGCGAGATTGAGACGTCGTTGGAGATCTCAAAGACCTCAATTCAAAAAAAATTACATGAAGAATTAGTTTCTCGTTGGATACCCCACCTGTTGACTGAAGAGCAGAAAGCAGCCAGGGTTAATTGGTGTCAAAAAACGCTTGACCGTTTCCATTCCGGAAACTCAAAAAATGTGTACAGCATTTTTTGTGGTGATGAATCGTGGATTTACTGTTATGAACCAGAAAATAAACGACAGTCGACTGTTTGGGTGTTCCAAGGTGAAGAAAAGCCAACAAAAGTCATCCGTTCTCGAAATGTTTCGATAAAGATGGTCGCGACATTTGTGTCAAAAGCGGGTCATATTGCAACAATTCCTGTTAATGAGCAAAGAACTGTTACTGCGGATTGGTATACCACCATTTGTTTGCCAAAAGTCATCACCGAGCTTCGAAAAATCAACCCCGAAAGAAGAATTATCCTCCACCAACACAATGCAAGCTCGCACACAGCCCAAAAAACAAGGCAGTATTTAACGGAAGAAAACGTGGAATTATTGGACCATCCTCCATATAGTCCCGATCTAAGTCCTAACGATTTCTTTACTTTCCCGAAAATTAAAAACAGACTCCGTGGTCAAAGGTTCCAGTCACCAGAAGAAGCAGTTGACGCATTCAAAAATGCCGTTTTGGATCTGCCAGCAAACGAGTGGAATAAGTGCTTCAAAAATTGGTTCGAACGCATGCAGATGTGTATTAATCTTCGTGGAGAATACTTCGAAAAACAATAAAGTCATTTAATACTACCTACCGTGTTATTATATTTCCATATGCAAAACTTAAAGACATCCCTCGTAAGTATCTTTTACATCGATTTTACTACATATTTATATTGTTAATTAATGTACATAGGTATATGTAAAGTTTTTGTAGAACACTGAAGAATAAATTTTTCCGAAGCGTCAGCAACTTTGTAATAGGAAACTATGTTACTTTAGATCCCAAATCCAATTATTCCCCACTTTTCCCCTGTATCCCCCTATAGTCCCACGATACCCCATGGGTGTTTAGGCCATAGGCCTTCGTGGTAGCGGGAGTATAAAAAAATCCAATTAATCACAACCTACCCTGTATATTCATTTACCTTGCAATATGGTGGAAGTCGAGTAGGTAACCAAGACACCTTATTAGCATCCTGAGTACCCGTAAGTTGATCTACGGAATCCAGAAATAGTACCAAAGGTTGTTCTTTGGTAGCCAGCGTAAGAAGTTGCTTGAAGTGAGCTGTCAACGGTACCAGATCGTCTGGGATGCTTTCAAACGGCAACATAAAGTTGTAAGAGATTTGCTGACAGATTGAAATCAGCGTGGGTGTTAGTGCTGATGAGTCAGGAGTGGTACCAAGGAATCTGATAATGCTTATGGGTTTAGCACCTGGGAACCATCCGTTTCCTGAAAATAGATAACTATAAATGTTTTGTTGTTAAGCCTGGTGGCTGGTCAGACATCAGGTTGATCAGCGGCTTTGTCAGACTTCAAAATATTTTAGTGTCGAAATGTAGATCTCTAGGTATGTTTCTGTTGATGTGTTGTCTTATGTTTTCTTTAAAACAAAGATAAAAAAGTGTTTATAACTCTGACTTTCCGGGTTCAGATTGCACTATAATAAGAATAAAAATTAACGTCTTTTATTTGTAATATTCTTACAGGAGGCGAGATTTAGATAATATATCTATTCTACCATCTAACCCCCTTAACAATACGAGTTGTAAAAAAAAAACAGAATTTGTTGAAAATTAATACCTGTATCCAACAACGACAGACTAAAGTATAATCTATGTAAAGGCATAAGGAAAATATAGTTTGTTCTTGAATTTGGGTAATGGATTGGTTTCTTTTCAACTGCGGTCTAAAGAAGTATATGATTTGATCGCATTGTAACTATATGTATTATGAAATAGAAATGTGCTGTGGCGGGGAATTGATAAAGTCTCTCTATATCTAATATTAATGCCATGCATATTCCCTCTACGTATGAATTTGTTTACTAAATATAGGTATGACGGTGTTTTTGAATAAAGAACCTTATGAGTCAGATTTAGGAGCTGGTACTTATACATTTTATCAATTTTCATCCATTTGAGTTCATTAATAGAATTCGATATATGATCATACTTTATGAGACCATTTACAAGTCTGCGACATGTACTCATAATACTTTGAATACGATTTCTTGTAATATCTAAATAGGAATAGTAAACCACTAAGCAATACGATATCTTTGAAAACAAAGATTCACACAATTGCTTTCTCGCAGATTTATGTAATATAGCCTTATTTGCAAATGAAACTCTGAGAATAGCGTAGCACTGAGAAATTGGATAGTTTACGTGCATAACAAATTTTAAGTCATCATCCATTATAATACCTAGGTTCTTTGAATGATCCACAGGAACTAATTTATTACCTTTTATATGTATGTCTATGTCCTTTTTTAAAGTATTCATTTTTATTCTATTTGCGTATACCAACATACGAGTATTTGTCTTCAAAGGGTTGAAACGAAGATTATGACTACTATTGAACTTTTCAATTTGGGCAAGATCTTGATTAATTTTATTATTTGCTGTTTCCAAGTCATTACTCCTAAATGAATAGAAAATTTGAGTATCGTCTACAAAAAAATGTATGCTGCATGATTTTACCTCTGTTTCTAAATATGAGATATATAATGAAAATAATAGGGGTCCTAAGACTGATCCCTGTGGTACATCAGAACAAATTTTTTGTTCGGTAGAGTACTGATGATTTATACGAACTTTTTGATACCGATTTTCAAGATAGGTTTGATTAAACGAAAGAGGTTTTTCAGAAAATCCCAAATTACTGCATTTAGATACAAGAAGTGAGTGATTAAATGCTTTAGTAAAGTCAAGAAGTATGAGAGCTACTGTTTTTTGGTTATCAAGTGCCATTGTTATATTGTCTGTTAAATCACAGAGTGCCATCATTACAATGGGTGTTTGAGGTAGTAGCTCCTATTTTTTCAACTCTTTCATTTATTTTCCTCAAAGAAGTGATTATGGTTTCTTTATCCACTTTACTGCTAATAATCAATTCATAATGCTCCTGTAAACGTCTGTTCTCATTAACTAATTGATTGATATACCTCTCTTTATCTAAAATTATTTAATTCTTTGTTTCTAATAGCTTATTCAGGCTCTATAGTAATATTTGCATTATTCTTGAATAAATAACTTTCATCTTTTCGTCTAGTCATATCGGACAAACACCCTATGTATAGGCCAGGTTGAAAGTTGATATATCTTGTCAAAAATGTGACTTTTGTGAAACAATTCCGGGAGAGGTTAAAGAAATATGACCGAAAATGCTTGGTTCGTCCTCTGAAGAGCAGCTAAGGTTTCGGTAAGTACTTACTGGTGTTATCTCTTGTATGGTTACTTCTCCAGAAGATTGGATACGATGTTTCTCACACTTAGCGTATATACTAGGAACAGGTATTGTTTTGATAGATAAGTTAGTTAGTTAGCAATATATATATATATGACTTGAGATATATATATATATATATATATATATATAGATATATAACAAAAATAGGAAAATAATGGGCAAAATCCGCAAAAAGTGGATTTGAGCAGAATAGGATAGGTAACCCGAGCGATACGTATTTCTGCTGGTTGGCTTCATCAGGCCCGAAATGAATGCACATATGCAACTACAAAAGTAGAGACACAGGATACGGGTGTAATCTGAGGAAACAAAGATGGAGAGGAAAAAAAAAGACACACATCTTTGTTTCCTCAGGTTACACCCGTATCCGGATGTATGGGCATGTGTCTTTACTTTTGTAGTTGCATATGTGCATTCATTTCGGGCCTGATGAAGCCAACCAGCAGAAATACGTATCGCTCGGGTTACCTATCCTATTCTGCTCAAATCCACTTTTTGCGGATTTTGCCCATTATTTTCCTATTTTTGTTATATACCTTTCTCCGCATGATATATATATATATATATATATATATATATAGGGATGGTGATTTATACACCCTTTGATACTCGTAGGGTCAAGAGTCACATATTGTATATTGTCACGTCCTCTTATAACTGGAACTCCGGGTACTCTATAAATACAGGTAACATGAAATGAGTAAACACAGTAGAACCGCGATTATCCGAATCGCGATTTAATAATTTCTCCAATTTTAACCGAAGTAGTTCGGGAAATCGGTGCATGATCCGAAATAGGCGCCGGTAGTTCCCCTTTCGACGTTTGCGTCATTAGATTCGCTGCCGGTGATACCCGAAGCGCATTTGCGGAATTCACTGGTATGTGTGCGTGTATGTTTGTTTCAGTCAGGTTCATAATCGCTAAGATGGAGCAGCATAGAAATAAACGTAAACGCGTTGTTATTACCATAAAACAAACTTGAGTCAATCAGACGTTTAGATAGAGGTGATTTGCTTAAAAACGTGGCAATTGATTTGGGCGTGGGCGTGAGTACCAAAACTATGAAAAAGGGGGAATATCCAAAAGTGGATGATGCTTTATATCTGTGGTCTACACAGAATCGAGTGATTTCCCGTAATTGTCTTGAAAGTTTTTGAAAACACAAAAAACGTACAAAATCGTAATTTATAACTTTGAACCTAACCTGTCTTCAGAAAGGACAACATATAAATAAGACGTCGGGCACAGCTAATAGATATACTTTGTTGGCAGAATATTCAGTAATTATTTTCTCACACAGCAAATATCACTGATTTTATACACATGCAGTCCAATCAATACACATAATCATTCAGATGTGATCTTGCTAATCAACCAACTTTCTTCTCAGAGATGAAAACTACAGACTACTCGGCTTCACTAAACATATGCAACCAACAATGCGTGTAGTTGAGCTATTCGTTCATAGATGGACGCTCTCGTGGAATGACTGCTTGTACCCTAAAAACTATCTAGTCTGCAAGATGACATTTTATAGATATTTTTGACGTTTTATAGGTTTTTTACATAATACCCGTGCGTCACGCGTTTGTGGTGTCCATCTCCAGTATTATCAAGGATGTATCTCTTTCTTATAAACGTTTGCCACCTAACGATATCAATTAAAATTATCTAGTTTTTACAAACGTCTCGTGATAGATGTGAGTTCTTTAACTAGCATCTAAGTGTGGTTGGTAATGAATTAGTGTAAAAGTAATAAATTAGAATTTAAACAATAAACAAGGTGTTTTCGTTACAGTATGTAGATGATCTACCTGTAGACATGCTAGCTGCTTTAGCTAACAGTGATGTTTTTCCACAGCCTCCTTCGCCGTAAAGAATCAAACATTTGTCAGAATCGTCGGTCATGTAATTCTCAATATGCGCCAGTGAATCTTCTCTTCCGTAGAATACCTAGAAAACTTACGTTAGTTTTAATTTATTTTTAAAATGATTTACGTCTACAATTAAATAACTACGTTCATCCAATCAAATTTTACGTTTTTTATTTTCCAAGTGATTACAAGTCTATCTTTTCTGCTTATGAAATGACATTACCTTCACAGAATTATTACATGCATGAAGATGTTGAAGGATTTCCGTGACTATTTGTCCTTGAGCGCTAGAATCTTCTTTTCTCATAGCTCTGTCCACTAATTTTATTATATTTTTGTAAAAATGTATAATGAAATGCTTCAAATATTCATCATGAGTCTCTGGGTCCAAACCTTCTCTTCCAATCCATTCTATGTTGTATCTAGAACGCAAAATTCAGGGACATTTTATATTATGTTAGAAATTCCTCAAGAACTCCCCAGACAATCTACTTGATATCATATTTTCCACGCTCACATAAGTTATGTAAGATATTACTTTTTACATGACGTGTACATCACTAAAAATCATGTCATTAATTTCTGTCGGCCTGTTTGTTGTCTTGACTTGACGCAGTGTTGAACGAGGATAAACCAAAAAACTAAAAACCTCTGAACGACTCAAATTTTTTGTTGAATTTGGGGTGCAGTCAAAAACATTTGTAGGGGTCAATATTTTAAAAATAATCAGTAACTTTGTTTCAATTTAAAAAAGTAACGAGTCCAAAAAATTTGATATTGGACATTTCTCATATTTCACTGGTGACGCGTAGAATTTTTGCGACCCTTATTTTCTAAATAGATTCATTTGGATGCCTGGGAAGTACCAAGAAAATCGATTTTACTCACTTTTGTAGATTGCTGGATTCGATCTTTGCAGGTAATCTTTCATCTCTTAGATTACCTAATAGTTTTGCCGATTCCGTATCTAAGCTTCTGTTGATGATATCAACAAATAGAGAAGCCTTTTTCAAATTCTGAAGATTAATGTTGTTGATATATCTAATGTAAGCCAAACAATGGTTCTTCGTATTCTTCACGTTTAATACGCCGTTTATAACTTCCCTTTCAGTTACTAAAATAAATACTAATGTATTTTTCATAGTACTAATATTTTAAACAATATTTTCTGCAATGGATGAAGCTAGGCGAAAACTCGGTATAGTCAAAGTGTATAAACAAAAATTAGCAGTCAATGTTTGAGGATGGTGAGTGTTAGCACTAAATGGCCGAAAAGGCGGCCATCCTGAACCAACGGTTGATCAACATTAAGGGTGACGAGCAGCAACCAATAGAATACAAAACTAAATGAATTTGCTGCCGAACATGTATAAAATCGGTGACTTCCGGCACGGGTATTACGTATCTGAAAAGTGACTTTATGTCGATTTTTTGCAATTATATTATTTTTTTATGACATTATGTAGGTTTTTCTACAAGATGTTAACTCAGCACTAGCTGATAGTCACTTGTTGTGAACTCGTTTTGTAGTTGTACGGTTTGCCTAAACGTCAATGTTTGGCTCTGATGTGATGTAAAATCTGCTTCAGAGTGCATAGGTGCATGGTGAAGATTTGTGTGCTAATAGTACGTGTTGATGATAATTCCATTGGTTTCTTGTCTCAAATACACTTACTTGAGATTCAAAGCTAGAAATTAGTTGTTCAGTTACTTTTTCTTATTCGTTCTGGAAATTACATATGCAAATTTGCTGAATTTCAAAAATGAGAGATAAGAAAAGAAAATCCCTGGTTGGTGAAGGAACAGGTGAGAAAATATGCTACAGACAGGAATGTTTATGGAAGTGAAAAGGTTATTATATTATAGAATATAAAGTCAATACCTCTACCTACTACAAAATGGTGGTCCATTTAATAATTATTTGAACACAGACCCACTAACATGCATATCTCTACAAATAATTGTAATTCCCTGCCGTATCCACACCAACAGCGATAAAAACTTGTTTTGTTATTTTTTGTTGACAGTGACAAGAATATCAGTACGAAAACAAACATCATTGTACAGTTAAAATATTCTCATTTAGTTTTCGGTTTTAGTGCTAGATACTGTTTCAACTATTTTTAAAATGGTCAGTTCTCGTCCATTGGAAGAAAAAATCGAAGCGTATTTTATTTATGGTGCGACGCGTAACTTTCACGAGCCCGAAAGGATTTTTAATGATCGTTTCCCGAATCGTCCTATCTGTAGTAAATATTTAAGGGAACTTGTATCTAAATTTACAGCTACTGGTAGTGTAAACAACAAAAAGCCCCCAGGTCATCCGAGCATCCCTGAAGAAAAGCAAGTTCAAATAATTGGTGAGATCATAGTAAATCCCCAACAGTCTAATTCCTCGCGAATGTATATGAGGTTTGTCCTGCTACTGCATGGAGACTTTTGAAAAAGAATAAGTATCACCCATTCAAAATTCAAGTGGTACATCAGCTAACTGAAGTTGACCCTGATCGAAGAACAGAATTCTGCGAGACTATGACGGAAACCATTGCACGGCATCCTATCTACATCCAAAATATTTGGTTTATTTATTTATATTTCATATTTCCTACAAGTAAAACCCAATTTCAGGAAAAGCTCAAATACATTAACAAAAAGAAAATAAAGAGACACATTGAAAAATTAAACTTAGCATCAATTGGCCCGAGTAAGCTCGGAGAACAATCGATGACTTATAGCAATTTATGATGGATTTACAGCTGTCATTCATCAGACTGCACATTACAGAAATTGGAGATTTCAACATTATGTTCGTCCGGCCTGCTTGACAATAAAAGGCTGATTGTTGACGACTTTCAAGCCTTGGAATGCGGAAATATATTTTTTCAAGTAAATCCGGACAGTCAATTTGATTGTGCATAAGGCCACATAAAAACGATAAGGCAAACATATTACGTCTAATTGATAGTGAATCTAAATCGAAAAATTCAATAGGGAATGATGACAAAAACCTTTTTCTGGATAAGAACCAGTACATTTAAGGTAAAAATACTTAATAGCCTTCAATCATTGAAACTGAATTTAGGTATATTGGAGACCAGATCAGGGTTGCAAATTCCAACTTGCTTCTGACAAAAGTAACGAACAAAGTCATTAAAGTACTGACATAGGAGAACCCCTTCCAGTTTCTGATACAGAAGCCAAGAAGTCAGGTGGCAGCCGATGAAACATTAAGTATATGCTCGCTAAACATTAGCCTGCTATCAAAGGTTACTCCAAGGTCCTTAAAAGAGTAGCATCTGTCTAGAATCTGACCGTTGACGTTATAATCATCATATATTAAATAATTAGTCTTTCTTGTATAAGACACAACTTTACATTTAGAAACATTTAAACTAAGACAGTTGCTCGCCCATGAAGGAATTAAGTCTAAATTATCCTGCAGCAGGAGACAGTCATCAATTGACTCGACCGAAATCTTAACGTCGTCAGCAAAAAACAGATACAAACACTTGAGATCAAGAGACATATCGTTAATAAAGATCAGGAACAATAATGGGCCTACATTCGATCCCTGAGGCACCCCAGATGTGGCCTGATGATAACTCGATCTATAACCGTTTTAGTGATGAATGTACATTTTTGCTATCACTACGTAGGATGCCACTGTTCGTCACTCCCTCTAAGAAAAAATTGAAATTTGTAGTAATGTAGACTTTTCCAATCTGTTTTAAAGCATATAATTTGAAAAGTACACTTCTTGATATTTTTCTGATAACCATTATATCTTGGTCTGTCCCCGGTTTCCAGCTTGACGTCGACTTCTAGTACATCCTATAAAAATAAATCTTTTACCAGACATGAAGTAGTTGTGCATAGCGTCATGATCCATCTTTCCTTGTTCATTCAAAGAAGCTGCTGCCTTCCTGAATAATTTTTGAAACTTTCCCAAAGTGTCCCACCATTTTGCTTGATCTTCAGCTTGCAGTTTCGGTATTCTCTATCGAAACATAATAACTGTCTTGTGAGTAATGTTTTATAATTGTCATCATTTCAATCTTGGCGGTATAGTAGAATTTTGAAAAATTATTAATAGCCTCTGACTTGTTCATTTCAGAAATCTTTCATTATTCATATTTTATAAGTCTTCATATTCGAACATATCGTTTTTGCGGAAATTAAAAATTCGTCATTTGTTAGCCCACCAGGCAGACTTAAAAATTGCCTTAAAATAAATTAAGCCCAAAATACCAATGAGGTCTTGTAGGTGAAGGTTTGATCTTAAATCTGGACACTTGCAACCTCAAAAATAATAATTTTTAACTGAGTTTATATTAATTTTAGGCTTTTTCAGACATTACGACTCTTATAACTTAAAACAATTAACTTCAGAGAAACGTTACTAAGGACTTTTTTGTTTAAAATGACCAGAGGATATAAACAAACTCTTTTCGGAGCGAAATGATGATTATGAATACTCAGTTAAAAATTAGCCTTCCGATGTTGCCAAATGTCTAAATTAATGTTCACACCTTCACACTACAAGACGATCAGTGTATTTTGAAGCAATTTTTAACTTTGATGGTGGGCAAAGAAATGGTGGACTTTTGATTTTCGCAGACATACATTTGATTTTTTTTTACGCGCAAAGTTGATTCTTTACCGAGCGCGGAAAAAAATTGTCAGCATTGTCGCTCTATAGTAACAAACCGCCAAACCGCTTAGTAAAAACTATATCGCGATTTTAAATCATCTTGAATTCATAATTAGAACCTACTTTGTTGTTGAAGTTGATCAAAATAGAAGAAATCGGTTGCAAAACGGAGATCGGTGGTACAGCATTGCTATCTTTTCTATACCAGATGTCTATCAAGGTAGGATCATGTCCAGTGTTAGCCAGTTCGTCTCTGATCAACTGTAGCTCTGATGATAGGATGTATGTGGGGATCGGTCTATAACCATACTTCTGTCCTAGAAACACCTAGAAAAATGTTAGCATTCATTTAAAGCATTCATCGTGTACTTTTATAGCTTGTTACCACAAAATTGGGACCCATGGATAATCTTTGACAGTTCTGGATTTCCTTCATGCAGAGTTCCGTTGTCATGTGATCATCTGTGGCTTCATCTCTTACCCCCCATCTCATGTCCACTACCTATAATCAAAAAAATGTATCTGACAACCATTATCATTTTTTAAAGATTGATAATGGATTAATTAAAATAACAGTGAGATGCATTTCGGCAACCAAGTGGAGCCAGCACATAGGCCACATGCCGGGCCCTTTTGCACCTCTATTATCTCTACAGTATATTCAGATAAGAGATAGACCGGACATAAACAAGACCACGTGATCATCGAACGCTGTAACATTCGGCAGGGACGTATTAAGAGTCACGCAGTACATATTTTAGATAGTAGATGCTGCTTTACGTAACTTTGTAGTAAATTAGCACAATTCGATGTGTATACGATTGGTGATGGATATAGGATCATGTGGGGGTGGGGTAAGAAATATATAATGATGTAAATATACATAAGGGTTTCAAAATTTTCGCTTCGATTTCCAGCTTCGGATGCCGCCTGATGTTTGGTGAAATACAGTCGAATATAATCTCAAAATGGCGTTTAAATTAAAAATAATCGTATATCTCTTAAAATTGCTTTTAGAATATTGATTAGTATATTTTTTGATTTCTAGGTAAATATGTAACCAAATTAAAACGTTCAAAACGTAAAAAAATGTGCATGGTTGAACATTGTCAGAAAGTAGATTCTTGAATAGGTTTTGCCAAAATGGGTTCAAAAATTTCAATAATTAATTAAAAAATACAGTAGCTTTATAATTACTTATAACTTACCGAATTTGATTAACGACATCTTTTATTGGAAAGATGAGCTTGATGAGCTTTCATCATCGCTACTGCCTGAAGCACCAACGTCAATAATGAATGGCTCGACTTGTTCCTCTAAAATATTGTCCAGTTCCCACATTCTCTTTTCAACTTTGTCTTTCACGTGCTTAATACAGTTTTCCCATTTTTGCGCTGTTATTAATTCTAGTGCTTCTTTGAAAAGTCTTTTGAGGTCACAAAATTTAAAAGTTGTATTGTGCTTAGCTATATAATTTTTAACCTCTGCCCATATGAGCTCAATGGGATTGAGCTCGCAATGGTATGGAGGTAAACGGAGCACAGTTTTATTTTGACTTGCTGCCATTTCGTCAATGGCGTATTTTTGATATTCCGCCTTGTGATCCTTGACAATTCTTAATAATTGTACTTTCAGCATTGCTTCTTCAAAGTTGATATTTTTCGAGCGGAACCAATTTTGAACATCAACTTTCCTTGAAGCAGTTGTTGGGACCTTCTCCGTTCTTCGAGAATGATAAGGCGCATTATCCAACACAATTACTGCGTTTTCCTCTAAGTTCGGTAAAATTTTTGAAAACCACTGTTCAAACGATTCGCCATTCATTTCCTCGTGGTAATCTCCAGTTTTCTTAGACTCAAAGCACCACAGACCGTCAACAACAAATCCATCCTCACTGCCAATATGGCAGATAATGAGCCTTTTCCCTTTACCTGGAAATCGACGTACTAACTGGTGTAGATTTATTTCAATAAGCGAACCTTGTTCAAATGTTTTCATCACATTCAGCGAAAAAACATTGAGACATGAGTATCAGATTGCTATAATTGGGATTATTTAGTCATATTGAAAGAAAGAATATTGAACGTCGTATGATTACTCAGCGCTTCACAATTTAATTTAAAGTTATAAACCTTTAAAAAATGAATGATCAGGAACCTGAAATACGCGCAAATATTAATATTAACAAATTATAACTTTATAAAGCTTAAAGTATGAATTAAAATGATTAGAAATATTAGGAACGGTACACAATATAAAACTTAGTAACTTTTTTTAAGTTTATAATATTCGACATATTTTAAGATTATATTAAAAAATTATTGAAATATCGAAAACACATAAAAACATGGCTTAAAAAAGTTCTAACAAATGAAAATGACAATAAAACATCCACGCATTTTATCGAAAGTTATAAAAGTTTTGTTACTTGTAATATGTTTTATCTGCCCCCTGGAATTAATGTTTTGAACCTTGTTCCCAAGGTTTGAAAAACATCCGATTGTTGTCTATTACTCGTATTTACCTGCTGGATTTTTTAATCCGGTGGACAGTCCATCTAGAAAGGCCCTCCTGGATGAAGTTACAGAATCATCAACCCATACTTTACTTGTAGTGTGTCCTGCGTTTACCCACGTTTCATCAAGGTAATAAATCTTCCTGTTTTGATTTCTATATTTCCCAATTTTTGTTAAATAATCCCTCCTCCATAGCACAATTTCTTCTCTATCCAGTAGTAAACTATTACGACCCCGTTTTTTCCATTTGAAATTTGAATGCTTCAGTAACGCATGGAAAGTTGATCGTTTGAAATTTGGCAACGTTGTATCTCCATTTACCTCCTGCAGTACTTTATCTATAGTAGGTATTTCATTCCTAAAGAAGAATTCATGCACTTTCCTCCTAATCGCATGCTTATCAGCTTCATCCAATGATTTAACAATACTTTTGCGATGTTTACTGGTCATTGGCTCAGAAAAGGTGTGATTTTTTTTGTATTGTCTTAACACATTAAACACTGATGCGCGACACACCCCAACTTTGTGAGAAACCTTCACAACAATTTCTTTGATGGTTGATGCCTCGTTCTCCTCGCGCTCGATCTTATATATATTCAAAATGACCTCTTTCATTTCTGCACTCAGGTGTCTTTTTTTAGAGCGTTTCCTAGGTGGACTTACAGGAGTTTACAACTTCATCGGCAGTATCTGTACTACTGGGCATTTTGCGCAAGCAGTTGATAACAATAACAATCAATAACAAGGTATAACAATAACAACGACAAACTCAACAACTTAATAAGATAACAAACGAAAACGTCCAAAGAAATATCAAATTGCAATGATGCACACGACATACGTAACACGTCTGAACCTGAATGTGACTCTGCCTTGATACGACTGCTCTGCCGCTCGGCATAGGCATTTAATTGCGAATTGACCAATGAGGGCTCCCGTTTTACGTCGAGACGGCGGCGTTAGCGTGAAAATCACCCGAACCTTTTGTTTACATCCGGTCTATCTCTTATCTGAATATACTGTATGTTTCAAGCTTTGCCCTCCTGGCGAAGCTCCACACACCAACTCCTTGACATTCTGTCTTCCTGCTTCCTGTTTCCTGCCAAGTTTGCCTTCTGATCCCGCTCTCGCTCATTTCCATGTATCCCATTACCTATACTCAAGATACCAGATGCCTCGCTGCCAAACTATCCAGAGCCTCCCTAAATAGTAAATCAAGTCTGGAAGTAACACTTAATGCCTTGATTGTGCCTGGCTATTAATGGGTACTACATCGAGTGGGCTGGTCCCGTGTCGGTGGGAAAGGGCGGGTTGGATAGTGGGAGAAGTACCGTTTCAGTTTGGAACGTTGAGCATCGTGTGTTCACTGTACGTCGGTACTTTCAAAACGGCGAGTCTGTCGTTCGAACACAACGTGAGTTTCGCGTTCACTTTCGTGTTCCACGTCGTGGGACAGTACCAGACCGTAACACCATTTTGAGATGGGTGGAAGCATTCAACACAACAGGTAATGTGATGAAGAAAAAGGCGCCAGGGCGAAACCGTACTGTTAGAACCCCCGAAAATGTAGACAGAGTTGACAAGCTGCAAAGCCCGTTTGCTTGCCAGTTCCCTAGGGATCCACGCGTCCACTGTACGTCGCATCTTGAAGAAGGATTTAGTGTTTCATCCTTACAAAATCCAAGTTTGTCAACAACTGTTGCCAGGGGATTATGCATGTGTTAATTTTGCACAGCTCATGAATGAACAGTTGGAAACAATGACATGACGTTGTTTATGAGTGATGAAGCACATTTTCATTTACATGGATACGTCAATAAACAAAATTGTCTATATTGGTCTCCAGTGAACCCCCAACAGTTGCATGAGCACCCCCTGCATATCCCGAAAGTTACAGTTTGGTGTGCAGTAGGCCCAACAATGATTATTGGCCATTATTTTTTTGAGGATGATGGAGAAACAACTATTGTAAATTCAGAGCGTTGCATCCACATAATAATAATAATAATAATATCGTCTTTATTTACAAAGATACAGAGTGCGATGCATCATGGCGAAGTTTAGCTAAAGCTACTCTTACACTTAACCATATGAATACGGAAAAAAAAAGATTAAAGAGTATTTGGGTTTACCAGATGCGAGCAGCTCATGCAGGAAGACCAAATAATGAAAATTTGTCAAACACTCGAGCTTCATCCATCCAATACTGTTGTAAGCATGGCTGACATGGTCGTATTTTCTTAAACTACACGTGAATCTGAGGCAGTTATTTTGAATCACTTGTAAACGTCTTTTAGTGAGCTGATCCAAGCAAGGCTGGTAAAGAATATTGCAATAATTGATAATTGGAAGAATAACGGATTGAGCAAGTTTTTTTCGCAAAGCAGAAGGCAGAACACGTCTATTTGCATATAAAACACGTAATTTCCAATAGGATTTTTGTAATATGCTAGAAACGTGACTTTTGAATCTTAAGTTAATATCTAAAATGACACCAAGTATTTTAGACTCATTACTAAATTCTACTCTATCCGATCCAATTTTGGGATGAAATGTTTGGAGGACGCGCTCACGTTTAGTCTTAGAGCAGAATAACATGATTTTGGATTTAGAGGAATTTATCATCGAATTGTGCTATAAACTACATCAGTATCCTCTTGTAGCTCGACGGCTGCTTGTTGATCATGTGGGTCAAAATGATAGAGCAACTGGGTATTGTATGCGAATGACTGTATTGTAGAGTTAGCTACTACAGAAGGCAAGTCTGCAATATATATTAGAAATAACAAGGGTCCCAAAACAGATCCTTGTGGAACACCAGATATGATATTGGTAGAGTTAGAAAAAGTATTATAAATGACAACACATTGGGACCGATTAGCTAAGTATTCCGTGAAAAACGATATAGATATATTATCAAAACCTAAACACTCCAATTTAGCAAGAAGCAGCTGATGACTCAGTTTGTCGAATGCTTTAGAGTTGT